TTTTACATGGTCCAACGCCTCCTTACTCGAGCCGTGTCTAGTTCAAAGATGGCGTTAATCCGCTTATATTTTGCGTTACTAGTATTGTTTTTATACTTTTTTTTACGCAAATCTATACAACAATTTTCTATTTTTCTTCCCTTCCTCTTTCCGTCTTCAAAAAATTCATCAATTTTTTCTAATGATTTTGTCAATAGGGTAATTAGAAAATCTCATTATCGTCGATAACACTCTCTTCACCCAACTATTTTAACTTATTTAGCCAATCATAAACATTGCGTACCCTTGTTACAGTCTGATTTATTCAAGTGTAATAAGTATGTAAATAGTTGCAAGATGCATGAAATATTCCTGTTAGTAACCCGGATTCAATCGAATTAAGTTAATATCAGGACAAAATTCGCCTACTACGTTTTGGGTCATATAAACTCTATGAATATAGAATGCAATTATATTAGCCTTCCCGATTTTCCTCCAACTAATTTATAAGCAATTTTCATGTCGTACCTCTCTTTAAAAATGGCAGTATAAAAATTAATTGGGTAACTCCCTTTTGCTATCATTTCACGGCATTATCACAAAGAATAGCCCTTAATTTCTCTTGGAATTTACGAAAAGGAGAAGAGAAATGCCTACTCGTATCAATACATACCTTCCATATTGCGTATGGAAGTTTATCAGCTTTAAGGATTAAAGCTTATGCCTCATTTTTGCAATACTTTCTCTATAACTCATAATAATCGACAAGATTATGCCGCAAGAAAAAATTTCAGATAACAAACATATACTTAATATATTTATAAACATATATTGACTAATATATACAGTATATATATATATATAGTGCAATCAGCACGTATAGTAAAATTACGTGTCTATTTCTGGTTCACATGGCCAGTAGAAGAGTGGCAAAAGAAGCGAAATTAGTTTTACAATATTATAGGCTTTTAACGTAAATTTGCTAGAAATATCTAATCGTTAGTCAAGGGAAGAGGAACAGAATGATTGGTAAATTTTTAGACGTTGATAGATTATCTAATCGAAAAGGTCTTTTCAATTTCATGAGTCTTCATACGAATTGTCTAAATAGTTTTTTAATAAACAATATTTTCATCGTTTATTCAATGATTTTATATTTTTTTCCATAGGGAATAATTGGAGGAGGATTGTGCGGTTTCAAGCAATTTGGCGGTGTTATACCTTTGAATAAGAATCTATGGTCCCTGTCTTTTATTCTCTCGCTGTCCTCCATGGCATACATTCTTTTGATTTTGTTCTATGTTCTTATAGACATTAGTCGCATCTGGTCAGGATCACCGTTTATTTACCCTGGTAAGCGTCTCTTGTTTAAACAAACTAAACTCTCAACCTAACCACCCACACTATCTCTTTCCTTCCTCCTCTTTACTATTTTCCCCTTTTTGCTTTATATTTCGTTTCTCTTTTCTATTCTAATGTCAAAATCAATTCGGACAGGAATGAATTCGATAGCCGTCTACGTCTGCCATTCTGTGTTTTCTAGGTACTTTCCGGTTAGTTGGCAAGTTCCTAACAACCATACAGCACGGATGGCAATGTCAGTTTATGGCTCAGCACTATGGACTATTTTTGCTTATTTTTTATACTATAAAAAGATTTTCATTAAAATATGATCGTATATATGTATTAATACATATCAAGTAATTGATTATCGTTACTCCCTTGGAAGCTGTTGTATAGCCAAAAATTGTATATAAAATAACTTTGACGTCATAACAAAAAACACGTGTTTGCAGTATTCACCCTGTTTTCGTTCGATTGCCTATCGTTCCATAAAAACACGAGGATTCCAAAACATTCCATAAGATAATTTGTTGAATGACAGCTTTGATATAAACACTTTCTATGCAAAGAATACATTGCCGAGTTGACCTTGCTCAATATGGGGGATTATCCCCAGTGATAATCTTACAGGTTGCTCTTTAATTCTTTTAGATAAATAAGTTGGAAAAAACATTTGCAGTAGAGTTTAAACAGTATCTTTCTTTTATCTATTCAAATATCACTATTACAGCTTTAATAAAAAAACCTATCAAACAAGATCATCGATGTAAATATCACCGGCCATCACCTAATTATGAGTCTATTGACAAATTTACTAATACCACGTGACCTTACAACTCTGTTTTTTTTTCTTTTACGCCCACTCTGTTTTTTTCAATTTCATACTATAAAAAGACTAATGACTACAAAGAGATCAATTGGGGATTCGGAAAGTGTCGAAATGCTAAGTTTCTAAGTTAACGAAGGGTGGTAAGGGGAGGGAGTGAAGAAAAACACTTTTCTTAAGTATTAAATCCTTAGGCCTATTCCTTACTATTTAAAAACTGAAATAAACTTTAAAATCGTATCCCTAGAGATGAAATAAAAAACTGGATCAATTATAGAATTGTAGTGCAATTATATATTGCATCATGACAAACGTTCTTCGACATTGCAAAACTCGGGATGTCTTCAAGCGTAAAAAAAAATTTATTGGTACTCTTCCCTTTTTTACCATCCATTATCCTTTTTTTTTCATTTATTTTATCTCTGACCAAAGCCAACTAGAATAAGAGTTACTTTTTAATAGGAAATGTCACATAGTCCTTTCTTCACTGTCCTATCATGAACTAAACAAGTTTAACACTGTTTACAAATCAGGCTGGGAAAGCACAAAATGATGGAAGGTTTAGCATCCTTCCACTCTTTTATAATTTAAGAGCGACAGGAAGAGAGCAAGAGTGGGTACCGAAGGGTCAGGAAAAGGAAGAAATTTCATCAGAAATGGGGGATGTAATTTTCAACAATTCAATGACTAAATACATAGCCTAAGAGGAAAAATCGTGGCAACGGCAAAAAATCGAACAGCCAATATTCACCACTGCTAGATCACATTAACGTTTAATGCTCGACGAAAATCCTTCGATCTGTACCGGCCTATAATCCTTTACTGAGCTTTTTCTATCACATCAGCGCCCTTGACCGAAAAAGTATAATTATACAACGCTCGTTATATACGCAATATATCGTATAATTAGAGCCGCGTTTTCGGTATCCGGCAATCAAAAAAAATTCCCTCTCGTTCACGGTTTTAATGAGAAAACGGTTCAAAGGATTACGGAAGAAATTTCTAACAGCTCCTTCAACTGCAACAAAGCTCCTTGTAAAAATAAATCATAACAAATATGTCTCATATAAGTGAGCATCTTAAAGCAATTAATTCATCTATATATCATATATAGGGCATAATGTCGAATACAGTCTATATTATATATTTTGGATGCGAGAATAGTAAAAAGATGGAGTGAAGGAAAAGAGAGAGTGAGTGAGTGAGCGTATTTATCTATACATTATTACTTATAAAAAAGTATTTCTAAATATAGGTATTGGCATTGATATGGATATAAAGGCTAACAGTTTCCTTTTAAGCTCATCTTTCCCTTTCTTTCTACCTGTCTGACTGCATTTTTTTTAACCAAAAGTATTTGGCCCCATAGGAATTGATAGTATGGTCTTAATAGTACGCAAATTACCTACTCTTCTATCTAAATCTACACCACATTTTAGCAGAATCTCTATTAGGTAACGTGATTTTTCGACTCTAAGAAATGTAACGCTATGGCTACATAAAAGAATTGAATAACCCCCTATTCATCTTGGCCTGAACTCAGGAATACTGTAGTAAATTAAGTTACTTGTCTAGCCGATTGGAAATTTATGCGTCGCTCCGCTTTATCATTTCATACAATAACATATATATATATATATATATATATATATATATATATATACTGTATATATTCTGTATTTCTATATATTAAGAAAAAGACAAATTGATGGTTAGTCAGTCATATACACTAGCCGAAAATGAAAAAGAGGATCGCTGCATCTTGACTTTAGTCATGAACTGTAAATATGGATCTATGAGAATTCCTTGCTTATTTCTATTTATGTATTTGCCAACGTAAAGCAAATATAAGAATTTTATTAATTAAATGAATTCATATTTTTTATCATTATTGCTAATTTTAAAGACGAAAAAGTTGACAAGATAATATTGATAATGTATCAGTGATAATGATAATAATTTAAAAAGATAGGCATTTTTTTTATTATAATCTATAACTATAAATGACAAACATCAAAATTTAATATTATACGTAGAGATAAACAACATAAAGAAAGGGTTAAGGGGAAGACGCAGACAGAAAAAGGGAGATAGTCAGTCAGCTTGATGGAAAGATGGAAAAAAACGGAGAAAAGAGACTGAGAGAGAGATAGGGAGAAGAGAATGAAGGTTGGGGGCAAGAACAAAGCTACTTAAGACTTATGTACATCTCCGCATGTTTCCTATCGTTTTTCAGCTCGCCCTCCCAACGAGAAAAAGTCGCTTTATTCCGAAATTTATACTATGGACTATGTGTAATAGATCTGTTGGATATAGAGTAAAAAGTTGGACAGCCAGTCAAATTAACACTATTCATACGATCTATTTATAGATTTTTTCAAAGACTTGTTTGTTTAGAGAGGTAATAAGTATAAATGTAAAAAATATTGACAAGAATATAACTTTATGAACCTTCATTTGGATTACTATATTGCTATACATATGCGCTTATAAATGGGAATGACTAAATCTTGTGAAGAACAATATCGAAAGAAAATATTAAGTTGCTTATTCTTCTGCGTGATTTGGCTCAGTATTGTGCTTATGGACGCATCAAATTTTACGCTCTGGTATAATTTGAATAACAAAGTGTCGCATGAGTTGTTTTCTTGTTCACATAGTATTCGATGGAATATCTAAAGCGTCGAATAGAAATAATAGGCCTATGAAAAAACGGCGTTTTTATTGTGCGTAAAAATTGATTTGATCGACCGATAAGTGGCAACATATTGTGCAAAAATTCTCATTTAGCTAATTAAAAATTTTTCATTGGTTGAAGTCAATTTGTATATTTTGTAAAATTTTTTAGTTCATTAATTAAAAAACAAGTTTCCGTTGTTGAAAGAGGAATTATGAAATTGTATTCGTTTTTAACAATAGTAGGCATTTTTATCCGATTAAACGGTAAGGAAAACGAAATTGAGCAATTATAAACATTAATAATATTAAATAAAATCTATCTTATAATCTTCCATATAGCTTATCAATTTAATTATAAAAAGGAAGGTTCGTATTAATTATCCGCTGTTTCTTTTTCCTTTATTTCTTTCCCTCAATCTATCATTCTCGTTTGGCCTCTCTCTCTCTCTCTCTCTTTTTCGTCCCTCATTCTATCTCTTTTCTTTCCCTTCTTGTATATGTATTCGATTTTCCTTTGTTTTACGTTAAAATGAAGTTTGTCTTATGCCTGTTTAAAGAATATTATACGGTATATTCTCTATATGTTTATAAATCTTTAATGTTATGGATTTTCCTTTTTTCCCCTTTCCGCTATTCTATTTGTATATTCCATTCAAATTAAAAGTTATCCCTTTATTAATACATATTTATATGTTTTTATTAAAAATAAAACAGGATCCGATTGGAAAGGAACCTGTGCGAATGGTGAGAAGCAATCACCAATAAATATTAAAGAGGAGGAAGCTTTTAATCTTCAAACTCCTCCTTTAAAATTTCACAATATTAAAAAGTACTTGAAGGGTTCAAGATTGATTAATAATGGAAAAACTGGTTAGTAAAAATAATATTAATAGCAGATTAATTACTATTTTGAAATTAGAACAATGCTGGCTCAGTATCAAATTTTTTATTCAACTTGATAAAATAGAATTAGTGAGATAAAAACGAAACGTGTCATTCATTGAACTCTTTTGTTACCTTATGTTCGCTTGATTAGTCATGTATAAATAATAAATATGGCGTCTCTCTTTCAAAAAAAAAAAATCGCCATTAGGAATAGAAAAAAATTTTTTAAGTAAAGTGACAGAGGTTAAATGCTTTTTCACCGCTTACTTCCGGCTTTTGGTTAAGCGTTTTAAGAGGCGTCTAATACGAATGCAGTATATAACATATAAATCCGTTCGATATATGTTTATATTATTTAGATATAATCTAAAAGAAGAACACGCTATCTTCCTTTTAGTATTCGATTTCTTGTTCCTTAATTATGAATAATATTGATAATTATTTGTTATTAACTAATTAATTCCATTAATTTTCAGTTCGAATACATAATCAATTAGAATTTTTCCATATATCGAATGGTGGTCTTCCTGGAAAATACAGTATTAAATACATTGATTTTCATTGGGGCAAAGGTAAAGGAAGAGGGTCTGAGCATCGTCTTTCCGGAATCTCATCCGATATGGAGGTAACAGTTTCATATATTACTTTATAAATACGTATATACCGTACGCTAGAGTACATATCTATATGTATCTTATGCTATAAGTCTATAATAATATATTGCATATGCCAGTTGATGATATTTTAATGGTAAACATAAAACGCATATATACTATATACACAGTATTTACTGATTGTAATATACTGCTGTAATATAGCCTATACGGAATTTACTTTAGCTTTTGTACTATATTCTCTTCCTTTGGGGAAACAGATGCAAATTGTTGCTACAAAAATCGGAGGAAAAGTAAAGGATCTCAATTACTATGCCATCTTCGCCTTCTTATTCGAGGTTTTTTATTATTAACCGAATTGTGTAAACGAATCTAATTATAAATATAGTTATTTATACATATATATTCTAGGCATTTCCTGGTACCGCTAACGATCTACCTGGAGCGCTGCTCGACGCCTTTAAAAATGTAAAGCAAGTTGGAAAAAGTAGATTGATATCGCCTATAACATTTAAATGGTTGATTGGTAAACAATTGGGAGAGTTTTATAGGTATAAAGGTAGTTTAACATCTCCCCCATGCTCTGAGAATGCTATTTGGACAATATTTAGAAAGAAACGACGTATTTCCCTTTTTATAGTAAGTGTGAATAGTGATTTTTTGCCTTTCATTTAGTTGATTTGTTACTCTAATTCTGTTTTATTTTTTAGAAAAAAGTGCTTAATTCTATTCAATTAAAGAAGCACGAAGTTGCCAATTTTAGAAAAATTCAACCCTTGAATGGTAGAAAAGTCTATAAAAGAGTCAAAAAACGATAAAAGTATTGCCATCTTATCTATTGTCACCTTATAATAGTAAATATGTTTGTTTTATTAAATGTACACGTTTCCTTTTGGCATGAAAATATTAATTTTTCAACTTAGATATCCAAAGTTATTCTACTGTGTATAATCCCTTTGTAATGAAATTCTTATTTAAATATCAATATCAAAGCCAATAATTGACTTGGAATTTTATTCCATATGTGAATCCTCTAATTCCTTATTCGTCCGTTTTTTCCTTCCTCCCACTTTCATTCCTCTTTATATTCTTTTCTGCTCTTACTCCATTTTTTTTAGTTTCAATCCTTTTTTCTTCGTCTTTTGTTTCTTTATTTTCTTAAAAGGAACTCTGGTCTTTTTTGTCTTTTCTATTGAATAAATCATTCCAGTCAATGTATAATCAAATTTACATGAATTTCTCTCTTTGTTTGTTCATCAAAGAGGTAAAAAAAAAAATTTACATATATAAAAAATATATTCACAAATAATAAGAGATACAATAATGAATGAATCTTGTTTCTCTTCCGTTAAAAAATACAAAATAAAACTACTGCAAATAAATTATATTTACTGTAAATTTTTCTAAAAATAAATACTGCTAAAAGTTGTATCGGTTGAGTTGCCGAGAAATTTTTTACCGGATATTGATTGTAGCCGAAAAGAATTTAGTTAATGTAAACACGTTGTTGCTGTAGGCGACTGCAATGTGTAGGGTTAGTGAGAGGTTCTTGTATTTCGACTCTAAATTGTTGTTTTCCTATACAGTTTTAACCAATTATCTTATACAAATCGAGTGTTTGGCCTACGGTTAAACGTTTGCAACATCCTTCTTCGTTTTTAATTAAAAGTATAAAGTTGTCAGTTATTTCCCTTCCTGTAATTAATCAGAGTTCCATCTAATGATATCGTATAGGCCTAAGCCCATAATTTTGTACGTACAACTCTAACCTGTTTATTGTTGAGAACACAATAATATGTCTCACTTTTCCACTAACGAGTTTTATTCAGCAATTATATATTTCTTGTTTTTCCTAAGATACCTACATTTTCTATTAAGTATTTGTAATTGTAAACGTTTTCCCACTTCATTCATACATTTACGTAATAGGCTTAAATTTTTTCCACGTAGTTAGCGTGCTAAAACAAATTATGCTCACCCCCAGCTGGTTAATTAGCGTATTGCTACTTTACGCAAAAGATCCTTTTCTCAAACCGTAAATTTTTCTTTTCATATTCTCTATTCTCTGGCCTTTCCCTCCCCCGCCTTTTTTCGAGTCATTGTTGCTACTACCCTTTCCCTTCTAAATTTCACTCTCATACAACCTCCTCCCCTAAGTATACTCTTCTTTCCTTCTATTCTTTCACTCCTTTTATATCTTCATTAATCTTTTGGCTAAGCAACTCAAGTACATTCTGGACTTGAAAGAACAAGATATAGAAATAAAAACTCTTTTACTCCATCCTATCAGGCATTACGATTCTTATCGAACGGAATAAATGTAAATTTACATTGCCGATTAACCGTACATTTGATACTTGTATTAAAGCTTTTATATAGATAAATACACACATTAAGCTCTAAAGTGTATTATTTAAATAATATACTCAACAGTAGTTTGTACTTAATTAGCAACCTATTAATTGAAGTATTTATTGATTCAATGAAAAAAAGGTTTTTGAGTATATAGTATATTTTATCTAAATAAATAAACATATATACAGTATATATATATATGATATATCTATATATACACTATATCTTTATGAGTATATACAGTATATAATATGTTTCCTTGTTTCATAATTATCAAGTTTATAAAGTCAATCGAAGACTTTAGAAAGTGAAGGTGTTCACGAAGTCTATAGTTAGTGACCGACCTAATAATTCGAACTCCAAGAATCTATATTCAATTACGAATTGCAAAAGGACACACTTAATTAATTCGTGAAACCACCACAGAAAATTTATTGCAGAAAGCGTTTCAATTAAGCAGACAAAAAAGATAAATAGACGCTTTTAATCGCTTTCCGCGCAGACACGGAAATAGAGTAGAAAAAAGGCGCAGCTGAATCGATCGTATTAAATCCGCGAAATCATTGCCATTCCATAAGATACACTCTGGGAAGAAATTTGATTAGCAGCGACACCTGGTGAAGAATTTCTTTTAAGGAATATCTGAGAGACGGTCGCACTATTTGTTTTTGTTAGTTGGATGGATTGACCGTCTTTGCGCATGCGGGGAAGCAGCAGGAAATGTTGCTCTACAAATGGAATATACTTCACGTGACTGGGCGTCATTAGGCCATGAATACGTGAGAGACGCTGATTTCGAAGCCCGCGTCATTTATCATTCGGCCTATCGGTTGCCAATAGCCGAAGCAGGGGCTTGGGAAGAGACGCTTTCATGTCGGGCGTCATCCTTAAGCACGTTTACTCCGTATACAGCCTTGATGCGCCGTAATGAAGTTTGAGTACTGCAATTCGCTGGGCTTTCTACAGCAACCTACTACAAGCGCCCGCTGATAAATGAATTTAGTTTTTGGTCACGTGATATTATTTTTTTTAACTTTTTCCACGCCTATTATTTAAGTGCGCTCTGAAGAGAAACTTGTTGCTCATTTAAAAAACTGTAGTATAAACTGACTACAGAGAAAAGTCGTATAAACTTACAGTATAGCATTACGTAACGTTTAGGCAGTATTTGTAACGAATACAGAAATATAGGTGTATAGTGGCACATGCATGATTTAATATAGGAAAGGAGAACTTTCAACTAAATCAATTTCATGCTGACGCGCTCGTCGATCGTGACGAAAAATTCATCTTAACCAGTTATAAATAATTTATATATTTATAGTATTATATCAAATAGGCTTATAGTCGACGAGTTTCTTATAACAAATATTTTCCAAAAACTCAATGACTGTAAGTATTAAAAGTCTAGAAAATTAAAGAATAGAGGTGTGTAAGGGGAGACGGTTACATATGCTCTAAATTCTCCCCTTATACAGGCTCTCGATATACAAGATGAGATAAGGAAAAGTGATTTTATTCCGGTCTTTTGATCCTTGGAAACTCGTCACCTCTCCTTTAGAACAAGTATAATACGATGGTGTTTATATTTGTAAGGAAGCAAAAATGGTTATGTTGATTCCCTAGGAACTCTTTTAACAAAATCAATTACAAAAAAGTATTTATAGATATATAAATTTTAATTTCTCTCTTTATATAAATAAATACATTGTATTGTTAAGATATATTTATACTTTTCGTATTGTTTCTTTACTTAAATAAGCAAATACATCATTTCTATCTTATATAACATTTCTTTTATAATTATTTAATTAGCATATGCAAAAATGTGAACGACTGACGTAATTTCTATTAAGAATTAATTAAGCGTTTGATCAAGTATGTTTTAGTATCTAATTGATATACAATTCTATTTTCTATCTTACAATACTACACCGGCCAAACTGCAACTTAATCATTAGAATCCCAAAGGATTACTCTTTTGCAGTAGAAAACAAAAAACTAAATGAAATCAAATTACACACTAGTGAATTGTAACCTTGCGTCGAGAATGCAAAAGATTTCCATCGTGATAACTGAATTTACTTTCGGTTACATGTCTTTTCTTTATTATTTCCTTTGTTCGGTCATCATCCACTCATGACTAGAGTATAACTCTCTCAGTCTCTCTCTCTCCCTCTCTCTTCTTACCATCGTAGAAGAAAAGAGATTAGCTAATTTCCCCTTTTCGCCTATGAAATGACATACTTGGATGATTGATGATTTTTAGTCATTCACTAGTCTGTCAAATGAATGAGTATAGAGGTGGGGAGGAGAGTGACGAAAAGAAGCGATTGTGATAGCAATAACGAAGGATTTTTCAATAACACATCTATGCCGCTTTGTTCGTTAGTCTATAGCTTTTTTTCTTTGCTAAAAATACAGTATAATATAATAATAAGACTAGTGGAAAGAAATGGGAACGAGGGGGATTTATTTTTGAGGATACTTTTTTTTCGCTCTTTCTATCAAAATTTACTGGAATTAGATTCGGAAGAGCCCCACAATGAAACTCTTCTATATTAGATTTTTTACGATTTATCATTCCTTCTGATTTGTAATATTTTCCTCCTCTTCTTTCCTTTGAAGGTAAAAACAGAAGAAAAATAGAATTAAATCAAAATTGTCACAGGTGCGCTCTGACCGAACATCTCACTACACCGCAATCCAATTTGTCAAACGCGAATCGACTGCATGCTATATACATTCTCGATTTCTTCACCCTGATAATCCGCTTCTTAGCCTTTGCTAATTCATTTAAAGTCAGCCTGAAGGAAAGTAGACAGATATCACACCAAAAAGCGAGAATGAAGAATGAAGGAAAGATAGATAGATCAAGAGACAGAGAGAGAGAGAGAGAGAGAGAGAGAGAGAGAGTAGTTGCATAAAAGTACAGGAATACATAGTACAAAAAGAAAGGAAAAGAATGATAACAGATATGTAGATAAACTGAGAGAAAGAATACTCAGGAAACAATAACAATAATAATAATAATTAAAGGAAAAGATATAAAAAAAAAGAGAAGATTAGATAGATGAAGGAAAATTACCAGCAGGAAAAAAACAGATAATGTAAATTTTAACTATTCTAAACACACGATTACGTAAGAAAGAGAGATTTTCGCGTGTATAGAGATGTTTAAAAAAAAAAAGTACATATAGGCCTATAAAAAGATCACTAACGCAACTTTTCCAACAATTGTATATAAATATATAAAGTTTTCTCATGTTTTTTTTTTCTATACTTTGATTTTTTTTAAAAAATAAAAACATTTACAGGTAAATTTGTTTTGAGTATTATAAAGAGATTTCTTTTGAATATGGCATTATCCACGTCCCAGGCAAAAAAGATTGCTTGCAAATAATATGCAAATTGGCAAGAACCATACAGGAAGACCGTTTCGTTTACTTTTATTTTTTTGCTGTTCCGCCCCTCCCCTTCTTTTCCGTAACCTTTCAGAGAAATAGCAGAGAATACCTCTTCTTTTGGAGATGCACGTACAGTACATATAATTTATATATATATATTACTGTGTAAGCGTATACTGTTTGTAAAATTACACAATAAGAAAATTAACCATGTCACACTTTAGCCTCAGCAGATTGTATCCCATTATTTAACCTTACAACTGTAGAACCTTGACTGTTGTACTTAACGACGGTGTTATGGGGTAAGGGAGTTAGAGTAGCTGGTTCCCGGAAAGCGCCGACTTGACCAAACTGTTCTGCATAAGATTCTGATCGTAGTCTGATATTAATACCACGACAGCGGAAAAGTAATATTTCCTTGAATGGAGTACGAAATTCCCTGTTGAATCTAGCGTAGATGATTGGATTGAGGAAGGAGTTGGCGAATCCCAACCAGTTAAAGATGGACGTTAGCCAATTGGGAATGCAGGAAGCGCACATGGGACGGATAAGAGCTAGGCAGAAGAAGGGCAACCAACATGCAGTAAAGGCTCCCATAATTACACCTAACGTCTTTGTTGCTTTACGTTCTTTCGAGCTCGATATTCGGTTCAAACGAGACTTTTTAAGAAAACCCGACCACGCCGAACGTCTAGGCTTGGACGAAAGCATTTCGACAGCAGAATTCCCCCTTGACCTTACGCAGTTCAATTCCTATTAGGAAATCAGCAATCAGAGTAACTTGATTTATAGAATTATCAATTGTCAACAATATAACATTGAGGATAAATAGATTACAACATATCAATAGCCCATTCATTTTTTTGTTTGTAAGTAGTAATCATGAATCCTAATTACTACAGGAGGCCTACGAATGCCTCTCTAATTAACTAACGTTTACCAGCTAACATTTTACATTTACCTTTCCCCCTTCCTGTTTTCCTCTCTAGCTCGCAATCCCTCACTCTCTCTCCTCTATCTATATACTATATATATGTTGTTTATTTCATTCCCCTATCCACTTATCTCTCCTACCTATAGCAGTTTTGCTATTTCTAGAGAATTATATGAAATATTTGAAAAATCTGTATTCGAATAAAGAGAACTCTTGCGTAAATTTTAAACCCTTTCGACACTAATCAGGAATTATATAAATGTACAGGAATTTCCTGCTCTTTTTCTTTTTCTCTTCTACCCTACTACTATAAAGTCTACGTGACTAGTAAATTGAAGTTTTAGGCCTATAGTCACTCGTTTAAAAAGCCTCACTTCAGTTATTGAACAGACGGCTAATTTTTTGTTATTGGCAATAGAGGCACAGTTTCATTATTACTTTTTTTTCATTTGCTCTTTTTTTAGACACACTATGGAAAAATATACCAACATAAATCTTTAAATAAACGAAATATGAATATTCATAAGGATTTAAAAAAGATAGTGGAGAGAGTAAATATACAGGTTAAACTGAAATCGTGCAGCACTTGGAGTTTTAATAAAAAGTAGGTACTATTAAAAGTTTTATTAATTACGTGAAAAGTTAATGCCTCTATTGAAATAAGCATTACTTTCCTTGTAACTATTTAATATCTGTAAAAGTTTTACTATATATCTAGAAGTGTACTTCAGTATATTATGCATACTGGGGATGTAGCTTGTTTAATTGAAGTATACAGATAAAATATGGGGGTGGTCTGGGACTAATTCCTAAACGCTTTTGTACTTTACTGTAAGATGTTAGGGGGGAATAGATCAGAATAATGATTTTCAGGCTTGCCTGCTTACTAAGAAAAGAGAAAATATCTTTCAAGAGTAAAGAATTACTATCTTCCTCCCTCTCCTTCTTTCCATATAATAGATAAGCTTATTTCTCTTATAACTTTCTTCTTCAGCTTATACCCTACGGCTTACACTGAGGAAAGATGACGGCTGGTAAAGAACTTACGTGTAGTTTATGTGCATATGTCTATAACTGTATGTGAGGGTGTGTAGGGGTGAATAGGTTATAAATAGAGAGTGATGGTGGAGGAGAGGGAAAAGGACGAGGGGGTATAGGGGGAGGAGTCGATGAATAGGCCATATCTATGTTAATATTTTTTTTATATTTACCTGTTGTGTCTCGAAAGATCTCCGAGCAGCAACGGAATTCGATGAATGTGAAGGAGCCAAACTAGCTCCCCTGGGTTTAGATCGGTTTTCTTGTTCGGCGATCCTGGAACTAACTATATATATCCTCGCGTAAATGAATATCATAACGCCAAGTGGCATATAAAATGCTCCAATCGTTGCATAGAATTGATAGCCAATCTCCTGCGATACTACGCATTGACCATCTTCTGTACTATCAGATTTCTTCCACCCAAAAATCGGTGGTATAGATATTGTAGCTGAAGCGACCCAGACGACGAATATCATTAGCGCCATCCGCTTCGGCGTCCGCTTCATCGCGTAATCGAATGGTCTCGTAATTACGAGGTATCGATCGATACTTATGCAGCACAAGTTTAGAATGCTGGCCGTGCAGAGTAGGACGTCCAAGGATGTCCACGTATCGCAAAACGTTCTACCTAATACCCATCTACCTTTTATTTCTTGCACAACCGCGTATGGCATAACTAGGACGGCGACGAGTAGATCTGATACAGCTAGAGAGACGATCAGCAGGTTAGAAGGTGTCCTCAATTTTCGGACTATTGCAACAGCTAGACAGACAAGGGCGTTTCCTATTATTGTCCCGACTATCATTATAACGAGAAAAATCAGGATAACAACTGTCTGCCAGAGAGTATAAGGCGAACCAGCGCCCGATGTCGAGTTTGTGTCGTTAAGTAAAGCGTAAGAGGCGTTGAGCATCGTCGTCGTCTTCCATTCCTATTTGAAAATAGTAAAAGAGATGAAAAGAACAGAAATTAGTCGCTAAATCTTTTCATCTAGTAGAATCTATAATATCATAGAATCCCGGATATATGAAAACGGTAGTATCTTGAATTCTATTTACAATGTACACACAGAACGAACAAGAAATCTATACAGATCTATTATAATATAGAATCCTCTTTATATGTCGAATAGGATCTTGGTTGAACTCTTTTTCATGAATATATCGTCCCAATGATTATTTTATATTAAAGGAAAAAAGTGAGGCGTTAAATAAGACGCCTAAATATCATCTTATAATATCATGAGAACATAGTAACGGGTAACCTCAAAAAGGGGATTCGAAGGCAAAAAATTCTTTGAACTTACATCTATCGTATCATAAGATTATTTTATGATGTTTACAACACCGTCCATACACCACCTTCTCCCTTTATTATATTCTTAAATCAAATAAAGGCATTCTTTTATAATTAAAGGCCAAAAAGGTCAAGCAAAAAAATTATCAATAGATAGAGTAACAAATTTTTTTTATAAACCGCTGAACATACCTACATCATGTATAGATGCAAATACGACTGAAAATTCTTTAGCTTTAATTAATTAAGAAAATTTGAATTTAACGTTTGTGCAAACAATTCAATATTTTCTATTCATATATTTGCTTTTGTTTTCTTTGACCTTTTTAGAGGACAAATAATATTTTGTGCTTTAATATATTAGTAGCTAAATGTTGAAAAGATACAATTTAAGAGAAAACAGCACGATTATCAACTGCAATATAATAGAGTAGATATACGTGTTATATGATTTTTATTCTATCTTCTCTCTTCTCTCTCTCTCTCTGTCTTTTCTTTCCTTCTCACACTCAGTTCTTTCCTCTATTTTCTTTACATATCTGGTAACCTATTCTTATACCTTTACATCCCTTTTGGATGATTTTTGTTATTTAATATTATTATAAATTAGTTGATATACTTCTTAACGAAGAATAGAAGAGAGTGGGGGAAAGGAGAAGGATAGTTAGGGTGACTTTTTTCTTGAGCGTTTTTTTATTATCAAATTTTGATTAACTAGAAAATTTTTCCCCTTTATAGCATCACTTAGCAAAAAAATTTTATAAAGAAGGCACAAAATTCGACCTATGGGAGGAGAGGGAGGCGGAAAAAAATGTTTTAATCGGATGATCCGAATTTTGGACAGACTAATACAGTTCATTCCATCTTATCTCATCTTTCTCTTGCTTCGGTTTTTTAACCAAAAGCTATTTGGTAACAAATTTTTTTCCTTATCTGGAAAGAGGATATTTCACATTCTATTATTTTTGTCATTTGTAGGAGGAAAAAAAAGTGGGTGGAGAAAGTGGGAGGAAACTCTGAGGAGGCTGGACAGAATGCCAGAGAATGGGCAACAAGAGAGAAAAGAGGGTATAATGAGTTGTGATTACAATACCATGTTCATGTAGCTCTAAAAGACAAGAAGAGACAGTTACATTTATTACCTTTAAGGTGAGATAGAAACAAATAAAAAATAAAATATTTGCTGCTTATTTTTTTCAATTCAATAAAGATCTGAAGTACTTATAGTTTTATGGTCGCGTGATTTCTTTTATTTAATGCAACGCGAAAACAAGAGTTACACGCGTAATGAATAATGAAACAAAGGGGAAAAAGGGAAAAGAGAAGGAGAAAATGAATGCTTTAGCCTTTAAATCACGTGACTCTTTCATTCCGATTTTTTTCCTCTTGCTCTGTTCGCTCCCTTTCAAATGGCCCTACGAAAAAGTCGTTAGGCAGTCCCCATACGTATATATTACGCAGATATATAATAAAGTAGAAAGGAAAAAAATGGTTAGGGTCTGGAAAGGTTACACAAAATAAGAGAATGGATAGATGGATACTGTACTGAGTGAAAAGAGAAAAAATATATAGGATATTTTAATAGGCCTATTCTGATAGTCTGTAATTTCTATACACTATTCTATTTATTTATATCGTTAAGAAAGTGTGTAGCACTTAGTGATTTAGTATTGGCAAGGAGAAATTTTTAACGTTTTTTGTAATTAAAACTAAACCTTCATTAAAGTCTATTTAAAAGTTTGCAGCTGATCCAATTTCGCGTATACTGCAATATATTTACAGTTGAAATAAACGTAAAAAATGAGGCATCACACATCTCTTCATTAATAATTGATTGGTCTTCCTTCCTGTATCGCATTATAATGAAAGGCATCAGTGAACTATTGCATATCTTTAAATAAGCATACCATCTTGATAAGAAAGAGTGAAAGAGCGAGAAAGAGAGAAAAAAATAGAAGAAAGAAAGTCATCTCAAGCTGAAGGTTTCCGTCTATTTATTGTGTGCAATATTCTTATCAACGAACCTACTTGACTCTTATTACATAAGAAATATCTTGTGAAATAATGTCCAATATACTATATATAGAGCATACGCTACTCACTCATCCAAATAAAATGTGTATACTGTATATTGCATAATATTCTTTCTACGTATACTTATATATTTATATATTTATATATATTTATATAATAGGTAAAGAGCTAAAAATAGTCATCAACTGACTTCAATTAAGTTAACGTTGGTGTATCCTGTTTCTAGGAGCATTTAAAATAACTGCTATAAGCTTTATCTATCTTTTTTATTTTAAATCCTATAGAAATAGGATAGTTAGTGTTAAATCTGTTCGAAAGCAAAAGTCCAGTAGTAGTAGGTGTTTCGACAAGATTAAATATTGATAGGAACCTATATCCGGTATAGAGGAAATAATATAACAGCGGGCTCGATTTCTTATTGAATTACACACAAATACAAAATTCTTAACGGTCAAAGCTGATTGAATAGGTTATTCGACAAATTTCTATATACGTATATGGTGAATATATATAAAAGATGCGTTCGATTCGGTTTATCGACCGTAATTATCCGGAATGAGTTTGCTCGCGGTATTGACAAAACATTAGAGCGTTTGTCGCCGAATTGTTTGTCTATAGTACGTAATAGTGAAAACACTCTTTAGCATTGTATAATTATAGTGTTTGATCTTTCGAAACACGCTAACTTTTCTTTTACACATTTAGTCTTCTTTTAACAAATCAAAACGTTCTTGGTTTTATCTTCAACTGACATTTTTCTTCCTATCTGTCTGCCTGTCTCTTCCTCACTCACTTAGTCATTCTCTTTCTATTTCTCACTCACTTACTTTCGCACGCTCTCTTTTTCTTTTAGCCTGCTTTACTTATTTTTAAAAATAAAATTGCTTAAGGCGTTACAAGCGTTCTCGTTGAATTTCAAGCGGAATTAATGTTAAGCTACAGATGCCTTTGGCTCATTCTTTTTTTTTTGTGTATTAGTTGTATGTTGGACATATATAACAAGTTAGAGCATACGCAGGGTTCTTTTCCTTATGTATAAAAACAAGATAACTTAAAGTGATGAGATTACTATAGAACTTCTTGTGGAAGAGATGAAAACGGCAATCAGATTAAATGCCCCTCATATCGCATTGTCAATATTTTATGTTTTATTTATACGTTGTATAATGGAGCGTTTGTCATTGAAACACTATTTACAAACTGAAGTAAATGACAATGTAAATATAAATGATTAAATTTTACCTAACAAAAAAGAAAACATTAGGGTTTTGTTCCCTCAATCATTTCAATGGAGATAAACTAATTTTAACTGCTCAAAAGTATTAAACGGATAATTATACATAATTATCTTTAGCTGATTAAGTTGATGTTTATCCTTTCTAATTCATAGATAGTAGGGACCATTTTGTAAGAATGAAATACATAGAATCTACAGATAGACAGGCGTGAAGAAGAGAAAAAGATGAAAACGAAAGAAAACCTACATTGAAAAGTCAACTATACGTTTTCCCAGTTTATCGTTCGCATGAGCACCTTTTTTCTATTTTTTCGGTATTATCAAGGGGGCAAAAAAGTACTAGTAACACTTATATAACCCATTGAGATATCGTCATTGCAATCAACCAAACGTCAGTAAAAATTTTGGAAGCCTGAATCCCAGTTCTATTCTACTATATCCCTTATCACTTAATTCTTTTAACAAAATACTAATGCACTTTCCTTATTTAAAATAGTTAACGTATCTCTCTGTTTTAGTTCTTCGATTATCTCGTTAGTACAACTTTGTTTCCTATTTCGCTAATATTCAAAGTAAGTGAATTAAAATAGATTATGTTCAAATTATTTAATCTTGTTTAAGAGAAGTGGTAATCAATTGACACGCCCTTTCATGCTATAACAAATGAGTATTGGGAAAATTTAACGAGATACAGAAAGAGAAAAATATGAAAATATAAATTCAGACTAAGAGATGTAGAGAATGGGAGAGGTGATACGTGGGGGAGGTGATGAGAGAAGGGAATGGGCAAGGGAGAAAGTGGAAAAAGGATGAGAGAAGATAAATGAGAAGGTGTATTAAAAATTAAAAATAGGCTTTAGCTAATTACTGTTAACGCTTATAGTTTTAATTCACCATTCCATTTTTCATACAATAGAATGACAATAAATGCACCTATTTCATGCTGGATTCTCCTCTAACCTTATGTTTATTAATCTCTCTATCCCCGTTGCTAATTAGCTTTTATAATGAATCTATCTATTTATTTTCTATGAAATATTTTTTCAGTCGACCAATTGTTGAAAATTTGGAAAGGAATTAAATGGATATTAGAAAGGAAAAGTGGATCACTAAAAGGATTAGACGTCTGTAACATGTGGTCAATGGCGATATAGTAGTCTGGTTATGCTGCAATTGATGCACTATACAAACGAGTCGTTCCTCACCTTCTCGTGTGACTGACTACAATTCGTTCAGTGGGCTAGTAACACTCTACCCCCTAAAAGTACTCTTCTATTCCTTATATCTCGTTAATTCGTAATTTTTTACCCCCTACCCTCTTTCCTCTCTTTCCCTCGCCATTTCCCAATCGATACTGCAACGGCTTGTAAAAGAAAAATAAATAAATAAATAAAAAGAATAAAAAAAAAACAAGGAATGAAAAGTACATTTTTGATATCAATCATTGTTTAACATATTTTTTACGTAATTTTATTATCCCTTAGTTATTTAATATATTTCAAATATTTCAAATGATTACCCTAAGTATCTAATTGACTGGCAATTTTTATTTATGCAGTTGGCCATCATGAAATAAAAAAAAACGAAACAGGCTACCGCACAGTTGCGAATATCGATCGCGTACTGCACCATCAATCATACGGTCTACATACTCGGAATATCTGCCAAACTATAGTCCGACGATTCGGTTTGTCAAGACAAACTGCTTAATCGACTTTGCCACAAGATCACGTGACTTTATACATTCAACTATAGATATCACACCCACCTCTTCTTTATCAGTCCGTCTTTCCCCTCCCTCTCTGTTTTTTTATTACAACTTAATAAAACTCGAGTCATTTTGTGATAAGATGATTTGTAAACTTATCTATTTCATTTATTCTTTTTTCCTCATTTTCTTTCAATCGTTACGTTTTTCTTCCTTCCTTTTTTTTATCAATATCCCTCTGCCGCTTTTGCCAATGAAACGTAATTAATTAGTAATTTCCGAAAGTGGCCTACTGCAACGAGAGAAAGACAACTAGAACGAGGCTTGTGATTTCTTATATTTTATTTTTTGCAGTTGTCTTGGTTATGATTCTTAAGTGAACAAATAAGCTGTTTTGAATTTTATATAGATTAATTTACCTCTCTAGTTAAATGATGTATAGAATATATGTAGTATAGAAAAGCATATTATATTACATGTATACAGTATATTTTATATATACTGTATATATACATATATATATATATATATATATGTTGTACCTTCCTGATACATATATTAATTTATTAATTTCATTCTGTCTATGGACATAGTGTCTTCATGTACACTGTGCCACAAGCGGGATATGTACAATAGATTAAGAGTGTACAGAATATTAAATATATATTTGGCACCATGTCTTCTGTACTATATATTAGAACGGCTAGAATGTTAAGTATTCACTATAAAGTACTATAAACTTGTATGGAATTCATATTTTATATATTGATATGCAGCATACATATAAATAGTCGAATCTATATTTCTATTGTTTTCACTAATTTAAGCTTCAAAACCATAAATAATCAATAAATATGTGAATATTATACCATTTATTACATGGTGCAGTCTTTTATGTTACATACGGATTTTATGTGGACGATCAGCTATATCCGATTACGTTTCGCTGTCGCTCTTTTTGTCCGACGTTTAATAGAATTCAACTAAAAGATTGGTCCTTTCCTGACTTTCGCGCCCTCTGCTTATAGACTTTCTCTTTTTCTTTACTTTCTGTGCTCATCTACATAGTTTTTCTGCGTCTTTCTCTCTTTATTTTATTTCTTTTTTTTTTGCCCTTCAACATTTCTCTCTCCTACTCTTCTTATTTAACCTATTTTCCCTTCACTCTTACCATAATCCATCCTAACGCATGCGCAGAAGACCGAGCTACAATATATCCTAGTAAAGTAAACTATTAATTCTAATGATTGTAAAATAGTGTTTAGAGATTTTTATATTTTTAACCATCTAGAATAAGAATTAAAAAGTAGTACAATTTCATGCTTCATTTAAAATTCCACTACGCAAACAGCGGGCGAAAATCGACTTTGCTATGTGCTAAGCGACATTAATATATTTTAAACGCCTGTCTGTCTATTCCTGACCGCCTCTTAAAGATCGGCAGAACATAGAGATATTGGTCTGTGCTGATACCAGTTTAGCTTGAGGTAAAGAGACGCTAATTTTGTGCTTAGATGTTTTATACATCCTATTCTTATATTATATTTTCTGTCTTTTTTCTCCCTTCCTCTTTATTTTACAAAACTATGAAAAAAGAGAAGGATATAATATAAAATATCTTCTAAAAAAACAAGATAAGTAAAAGAACAAAAGCAAATTGAAAAAAATATATGAAAAACACAGACTGACAAAGTGAGAGAAATGACACAATGCAAATGTTTGCTGTATTCGACGGCCTATAGCCGTAATTTTTTTTTCAGTCTTCGCTCATCGCCTCGGATTTGTGTCATAAACTAGTTAATAAAATGAGTTTAATTGCTTATGACGTTTAATATATACGTGATATATATATTTATATTTGAAGTTTTATACTTAAATACGTATTGCAAAAACTTGAAAAATTCACTTTGACGTGTTAACTAGCCAATGTCCTCTTATTTTATTTACATTGATAACGAATTACCTTTTAAAACAACGCAGAAATAATAAACCCACAGAAATGGTCAAGCTAATCTGCTTCTGACAATTAATACGTTATTTTAGATTCTTGATTGCTTTTCTTCTCTCCTTACCTTTTTTCTACTGCTTTTCAATATTTAGTTGTTACCTTCTTTCATAATCTAACTCTTTTCCTTTTCCTTTACTAACCCTACCCTAAAAATCTTTATAATACCTATAAAATATGTTTGATGCTAATTTCTACTATTTGTGGAAAGAAAAGGAAACTATGTAGTAGAAAAAGAAAACATACCTATGAAAAAAAAATACAAGAATGTTATGGAAAACTATTAAAAAGAAATATTAAGATTTTCTATAAATTCTATAACTATATAAATTGCCTTTACCGATTTTCATACGTACTCTTTTCTTTTCTCCTCCACAGAAAAAAGTCTAGTAATCACATTCCGAAATCCGACAGTTGTTTAATGAAAAAAAATACTGCGCAAATTGTATTAAAACAGCGAGGAACGGGTTGGAAATCGATTGAACTCGCGTTCAATATTGAACGACAGTTCCTTTGATGAATGCAAAAAATTGATTTCGGACGAGGTTTCCTCTTCCTCTTTTTCCTCTCCTAACCTATCCTATCCCATGAGCAAATTCATAGACGATTTATATATTAGCATAGGAAAATGCAGGTATATTTTGATAATTATTATGAAAAACATATATATATATATATATATATGAAAATACGTGCTTACAAACTGCGTATAGTATGTATTTATTTATACATATTGTCCAAACTGCACATAGTATTTTTTTCTATATATATATATATTTGTGGACAATTTATATATGTGTATATATATTCTGTATATAAATATATAAATATTCTATGAATTTATATATAAATTGTCCGCAAAACAGTGAATATATATATATAAGTAGGTTTTATATATTTTACATTTTTACACTCATTATATTCCTTTACTGAATGTTCTATTTATATATTACTGTAAACCTGGCCTCATCGCTTTTAGCTCAACATTTTACTGACTTTCTCTTATTCGAGTTAATTAACAAAGTTAGTGAGCCGTTTGTTATTAGATGTGTTCCTTTCGAATAATAAAAGGTACCCACAGCAAACTAGTAAAAAAAGACGACTATTTGTTAGCCGAGAGCCGAAAAGCTCGAATGTCAAGGTCATTGCCAATTGGGAAGTAAAATATTTTCCATTTCTTTTTCTTCCCCCCTTCTATCGAAATTACATTTTATTCTCAGTTGACATCCCCTTTCACAACATAGGGGTAAGAAGTGAAAAGGAGGGTAAAGGTGACCGAACTATAGGAAAAAGACCCAACCTTTATGTTTCCGGTATTAGCGGAAGAGGGATTACAAGATAGTGACAATGTAAAAACTAAGTAACGGCAACAAACAAATAGATTAAATATGAAGTATAGGAGAAAAAGGGAAGAGAGAGAGAGAGAGAGGGAGAAAGAAGGGCAAAAGGGAATGAATGATAGAAAGACAAGGAGAGTAAAAGAAAAGAAGAAGAGAAGCAGTATCAGAAAAAGAGAAAATGAGACAGACAGAGAGAGAGAGAGAGAGTAGCAAAGAAATAAATAAGAGTAAATTTTTTACATAGGAAACAGTTGTTTTAATCGCTTTTTTTAAATAAATTAAGCGAATTCTTTTAAAGAAAAAATATGAATTATTCATAAAATAATATTGTTTTAACAGTTTTTAAAAAATAAAACTTAAGGATCTGAACGAATAAACGATAACAATCTAGTTATTCAAATACTAATAATAATAAAGATAAAAACTTACAAGGATATTTAAGAGAGCAAGTTGATAAAAATTTAATAAAATATGGCAAAGTTTTTCCGAAAAAAAACAAGAATATTTTTTCCTATACCGTTGAAAAATCCGCCTGCAACGACTCGCTTTGAGCCTTCGGATTGCGACAATTGCGCCGCCTAGTGTCAAATCGAAACGCTTAATAGAATTAGACGTCGAGTGTAGGAGGGTTGAGTTTTTTAGACGTCGCAATTCGGCCGTTGGCTACCATGGAAAGGTGTCGCAAAAAGGCAGTTAGGTTACTCTCATTCTTCATTATTTTTTTATTTATTTCACTTTTTTTCAAGAGAAAAATATTCTTTGTTTTCTCACATTTTTTCAAAGAGGACATCTAGAAAGTAGGGCAAGGAATTTTATAGATGGGAAAGGGAGGTTTGGTTGGGTTACAGGTTTATTAGAAGAAAAAGGATAAGGGTGAGAACTCTAAAGCTTAAGGGGGATCATATGCATTGTAAGAGCGAAAAAAATATTTCGACAATCTGACGAGGAATAAGGAAAATAGATTTTGAGCAGAGGAGAGACCCAGTAACCTATGCCTATAGAACTCTAAGGTCAGGACGCCATCCCTTAAACAATATTCTTCGATTTTGTTCTTTTGCCTTTATTTTATGTATATATATTTATATATATTTATATATATACATAAAGGATTACTTCTTAGAATTAATTTCTTTCTTTGTACACTTAGCGTAAACTTTTCAAGTTTAAAGGACTAATGGGAATGAGAAGAGATGAAGGAGAAGGATAGATAGTTAGATAGATAGATAAATAGATAGATAGAGAGAAAGAGAGACAGTTTCCTACTTTCCGCCTCTCGTTGATATAGTCGGAGAGCATTCTTTCTATTTCCTTCTTTTGGTTGATTTTAACGGGTTTTTTTCCCGTTGTACTTTTTTTTCAGCCTAACCTTGGTGAAAAGCAGCAAAGGCTGATCCTGCCGTAGGGTGTTTTTCAAAGTCCAGAAAATATACATATATACGTATTACAAATAACCCAATAGCCCCTTACAATTGTTATCTGTTCTTTTCAATCTTTGAAAGATGAGCTCAGAAGGTTGAGGCGGTTAATTAGGTTCTTCTTTCTTGTAGATTTTACTTCTCCATTGATGATTATGAATATTGAAGGAGGATCAGAAATTTATCTGTTCTATACGCAAGGATGTTAGGGTCCTTGTGATTATTATATGCTATACTATTTCGCTTATTTATGTACATATATGACAAATCTTTTATGGGCGTTTTGAGTAGGAGATCGCATCCACCGTTGACACCACGCGAATGCTTTCTGAGGTTTAGGATCCAGGATCATCATTGTAGCCGTAATGAGTCAATTCGCTGGCAACCATTAATTATGCGTAATTGGTTTGAATTAGACGTCGAATATGAGGTGCTGTTACTTCCCTTCTTAAAGGCCACATTCTCCACCAGCAACACGGACGTCATCGATACCGATATCAGCAAATGCACCTAGGTCCAAGATTGTCTCAAAGACAATCTTGTAACCGAACCTAGTCAGTTCGCCTGGCACGTCTATGTTCGCTTTTGTCCAGAATGTGCCTTGATTGCCATACGCCGACCACTTTGGTGTCGGACCACTATCTTTTGTGTGGGTATACACATTTAACGTTCCTACGTTATAACCAACCATATAATAGAAGAAACTAACACAATGACTGTCCATCCCAAAATAATAGGGACTAGCAATAAAAGTTTTTTGACCTCTGTATCGACCTCTTTCTGGTGAACTACTTGCAATATGCAGAAAATAGCCTGTCGGGAGGAACTAATTAGATAGATTAAAGTTGGCTGTATCATGCATTTGTACCTCGCTCACTACCGCAAGTATGGTCTATCAAAGAAAGACCAGATGGCAGCACTGCAACGTTTGAACGACCCCACCAGATGTCACTTAGCGAATTTGAATTATTTTCCTCGAAACCGCAAAGAGCATCATCTTCAAAGCCGCAAAACATTGTTGTATGTGCTATAAATTGAAAAATATAAAAATTTATGTTTATCATTATGAATTGGCCTATGGATTTGCAATGAAATAAAAAGTTCATGTAACAAAGCAACAATTGGACCCTCATTTTTTATCAAATGTCATTTAATTAATGGTTAAGTTGGATAGCGCTATTCTACTAATCACTAACAATATGTTTTACATTAAATATTATATTTTACAATAAATAAAATAAAGACTATTTAAAGGTTTTGTATCCTTAATGGAAAAAGTAAACATAAACTACTCAGAAACGATCAGATAACCACTTTTTCTCTCAACCTGTCTTTTATTTAAGGTTTCAGGTCTTAATAAAAACGAGAGGTTTTTATAAAACATATTAAAATCAAATGGTAAAGCTTTGTTTTAATTATATATGAATAAAGTGTTGATTTATCAGCAATCATAAGCAGTTGAAAACAGGAGCTTTAAACTTAGACTTATTGTCTTTCATTGAGTTGTTCCTTGGATCTGTCCATCGGCGTGTCTGCACGCGCTTGTGTATATATATTTACATATATACATGTGTGTATGTATATATACATATATACATGTGTGTATGTATATATACATATATATATTTCTCACTCACTCTCTCTCTCACACACACACACACACACATACATACACAAAGGTGTACATACAGATATATATATACATAATACATACAAGAACACTTTTCTCTCTTTTTTCTATCAGACTTTTCTCTTTTTTTACCCTTTTTCTCTAATTGTCTCTAAAGAGCTTTATTATAATTATTGTTAGTATGCATACACGTGTAAAAGAGACATGGAAGCAGTATATATTCTGTCACCCTTAACTCTCTATATGTAATATATATAAATATATATATATATAAATAGATATATATATATATATATACACCTATCTAAATATACAGAATATATATATTGTATAAAACAGTTGGATTATATAAATAGAGCAGATATCTTTGAATAATTCCGGAGGGTTTTTGTTGAAGTTTCGAATAGAAAAAATAAGTAAAGATTTTCTATGAAAAATTTTTTTGTTATCTTTGAAAATAGGAACCTTTTATGTGCTGTATGGTCGTTATTTTTACTATTTTAACTCAGCCTATTCGCATTTTTTATCTATCTTCCCTTGAATAAACAAAAAAATAGTTATCTCTAACTATTTCGCTCTTTCTTTACATATTTTCCTTTTTACTTGGCATAGTCTTAACACATTGTGCAGAAAGGTAAAATTCTAATCATTCCCCTCCTGCTACAACTATTTGGTAATGCCATCTATCGGCATAAATTTACCACCAGGGTTAGAAAACTTACAATTTCTACAGCGATTCAAAGTTGGAAGAACTACTGCAAGTTGTTTTCGAAGTATTTTGGCAAGTCTCATCCATTTTCTAACTTCTTGCTTCAGAACTTTGTTCTGTCTAGCAACTGCTCTAAAATCATCTGTACAGTTTTCGAACTCATCTTCTAAATAGCTGTGATTCCTTTTTAATTCCTCGTTGAAATCCATAGATGTCTGAAGAAGTGTTCTGGCTGCCTTTAATTTCTCTTCTTGCTCTCGAAGTTGCTTCTTTTGTTCATCATTCTTTTCCATAAGTTTTTCTATCAAACTCTCTAACTTTTCGATCTTTTCATTTTGCTTTTCACTTTTCCTTCTTTCTTCTTCATAGAGTCTCTTGAGTTTTTCTTTTGAGCTTTGACAATCATCCAAATCTTTTCTAAACTTATGAAACTTTTCACCCAGCTCATACAACATATCCCGTTCATCTTGCGAAACCTTCTCTGCCTCTTGCTGCTGTTGTTCGAAACGTGTTCCACAATATCTATTTGCATCTACATCTATTTCAAGTCGACTTCCAACCCGACGAATAGAGCAATCCTCCTCCCATGAATATGGAAGATAGATAGAAATGATGAGAAGGAAACGCAAGAGAACTTCCATTGCCGACGTCCACTTTCAGAGTGCGATTCTGGAAAAGATTCTCCACATTTGTTAATCATATGTCGAAACATTCCATTTCAAAGTCACTTAGTGCATGTTCCGATTTTCCGAGGTCGGCTGACCGTGTTATATAACTTATTTTTATAAAAATCAATTGTCTACGGAGTTACCCTTAAGTATTTTACAGTGAGGCTTAGCTTGGAGCATCATTGAACATCAGATGCAAAAAAAACCGGGTTTTGACGCAGATGAAACTGTTTTTAAAGATGTGATTTAGAGAGTAGAAAGAGAAGATTCGAAAAAAAGCTTTAAAATATCTAGACAGACTTATGAAGATGGATAGAAAGGAGACAGGGAGAGGATAATCTATACATTGTGCATTACTTCCTATCAAATGATATTAAAATCATAACTTTCTCCCCGAAATTATCAAACTTAATAAGCGTCTTAAATGGTTAATGCATTCAATCAAAAGATTTGTATTCGTTGGTGAAATTTTTAAAATTGTTTATAATGTATTAAACTATTTAGAAAGCAAATACGATAGATGGAGCCATAAGATTCTTTCTCTAGAGTTTAATTTCTTTAATCACGTCTTATTCTCATTATTTATCTTCGTATTTCTCGATCGGACGAATTGGAAAGGTCCCATAGTTTCGGTTAAAACTGGTGAAAGTTCCAATTCATTCATTATAATAATTGAGAAACGAAATATCAAACAAAGAATAACTGTTAAAATTGATAAACGACAAAAAAACCGTTTAGAGAATTCCGTAAAGGAATCTTTAACGTGTCCGTCACTTTTATAATAGCATTCCGGATCCTTTATTTCTATGGAATTAATCCATTTTTTATTAATAAAAGTCATTTGGATTAGTATCCTATATTTTTATTTATTATTTCTTTATTCTTTGTGTTTTTTTAACAAAAATTGAAAAAAAAATAACGTCACCATGATTCCAAACAGATTAAGACGGATAGATAATTTATAAGAACAAAATGACCTAAATTGGCTTTATTGAAGAACTTAAATAAGCTTTTTATTTCATCAGTTTTTTTTATTAGAGGAGATGGAGAACTATAGATATACTGTATAAATTTATATATTTACATTGTTTTTATATATATATATATGCTATTTATATGTGTAGATTGACAGATAGAGATAGATTGATATCGAGAAAGAAAGGAAGAGAGATTTAGAGCAATAGATACATTGACGAAAAAGAAGACTTGTCTTATATATATTTTTATTATTCATTTTTCTCTACCACCTTTTTATTTATCTGTAAAATGTTTATCTTCCTCTCTCTGAGTTGATTATTAAGTATTAAAAAAAAAAACAATGAACAATGACGAGAAATGTCAAATTCTCTTTGCTTTAAGTGATTTAACGAGTGGAGTATTTAATGAATTATCACTATAGTTGATACTTGTGGCTTCATAAATAGCATCAGCTGACAACCTGGAATTATACATATCTTTCATCCTTGGATTCTCAGAAACTTGTGACGTGGAACTGCAAAAAAGGGGAAGGAATGGAAATGATATAAAAAATTTAAAGATGGAGCATCAGCCAATAAGCTAGTTGCTTTTGCTGATTATACTTTGAAGTTAAGACATTATCTGTCTTTTTCAATATGAATGACTTACTTTTCATGCCTCTCATACGCAAAATACCTTTGTTTCCAAGCTCTAATTTGACTTGTCCCATGGGTTTTGAAATAACACACGCTAAGAATAATTACTGCTAAAAGTACAGCGCCTCCTAACGTTCCAGCGATGATAACCAAGTGATTGATCTTTGAGGGGAACGTTCCCTTCGAAACTTCATTGCCTACAGTACTGACATCTGAAATACATGGATTATGTCAATATTAGTTTAATTTCGGGGGAGGGTAAAGGGGAACAATATTTGTACTAACCAAAATCCTCGCAGAGTTCTCCGCTAAATCCATGAAAACAGAGACATTCGAAGGAAGCTTCTAAATCTTTACATTTTCCTCCATTTTTGCAAGGATAACTTTCGCATTCGTTGACGTTAATTTCACAAAGATTACCTATTTTTGTGTAGAAAAAGGAATTATTTCCTCAATTTTGGATTTCTTTCTTAAAATATAATTCATTTATCTTTCTTTTCTTCAGCGCCGTCTAACGGATATTAAAAAAGCTTACTTTTCTACCGCTAATTTACCAGCTAAAGGTTAATATTGTAGCCTTTTGTCAATGATTTACCATCAAAGCTGGTAAAACGTAGCGTATCTTAACTATTATATAGAGGGAGCCACCAAAATGGGAATATCTAATGCATTTTTATTATGGTTTGGAAACGCCGGTCAGAAAGCGATTAAACGGAAATTGTAGAAAGAAGGCGCGTAGTTTGTTCCCTAGAGAATTTCAAATTTCCTACATTCTTTTCCCTGAAAAAACCATATACAAAGGAGAGATAATTTCACAACTTTGGTGCAATTAATTAGACAATATTTGTCAACTAAGAAGACAAATCCCTCATCTCCCACCCTTGTTCGATTAATGTTCGCTTTCCTTACCGTTGAATGTTTGACGCTAAGTTTGTTTTTTATCCCCTAGCATGTATGAAGAAGATTTATAAAAGGAAACCTCTTTTTTAATAAGAACATTAGTGAACACACCTAATCCTTAAAAACCCTGAAAGCTGAGTTTTCTCTTTATTCTACCCTTTTATAAGGAAAATAAGATAGAAGAGATAAAAAATAATATACATTTGGTAAGAAAGAAATAATGCCTTCAACGAAACATAAATCATAGGAAAGCGGAAAGTAAAGAATGCGTCGAATAGGCCTAATTTTTTGTAAAAATTTCCTCGTCCTCTATGCAGATACGCAGTGAACGCCTGAAATGGCTGGCTGTCAAACATACTTTCGATATTCATTGTTACATTAAGAGTAGAGCGCAGAGCCTCAAAATGTTTGTTTGCGCATAAGATTGCAAGCTATCCAACTGTTAATCTCCTAAGCTTCAAAAAAAAAAAAAAAAGGATTTAAGATTGATATCCACCTGTCCATCCATTTTTGCAAATGCATTTAAATTCTTTGCCAAGATCGACGCAATCTTCTTCATTCTTACATGGGGACGGCTTGCATAAATCGACCTTTTTATATCAAAAGAAAAAGGAGATGGTGTTACTATTTTTCCCTTCAGTTGAATAAGTAAAGATAATTCGTATTTTATATGAAAAAGTAAACAAACTTTGATTTCGCATTTTTCTCCCGTAAATCCGTTTGGACAGAAACATTCGTATCCACTTCCTATCTGCGAACAATGTCCCCCATTCTGGCAGGGCGAACTAACGCATTTTTGTAAGTTGATTTCGCAATTTCGTCCAGAATATCCTGTTTCGGTCCAAAATAATATTTACTCAATTAATGCAAAAATCGTGTATATAACTGAACCTTTCCAATATAAAAAAAATTTATTGATCTCTACTCTATAATTTTTGTTAAGAGCGTGCCGTTTTAATTAATTCTACCTTAATGCCATTTTCTCTATTCTCTCTTTGCTAAATTTTCATCAGAGAAATTCCAAGTTTTTCATTTAATTATAATGATAGTTTAATATTTTTCCTTATGTTTTTAATAGAGAAGATTAGAAATATACTTAACGAACAGTAATTAATGATCATTTTAATATTGGTAAGTAAATAAAAAGAAAAGGATAATGAGAGCATTTTACCTTGTCCCTTTGATCTAATACATTACTTGAAAGCGTGTCAGTCCTCATTTAGATGGTAAAATATATGTTATCCCTATTTTTTTACCTTCCTATGTACTCCATACATATATACTATATACAATTTTGTATTGATGCTGATAATAAAAGAAAAGTTACCTGGCATACAGTAACATTGGTAAGCATCTGCCTTATCAATGCACAATCCGTTAATGCATGGGTTACTATAGCAATCATTCCTGTCAACTTCACAGTGATCTCCTTTAAAAGCTGTAAAGAAAAGAAGAATAAATACGAAATGTTCTATAAAGATTCTATTAAAATATTGATTTATTAAAGTAAATTAAAGGTATGCTTCTAAGACATTCACTTATTCGTACCTGGCGGGCAATTGCACTCGAAATATGTCCGATTACCTACACAAGTTGCATTATGCAAGCAAGGTTGTTTATCGCACAAGTTGTTCACATGGCTTTCACAGTTCTCACCCGTAAAACCTGTTATGTAAAATAGATAATTTTTGTATTAATATCTTATAAGTAGAAAATATGTGCGTAAGGAGAAAAAAGTACTGGATTTGAAAGCATTTTATATGTAAAGAGGAGGAATAATTTCGTTGAGAGAGGATAAAAAGAGGAAGGACAAAAATTGAGAGGGAAAGAGGGTCAGAGAAGAAAAAGGGTCAATAATTGATTTAGAAAGAATATTAACTTAACAATTAGTTATTTTATAGGTTAGGACGACAATTAAGTAACTAAATGAACTTTCTATTTTTAGATCTTTTTTGTTTTTTCACTTATTATCGAGGCTATTATTAGACGCCTCTCTTTAAAACTAAAAAATAATAGCATAAAGAAAAATGACGATAACATTGAAAGAGAAACAATTTGCATTTACCGACCTAGTTTGCAACTGCAATTATATTTTTTTCCAGTCGGATCTCCGTAATGATCTAAGCATTTACCATCATTTAAGCACGGCGACGAGACACAAGCATCCTTATCTTCGCAATATTTACCTGTCCATCCAGGACAGCATTGACAAGTGTAAGATTTCTGATTGAAAAGAAAGAGCTTAGCATAATTTTATCTTTTATTTAATTATTTGTTAGATGTTTATAAAGTACATATTGTATACTATGAACTTTTCAATAATAACAAGAAAGTGTCTATACATCCATAACGGGAGAGAAGGTGAAAAAAAGGAAAAAAAGAGAGAATATATATTTAACGCAAAGAAAAAATTGAATTTTTCTTTTTCACCCTTTAAAAACCGTTTTAACATCGTATTTCTTTAACCTTGTCCATTTGTTTTCTCTTAATCTATACATTTACAAATTAATAGGAATCCGGTACAACGGATTTCACTTCAAAGCATCAACGAAAAAGAATACAGCTTAATAAAACAAAGTTTATTTAAGATGAGTAATCAATACATAGTACCGATTAAGACGTCTAGAATTGTTCGTAACCTAGTCTTAGGCCTACGTTTATATTAAACCAAATCTGATCTATATCGTGCGAATAAATTACTATAAATACCAAAGGTTGTTGCGTATTTTAGAGACGTACATTTCGTTAGAATAATCACAGTTATCCTGTATATATATTTATAGATAGATGGATAGATAGATGGATAGAGAGAGAGAGAGAGAGATAGAGAAATATGCAAATATATTTTACATCTACATCTATGTTATGAAAAAAAAGTGATCAATCTGTGACTAAAAGATTAACGGTGTTAAAATCGAAATTCTCAATAGCCTTTATGTAAGGAGTAAGAAAACGTCAATTTCCTTTTTTCTTTTCCCTTTTTTTAGACTCTATAGACAGTTTTTTTATGTTTCGGCGAAGAAAGGGAGAAGAAGAAAAAATCTAAAACTAATTAAATGATGAGCTATCCGCAAATAGTATATTACTATGTTTCTTAATAAATATTCTACGTTTCCCACGTACAATCCCTGAAGGGGCTTTTAAAGCCTAACTTGTATATATCGGGGGATAAATGATGACGTCATAGGAAATATCTTTTAAAGCGTATATGTCTACTACAGATTTCGGTTCTCGAGATCTAAATCAAAAAAATAAGATTATATACTAGATTGATTAATCAAGAGTGGATGAGCGAAAAGAAGAACTGAATACAAGGGGCTTTGGGGCCTTCGTATTCTTTCTCTTACGTTTATTTTCTATCCTCGATTAACGTCGGAAATCAAACGTTTTTGTAACTTTCTACGCTAGGATAAACTTGGATCAACCTTTTTTTTCTGCAGCATAAATATATACCTATTTATTATTCAAGACTATGACTTAGCAGCGTATAGAGCATTAATAAATTAAATTATTAATTATCCTTCAGTTTTACCATAAGAATCGACTTGTTTTTTGTCGACGTCCTCCTTCATTTTTTTTCTTTCTCTCTCTCTCTCTCCCTCTTTCTTGTTCTACTTTAAAGGAAACGCAAAGATGGTATGCTAGATTATCTGTACCGCTCTATAAGCCTCGAGGGCGAAAGGGGAAGAAAATTCGACAGCGAAGAAGAAAATTAATTGAGGGGAAAAAAGATAATGGCAAATATAAATAGGAAATTTTAAGGACATTTCTGCATGTTCCATAAAAAAATCGGCGACATAACCTCATTTTTTATATACAGACAAATGTATTCTACCTGCGTTCTATGCGTCACACATCGTCCTCGTTTCCAGCAAGCATCTTTCATTTTAGGTTCTTGACAATCATTCTTCTTTACAGTTACGTTCAATTTTAGGCCGTATTTACATTTGTATATCAATTCAGGCGTCATTTCCGCTATTGAAAGGGAAACACAATTTTATCAACACATATAAAAGAAAGGTAAAGATTGCCAGTTATATTATTCTATTTCGAAATAAACATTAACTTCGCTCGACCTTTTCGTCTAATTAGTTTTGTTTGACAAATAAAACTAGTTTAACGGGCTTCTGTAATTTTTACATAACCCTTCATAGTTGACAAAAGAATGAAAAGATTTATTTTACATACCCAAAAAGTAATTCGAACCATAGTCCATATCTTTAAGTTCGATGTAAACATCCTCAGAGGTCCTTTCTCCAACAAGAGGTTTCCCTCCAGATGTCTGGCATATTTCAAATGAATTGTTATCCACTTTAAAATATTGAAATGCTATTGATTCATTTATTTTCCGACTCGGGTAGAATCTAAAAGAATATTTTATTAAATAATGAAATAATAAAAGACAAAAACAGATATATTTCTCTAATTATTTATCTATTATTCGTACCGTAGACGAACTCCAGGCTGAATTTCCACGGGCATTAGCTGCGGGGATAATGACTCTATTTCATTGCCCAGGTGATGACAAGTTGGAAAGGACTCGCAGATATGCTACAAAATACGATGAGAAATATTATAATTAAGTTGTTTTAACTCGCGCGTTTAGAATATATATAGCATATGCTTATTTAAAATAAGAGGAAGAGAAACGTGTTGTCAAAGCCGTATTTTTTCTCAGCAATGATTATAGTAATAAAAAAAAAAAACGCTTTCTTACATGTTTTCTATTTTTTTCTTATAGCGCCACATTAACGTCTATTTCATATACTGCACTCAATAATTAAGTTCCTTAAATGTAGTTTAGAAACTTGTTAAGTTTAAGTGATAATTAGTCGTATAGAAAATTAAAATATGAAACTAGCCTATTAAAGTGTGCTCCTATAGATTTCTTCCTTTTGTTGTTTATAATAGTAATTATCGAGCATTTGTTTTTTATGCTTGTCTCTTTTTTTTTAAAAAGAAAACGCCAAGAAGAATCTGTTAGCGCTATTTAATTTTGGTTGAGCTAATCTTATTTAAAATTAAATTACATTTACCGTAGAGTGTAAGCTTTCTATTTAGATAAGATAAGAAAACAAAGAAGAGACATAGTAATGCAAAGCTATTTATAATGATTACGAAGCATTACGATATTATTATCCACGGATTAAATCGAGTAATCGCGTGAGTTAAAATGGAGTGTTTCTCTATGGTTATCGGACATATAAATGAAAGATTCAGTAATTTTTTAAATCAGAGTATAAGAAATATGATAGAGAACCGGAAGAGGGATCGAGAGAAAGACAAAATGAGAGTGAAATAGTGATGTAGTGGAACAGACAAAGAAATACAGAAAGAGACAGGCGAGGAGAAAAAGAAAAAGAGTGAGAGAATGTTATTTTCTTGATTCAACTTTACTTCTCTTGGGGAAGGCTTATTCTCAACGGCCTAATAGATAAACCTTACAAATCTAATAAAATTAAGGGCATAAAAAAAATATAAAGACTTATAGTCTATAAATATAGGGACTAGAAAACAACATGATATAATAATCCTGAAGCTACGAATGGGTCAGTAGTCGCGTATCTACAATTTTATCTAATAATAAGCTTAGAGATGTTCGATTTTCTCTCTTCTTATTTCCCATTAGAATTTTCTTTTTAAGCGAACCACCCAATAAACGAGAGAAAATTTTCTAAACTTGTATAGTTATATGTAGAATAGTCTCTGGGGAATGACGTCAAAACTAGCTTGATAAATAAGTAGGAAAATGTCAATTTTTTTATGACATAAAAAGTTTTCTTTTTTTTTTGAACACAGTCTAATAAATAATAAAAAAAACTAGAGAGAAGAGAAAAATCAATGAAAGAGAAAACATTGAATTTTAAACAACACCTGGCTTTAAAAAAAAAATGAATTTTTTTTTATTTTTTTAATATCAATTATTTAATTTGATAGATTATTTTTTTTTGCTAGTTTATACTATTATGAATATTCTGTTATTGTTGATTAAAATGCTAATTTTGATACCTTGCCGTACATCCATTCTACCGAAATAACTTTCTCTGGATTGTCTGTCCATTCAACGTATCCTTTTGGCAATGGTAATTTATTAGGGCAGGTGACTGAGGGAAAATTTTGACCAGTTTCGTTTAATCCGTAAGATTTGAGTGGAATGAGAACGAGCGAAAAGTAGAAGAAAAACATTCCGCTTTTAACTCTGATTATTTTCCAACATATCACGTTCATCTGACAAACTATACGTAGCTATTAAACGCCAAATAGCATATAAACGACATCTATATTAGTTAGTGGCGCCATCTCTGCTTACAACGATTGTTTCTAAAGAATTATTAAAGTCCGATTTAGTAGTATAAACGTCATATTTTTCAACAGTTTTTTTTAAAGGTTACAATCTAATTTAATTATTAATTAATTGATTAAAAAGAATAACTATATCAATAACTTATTTACGAAAAATATTTAATCATTATCCTCTAATTACATTATTAATTCTAATCTCATACCAAGCTATTTAATGGTTTTACAATTGATTTTGTACATAGCAAATTACTTATTTTTTAGACCTAGCTGGTTGTATTACACACAAACAAATATATTTTAGGTGTATATATTAGACTGTTATTAAATGACTGCAGAACAGCATAAAAACTGATCTATACATTGTATAAGCTCATATATTTAAAAAGTAAACTGCTATATTGAAGCATCCTATAAAGAATAATATTTATATTAATATATACATTAGTATACAAATATATAAATCAATAAAAATGTACATTTTCTCTTTTTCTTTTAACCTAAAACTCTCTTCTTTTTTTCTACTTCAGTTGTTCTTAGTTTTACTCCTAAAGATTCCCTTCTTCATATTTATATCTTTCCTTCTTCTCTCTATCATTCTGAAACGTGTATACAGAATCAAAGTCAATATATTTCTTATTTTTTTTAATTACTCATTGGAAAAATAATTTGTAATGGTAAATTATTCGTTTACCTTTCCGCTTTTAACAGGATTATAGGCTTAAGCTAGGCAGCAGCAGTGGCAGGCAGAACAGCAGCTTTCTGCCGATATAAATATATATATATATACATATAGACTAATATATATAATTCCCTGATTGTTATAAAAAAAAGTCAATTGTCAACAGGCTTTTTTTTATTTCGATATAACAGAATATACAGTATATACTGTATATATATATATATATATTTGTGAGGGGAACAATGATCTCGTACGCTTGTATTGGTGTTTTTATGAATAAATTATGCATTACCAAAACAATAAATAGAGAGACTATTATGTAAATAGAATATAATATTAAATGATTTTAAATATCATATTCATAAATACAGGTATAGCTACTTCATTCATTAAGCTATGTTAGTATTAATATATTTATATACTGGATGGAATTGTATAAAAATATATATACTATATCAACATAACAAAGAATAAAAGCAGTGTGAATAACAATGATTCTTCTTTATAAAAATTAGAATATCAATCAGGTAACTACATCTGGCGTGTAAAGTTCGAAAGTATAAAAAAATATGCATATATTATTATATTGACTACATTGAGATAAAAATGAGTAGCAGCCAGTTTTCTTTTTTATTACTTTTATTATATTCTTTTCAATATAAATATTCTATATTCAGCATAACCGTATGTTTATATATATGTATACTTACTCTATGGTGTTATTACGTATGTAACAGTTATATACAAATCTATAAATAGTTCTATATACGCTTAGAACTATAAATGCATATTATCTTAACGTACACACTCTAGCTAAATGAATAGTAAATATACTTTGTATATATTTATTATATAAGAAAAAGCATCTCTGATGTCAAATGTTTGTTAGTTCATTGATTTTCACATTTTCCTATAAAACTCTCAATTGGGAGCATTCTCATCAACTAACTTAATTCAATCCTGTTAAGACTGCAAAAGCAGGGATCTGTCTAAGAAGTTTATCAGATTTCTCGCTTTCGTACTCTTTGGTCAATTTTAATTCCATTTCAACGGTGAAATATATACTTTACGAAATTTTTTGTACTCTTCTCCGCTGAATTTCTTCTTCCTGCTGTAAAGCATTAAAAGTAAAGTTTGTTTTATTAATATGGCAATACTAAAAAATATAATTGTCCTCGTGATTAGGCCTATCATTATCTTTAGAGACTGGAGAGAAAATGTAAACATGAAATATAATAATTAATTAATTTGCTTAATTAATCAAAAGTATTATATTATTTATAAAAGTAGACTTTAATTTTTATATATACTGTATATAAATTTTATATAAAGATACTTATCAACGTAAACGTAGAGTTTAAAAATGAGAAAAATTCCCTTATTTTTGTATATTTTGTATTACGAATTCTACATGGTATATTAAAAAGCCCTGGTGACTTTAATACTTTATATTATACTCAAAGGGAATGTTAATTTGTATTCCCATCTTCCATCTTCTTTTCTTAGCGTCTTATTGGTCTACAAACCTTTCTTTTTTTCATTTTTCTATCTTTGTAAAACTATTTTTTTCTATAAAAATTTCAATACTATAGAATACTATACTTTTTCACTATTTATCCTATCCCAAATCACTTTTTCCCTTTATCCGACCCTTTTCTGTTTTTTATCTCTTCTAATCATCAAACTATACTTTAGTTCTAATTTTATTCATATCTATTTTATATTCATAACAGAAATGACATACTGAATCATAAAATATAACGTTAACGCCTATTATAATTCCATTACCGTAGGGGAATTGATGAATAGAAAGAAAAGTACGAATAATTTTTACATATGAAGAATATATGATAGAGAATAAGTAGACTTGCAAAAGTTTTAATAAAGAATGTGACCAATACATAGATTAATAAGATTAATTAATGCATTTTTTTAGTGTTTTATATATTCCATTTTCTTGTTCTCTTTATTAGTATATATTGAAAACAAATGAATGGTCTCTTCTCTTCTCTCACTTTCATAACAATACTCCATTTATGGAGTAGTTTAAACAATTATTCCATAGTATTACTCACATTTACAATCTATACAACCCTGAATAAATTTTTCTTGTTATTATTATTCGACGGAAGTTTGTTATAGACTTCTGTTAAGAAGTTAAAACAACTCTTAATCAATAATTAACCCTGACAACGTCTTTTGTGATTACATGTTTTTCTAGTCCTTTCTTTAGTTTATCTTTTTTTATTCCAACATAAAAAGTGAATAGATCTGTTGATGAAGTTTATATCAATTTTTTGTACCTTTAATGGACATATTATCCTCTATAATTAAAGAGCTGAAAATATTTACCAAGAAAGTAGGATTGATGATGCCACCTGTAGGATATAAAGTGAAATAATTCAACTTTGTTTAAATACAATATTATAGTTAGTGAATATCGTGATGTTTCTAAAAGATTTTAGAATCTATAAAAAGACTATACACTTTTCCATCTAGAATTAATTTGGATTTATTTAATTAGAACTCTATTTAAAGTTTAATTCTCAGATAATTTCTTGAGATAAACTCCTTTTATGTATTATATACACATATACATATACTGTATATTTCTTGTTAGTAATTACAATTCAACCAAAATGATTATTGATATATATATATATATATATATATATATATATATATATATATATATACAGTATATATATATATATATGTTTTCGTTTCCCGCCTACTCTTTTCGGTAATTCTCTTTCAATGGAATAGTAGATTAGTCTATAAATATTGTCAGCTGTGAATCTAATTATCATGAACAGAAAATTTTACATTTGGCTTCGTTTCACTTTTATAGTTATTTAATGGATAAGAACTGCTTCACATCAGTGAGTATTGATGATTTCGGCTTCACTTCTCCATAGGGAAAATCATGGACCGGAAGTCCTATGCATTAACATGTACAAAATCGGAAGAGATGGTAAATCTGATGAAGTTGATTGAGGTGCTTGATTAATTGTAAGTTATTTAAACACTTGGAAATTATCTAGAAGTATCGTTTTCTTTTCTTTTACATGTAAAGTATTAGAATAACTTTTCCTTTAATTCCATTATTAAAGACAGAATGATGAAAAGGGTATCAGTTTTCCCTTACATTAAAATAATATACTAGGCCAAAATTATTGTCAATGGCATGTCCATGTTTGATTAAACTTTCACAATTATCTTTGGAGGAATCGTCTAAAGAACTTAAGCCGAAAGAAGACGAACGCTATGAAAACGAATCGCCAAAAGACGTATAATAGATTTTCGATACGTTCTAAATACGTTTACTTCACTTTTTCAACTTGATCTAGTAAAATTTTTGTTTTTTAAACGTTTTTTATTCAATTATCGTTCAATTATATTATTATCTTTACATTTTTCTTACACTAGTTAAAAAAAGAAAAAGAGGAAATAAAACAAACAGAATAAAGTAAAGCATCCAAAGTATCGATTACAAAAAGTAAAATGTATCATTTGCGAAATTGAGTAGAAAGAAGAATAGATGTTTTTTTTTTATATAAAACAAAAAGAAACTGTATTATTTTATATGTTTTCGATATATTTCATATCACTTTACGACCAGAACTAGAATAAAATAGAAATAAGATAAGATACCCTTTTAAGCATATATTTGTTTTCTATATTATTTTAGGCTAATAGATTATATTCTTAATTATTGTTATTAGAATTTAAGCATAAATGATAATTAATGAGAAAGTCATTTTTTCCTATGTAAATATTATATAATACATTTTTATATATATATATATACAATATAAGAGGAAGTGTAACATCGAAAAACTGATACATTTTTACTGATTAGCTTTATTCGGAAGTTTGAGGAAATATAACAAGAGTTGTTTCCGGAATAAATTTTGTCTCCTATATAAGTTCTCAGGAAACAAAGAAACTTATGTTCATCCGAAACGTGATTTATTTGATTCACTTACATATTATAATCTAATAATGTGAATTTTATTACAATTAATAATAAAACGTATCTATTATAAGCTTTAATAAATGTTTGGTGTGAATTTTATTGAATAAACTTGTAGGTATTTAAACCATAATCGGATTTGCTGAGAAACAAAGATGTATTTAGTTTAGAGATAAGGAACGTTCGGTGGACATATATAGAGTAGAAGGAATACAAATCAAGATTTCATTTTACACTTTAGCAGTTAGTATTTAATCAGAGTCGTTAATGTCTGAGTCGAGTCCGCGTAGTATCAAAGGCGAACGTGTTGTGTAGAAGGCAGTTAAACTGCTACAGTGGGCACCGAAAATTTTTATAACACTGACTATTTTAAAAGATTCGAATTCAAGGTTATTAGTTAAAATAAAGAGGAAAAAAACAAATTTTACTTCAATCGTTTGTAGTTTCTTACAGAACGATTATTTTTAAGCACATCTTTAAAAAACTAATATTTTAGTATTTATTCGAAAGACATGCATAAATCAGCTATTATGCTACGCTTACTTCAATAAATATTACATAAATAGTTTAGAAAAACCTTTAGTAGCTGAAGTCATATTACTAAAATAGACATATACTGTTATACAACGTACAAATGTTTACAAAATTGAGATTCGTTGAAAGAAAATGTATTAAAATGTTACAGATAAAAAGAACGAACGTATCTCTTGCGTAAGACTTCCTGAAAGGATGCTATTAGATAAATAGGCGTGTTTCTAGTATATTCGTAGTATAATTTCAAATAAAAATAATTACCAATGTTGTCTTTCTTTTGATAACATGTGGTTTTTTAATAAGTACTGTTATCTCTAGGTTTTATCGTTCATTTTTCCACAATTCCTTTTAGCAATGTATAAAGTATATCAACATTTACAGTATATATACATATATATATATACATATATATATATATGTCTATTCAATATGTTACATGTTTACAAATGTATACTTGTTTAAAATCGTATTTATTTAATATTATGATGATCTTTGACCTCATGAAATAACCTTTACGTTTTCAAGTTATAATATAATATTAAATCTTTCAAGATCAGAACTTAATTTCACCTTCTCACTCTCTATCTCTCTATCTATCCATCTATGTCTTTATCTTTTACTCTTCTACTCTTTCTTTCTCTCTCTTTGTTTGATTTGCCTTTTATTTCCTTTGACCAAATAAAATGATGTTGTTGAAAGGGAAAAATACAGAAATAGGAGAAAAACTTATTAACCAAAAACACTTTTTTAATAGAGCTACCACACTAAATACTTTTGACCCAATTTTTCTTTGATTTTGTCTCTAGAATATTTGAATATATATGCATTGAATAAAGTATAACAATCCACGATCGTTTCCCATGAGTAAATGGAATAAATGGTTTGAATTTAGTGTGGCTTTTAAGTTTCCTCTTGTATCCGTATCACGAATTTTTGTCGATCTCTGCTTTTGTTAGACAGTAGATTTTTGTATACGATCCATTGTCTAGAGGCCACGTTTAACACGAACCCGTTTAATTCAATTGGAGATAAGAGCAAGAAATACTTGTTTGAAAGAAAAGAAATAATAAAAACAGGTCTTGTAAGATAATGAGACAAGAGAGAGCGAAAAAAAATAAAACAACACGTTTACGATATGTGACAGCTGAGTGACGTCAACATCAATACCTTATTTACAAGAATAAGACGCATTTTCTATATAAGTCTGGAGTATATAATTTTTTTTATGGTCAACCATAACCTTTTTCGTTTTTTTTCTGTCTCTGAACAATTCATAGTCTTTATGATTCTTGTTCTAGAATGTTTCCTATGTTGTAAAATGCTAATTGATAAGGAATTAATATTCAACACGAAAAGTGAATGCTAATTGTATTAATTAATTGTTATAATAGAAGAGGAAAAAAGCTGGCAAATATCAATCAACAATGTATGTGGTGACATCTAAAGCTGTCTTCGCAACTACATGATATTCCGAAAGAAAACCTTACTTCTATGTCAATACTCTAACATTTTTTGATATTTTGATACTTGAGATGAATGTATTATGTTTATCATTTCAAAGCTCTTCAGCTCTTTTATAAAAACTTTAATTGATCAAAAGAAAAAGTAAAGGAAACGAATGAAGTATTATTGATTAATGGAAATTGAATAAAATCTAATTGTCAAACATTATTATTTTCCTATTATAAATGTTACAAGCTATTTGAATGACTTAAATAAATTCTAAAATAAGGCATATTATCCGATTTTCAGATCAAAGAAACTTCTCCTCGTAACATACTAATAGCAATTAGAGTAAGATAAGAAGAGGAGAGAAGCAAAAAGGAGGGAATAAGGAAAGGCGAATTAAAGGGGAAATCTATAGAATAAAATAAGAGAGAGAAAATTGGACAGGAGATGGGATTAATAAAAAATTTTAAATAGATAAAAATCTGACTATACAGGTTTAACATTGAAATTGTTTAATTATGAAAAAGGAATAAGTCTTTTATCTTTTATTTTATCTGATTAGCTAAATGATTTCCTAAAACATAAATATTTTAGAACCTTTGTTTTGTTCTTTTACTTAAATAATTATATGTACATTATTATCTTGTATATGTAAATATATACGTATACATCTATGGCTATGTATTTACTGTTTAAAGAAAGAGAAAGCTAAATAAAAACCAAATTTTTAAGTAATGACTAATATTTCTATCTAATATGAAAATTCTTAATAATTAATAGAAGTTCACGTTTTAAGAAGATTTGTAATTTATATCTCTTAAACTTCCAAATATATAAATGATATGGCTATAAATGTTACAATATCTAGAAATACTGCTTTAAAGAGTCGATTCAAAGGTTTAAATTACTTGTTATAGATAAAAATGTTTAAAACTATCTATTATTCATTACACTATATATGGCTTCCCAACCGTAAACGCTCACTTCTTGCCTAATTTTTACTTTAATATAGTTTTATTTTAGAATTTCATTTTAAATTAATGTTTTTTGTCATGGAAATAAGAATTCCTCTAATAAAAAGTTCCTCTATATAGTTCATATAAAGAAAATAGCTTATTATACAAGTTGTATAGAAACTGTACTATATTAATATTGTATATCAGACTTTCAAATCTATTAAACCTCTTTAATGAGAAATTAAATAACAATATTATATATCTCAATCTCTTTTGAAGAGGAAACGTAAGTTTAAAGCTATCCATATGCAATAATTATGTAAAATGACACAAGTATAATTACGTAATATTACAGGAATATTGTTTGCTTTATAAAGTTAACTTTTTATGGAAGATTGAAAACAAATTGCTTTGTTTTTGAGAAAATAGAAAAAGATAAAAAAAAATATATAAGAAAGATGAAAAAGAGATAAAGAAGAAGAATAAAAAGTAATCAAAATGTTTTAACATATTGTTTGTTTTGAATAGATGTTTCTTTCGAAGGAAATTCAATGTCAGAAAAGATGGAATATATCTTCAAGGTTGGATAAGAATAGGAATAGGAATAAAATGAAAGAAAGCAATTAATACTTTTAATGAAAAGTTACCGAATTTACATAAATAAAGTAGGCCTATATTTTGCATGAATAATTTTAATAAATAAATATATATATATATATATATATATATATATATATATACTGTATATTATAATTTTTTTACAGGGTGAAGCAATCAACTACACTCTTTTTAAGAAGCTTAGTAGACCAATCAGATGAGTAAGGTGAGATAAATCTCTGCTCGACTTTTTACTTTATATATTTCATTTTCTGAGTACCAACAAAAATTAGATACGTGCTTTACTGAATATTTTTTGTTAAATTTGCTTATTTTTATCCTTTTCCAAGAAATAAGTCATATTTTGTTATACGCCCTCTTATGTGAAAACAAACATCTTCATATCTTGTTGGAAAGTCTGAAACAAAAGAGATAAAAGGAAAAGAAATTATAATATTTATTTTTAGTTAAGAACCTAATTAGTTAATTAATTAATTACAGAATCTAATTCTAAACGTCTTTTATATACTTATTCTATATTTAATTTAAAGTAAATCGAAAATTTACCTAAAATAATAAGCATACCTTAAAATATGTTTGTAAGTATAATTAAACAAAAGAGAGCTATCAATTGTTAATCACTTAAAAGATTCTACGAAAAGATAGCTAATAATAAAGTTCTCTCACTTTGGTGTTAAGCGCACATTTTCTGCCTTTGATTTTCCAACTGCAAAGAAAAGAGATTTGAAAATGTGAATAAAGTTACTGGTATTTTCCTCTTTCTCTCATTCCTACTCCACTTCTTTCTTTCTCTCTTCTCTCTATCTGATTTCATTTTTTCTATCATCTTTCACTCATCCCACGCTGACATTGTTCAAATCTTTAAATAAACGCCTTTTTCTTTAGATTTGTCCCTCTTAATTAAGTAAAAGAATATGTATTAAAATAAGACAGAGGAAAAAGGCTCAGGTGGTGTCTTGGACTTATCTATTCTCTGATTATTATTCACACAACCCTCGAAAGCTATTTGGCCGTGTAATTCACACGTTCTTCCTCTTGTTAATATTTTTGTCTTTTTAATTACTATTATAGGCCTGTAGAAAATAAAGTTTTCCTATTTTCGGTAATTTAAAAAGAAACAGTCAATAGTTGCTGACAAGTGAAAAGGAAATAGGAAGTGATGGAATGTTTAAAGTTAAAACTATTCTTTCACTCTTACTCCCACTCTCCTCTCTCCTCTCTCTACTACGCAGTCTAACATAACCTTCAACTCTCGTTCACATTGTGATAGGCTTTTTTTTTAAAGCAGAACCATGTTCCCTTCTTTCTACTCATACTCCTTCTCCTCCCCTTCGCCCCCTTCTTATTCTGTATTCTATTCATATTCTCCGTTTTATTCTCAATAAACAAGTTTATCTCAGAATCATATGTTTTAAATAATTAATACTTTCACTCAATAGATGTATAGACGTTATCGATATTGTTAGACAAACAACTATTTAACAATACCCTTGTCAATCGTAAAGTATATCTTGTAGATAGTGAATTATATTGATCATATTTTAAGTATAATTATCATATTCATATTAACTAGTCAGTTATTCATCAATCTGATTTATTAATTTACTATTCAAATCAGAAAGTATCTTCTGTGAACTTTGTAATAAGGCTAGATAATTAAATAAAGAGAAATATTCAGTCAGTCATGCCAATAGCGTAGGATTTTTGTTTTCGTTGAAATGACATAAAAGTTTTAAATTCCATTAGAAATTATTTATCGCAGAGATTACTTATGAATTTAATACATAATAGTGTACTCTCATTTATTTGCATATACTATTCCAAACTGCTAATGGAATAATAAAGAAAATATCACTTAATGTTCCTACATGCTTGAACAAACGTTTAACAAACTGACCATGAAACCATCAGTTGACTAATTTGAGCTTTATCGTTTAAAAGATCAAGCATTTAATGTAAACCAAGTACAAAAGTATTGGAAAATGAGTTACCTAAAATCAATAAATGTCAAATCATGGAAATTAATTTTAAAATTTAGCAGTTGAGATGAAAATTAGAGTTTTGAAAGGAGGATTTTTAATCATGGTTTTTTTAAAGGACTTTAAAAGCTGTTATAAATTTCTTTAGCCTTTATAATAACAAATCCCAACGATTTTTATATCTTTTAAATTAAGATATTTGGCATAAAAGAGGAAGGATTTATGGACACTCGCTAAGGTTAATGATTACTGTACTGATTAAATAAGGCTTCCACACGTTGGCCTAGATTAGAGAAAGCCCTTATACATATTTACTTTTTTCAAGACCCTCCTCTCTCCTCTCAATGCTCCTCCTACTCCTCTTTCACTCATACAACAAGAATAGATACATTTTATATATCAAGTTGACAATATATAAATTTGTATCCTTACTCTATAACTCTTTCATCACTTTCATTACACTATTACTCTCCTACCTCAATAGCTTTAAAAGTGTAGAACATAGCATTCTGCTGGAGTCTTTCGCAAGCCTCTTCTTCAGAGCCTCTCTTTCCCCAGCCCATCGCCCGCTTTCCCCAGCCCATTGCTCTCTTTCCCCAGCTACGTCTCTTCTCTTCAAGAGCATCGAACTGGAAAACATTTCCAAGTATTAAAAAAAACGGAAAAGGAAAAGTAAAAAAGATTTATTGATGAATTTTATTGAAACTATTTACTTATTGATTGTTTAATTACTAATAATATTCATAAAAATTTCAATTGAAAGACAAAAAATTTCTTTATCAATCTGAGTAATAAGAAAAGAAAATCTCTTTATCTTCACAAGTGACATGACTAATTAGCTTACAAAACCACTAGGTTTAAACTTTATTAACCTCAATTCTTTCGTGCAAAAAGAGCATGAAACCAATCCAAGGATTATATATATATATACATATGTTTAGTTTCTATTTTTATATAAATCTTAATTCTGTATTTCTCAAATGGCTCTTATACCAAAACAATTTAAAAGATATCCTGCTAAGCCTAGTTGACTCTTTCTCCGCCTAACCTTATCACTCTTCTTTTCTTCTCCATTTTTATCGTCTCCAGCTACTTATTTATTAAATAGAAATATTCCTCACTTTTATCTCTCTAGTCAATTATTAATCAGAATAACCTACTTCTTATCAGGGATATCAATTACAAACCCCGAAGCAGCCATTCTCCTTTCTTTTGAAAATTTAGTTGCTTTTTCCTATATTGCTTAGTATAATAAGGGAATCTATTAAGAAAAACTTGAAAAATGTCTAAGCAAAAGAAAACAGACAAAATTTCCATCTAATCGTACTAATTAATGACTTGAATTGTTTCCGAAAAGTCATTGAGATAACACTGAAGAGTAGTACTTATTCTTACTCTATACTCTCAAAATAATTCTCCTATCCCACTCCTTTTACCTCCTTTTCCCATTCATTCTATCCACTTGCTACCCTCTTAAAGATGATATAAAGATTTCCATAATTATATTAAGAAGAGAAACGAAAAGCGACCTTTTTTTAACTTGTTCCCTAAATGAATAAGATATCGTTCAAAGAGAAAGAAAAATACAGATTATATATTAACTTTTCAGAAAACTTCTTCTCTTCTGAATTGTCGTCTAATCTCAGTAATTTCCTGCAATAGCAGGATTTTCCAGATTCTCTTATTTGACATTTAACCAAATTTTTTAAGTACTAAGAAATAAATTATTAAGATAGTTGATTATTTTAGTAACTTATCTAGTTTAAATAGAAGAAATCGGTCATTTTTACTTTACTCTTCTAAACTAAAAGAAAGTTTGTCAAACAAAATGTCTTTAACACCTTCATATATATAAAGGCCATTTTGATTATATTCTTTATATAATATAAACTGTTAGCCGATTGATAACTTTTCATCTTTAAATTTCTATTTTTTTTTTAGTAAAAGTTAAGAGAAAACTATATTTTATCAATTGAACTTACTCTATCTTCATCATCCGATCTCTTTCCCCATGACCTCTTTCCCCATCCTCTTCTCTTTTCCTCAGCAGGAGATTCGTCGGCAGTAACGTAAATTGTAACAGCAATTAATAGAAAAGCAACCACAGCTAACTTCATATCGTAATATCTTCTCTTCTTTTCTATGTAGCATAAAACTGACGACAGACGTCGTATTTTATACCTTAACAGCCTACGCCTAATGAATATTCATCTGCATATAATAAAAATTAATCTAGGCGTTAGTTTAAATTCGTATTTCTATGTGTAGGAATAATCATATTTATGAAACATAGATATACATAAGTTTAATCTTTATAAGTCGAAGCAATTTATAATTGTATTTAAATAATTTATAATATTTAAATGTACTGCACATAAATTCAAAAATCTGTACTATCTAATGAATATGTATTTATGCACTTTCTTCATCATCACCTCGTGCTGCTTTGACTACTTCTTCTTGTTCCCCTTCATCAATATCTTTGCCAAAGATGTTTATAGGTAACGACATTTAAGGATAATGATTTTAAATAACAAGTTTCTTGTTTTTCTGCTAAAGATACATGAATTATTCACCTATTCTTGTTCTTTCAAAAAAACCCTTGAAACGTCTACCTACTATTATAATTACTTCAAATTTCTATTTATACATTTTTGATTCTAAATTTATTCCGATCGCTTTCTATTAATCTAATGATAAGGTCAAAATTTATCTCCATCCTGACGTCATTAGACAGTAAAGCGTTGTATTTTCCTATCGAGTGTTAATTATTCAGCAGTTTTCCTTTATTGTATTACGATATTTCGATAAATTACGCCAATTACTTAATTAACTCGAGTAAACATACACAAATACAAAGGTTTGCAGATATAAATTAAACTACAAACGTCATCAGAAATACTACAAAATATCTATTTTATATACTTTGGCTGTATTATTCAAATGTCTATTAATTATATTCACAAAATACAACTAACTTCTTTCTATTTGTTTTTCTAATCCTTTATTTATCTTTTTTCTCGAAAACTTTTTTTTATACAATAACATTTAAAAACAGAGAGTAATAAATTATCAAGCAATTGGCATAATGATAGATTAGTCTTTCTTTTAAAGATTAGCTATGGTGAACCTAACCCTAGATCTATGAATAATAATCATTAAAAGTAGACGAAAGGTAGCCGAAACTAGAAAAGGTTTTTTTTATAAAACTAAAGCAATTTTTCACTGAATCAAGGATATAAATGAATAGTATACAAATATTATGAATATAAGGGTCCTTGGCAAAGAAAAACAACTGGAATTGGCAATTTTATATTGATGGAAATTTTAAAAATGGCGTATCAAAAGATATTTAAATTCTTGCTTTTGAAAAAGGATTTGTGCAATATTGAAAAAGAATTCTGAAAGATTAAAAATCGCTATCGACTTAAAGAGAAAAGAAGTCTTTTTAGAAGAAAGATAAACAAATTGAAGAAAGATGCGATGAGGGTTACAAATAGGAAAATTACAACAAACTGTGATTTAAATATCTCTTCTTATGTATGGAAAGGAAAGGGTTCATTGTACAGAAGCTGCTCTTTCAAACTTAATCTGAATGAAGCATGTAGTTCAGTCCAGAGAAACAGCGCTTAAGAAATAAGCGATTAACAGGTGGTAGAGGAGTAAGAAGCCAACCTAAAAAGGCGTTAAGCCAAGGATCTATCAGCAAGATAGTGTTACTTGCCCGTTAGGCCTAAATTATCATGAGAATTTTTTAAAAATAAGAAACAATATTTGATATCTTGCTCATCAGATTTACCCTCAATTGAGAATGCCCAACATGTGTTACAAACTAATATCTACAATGACCCATATATTACAAATTAACACATTTCAACAGATAAATTAAGAGTTGCTTACCATCGCTTCATAACTCTCTCTGTTAAACAAAGAATTGAACTGCATTTAAAGAATTATCTAAAGTTAAATTAATATTTAAATAATGAACATAAAAAAACAAGTCATCAGTATAAAAAAGATACTTGTTACACAAACTAATCAAATTGTTTTGATCACACTAAATGAAAATACAAAGTATGAAAAGTTCCTTCAACCACTGTACAAAATATATATATAAATTCATATCTTTTATAAAAACGATTTATGCATCTTTATTAGTGCAGAAGTTTGATTACTAAGGCTAAAGAGTGACATCAGATGCGAAATATTCCACATAGAACATCCGCTTTTCGTAGGTGTTAAATCCGATCAAGAAAAAGTTCACTGTTGCTAGTGAAATGTCGTATTCCATTCGGTTTAAATTTTTCTCCACTATAATTCCTCTGATTAATACTTCCGAATGAAATAGTATTTATATATTCTATTAGTATAGTATAAAAATAGTTCATAATCGGACTTAAAAAATAGTATCTATTAGACAACAGATGGCATTACTTCTTCTGGCTAACTGAAAAATAGCTTTCTATATCTATCTATATATTACATTATGAATAATACCTATATATTTATAACACAGTATTTATAGTTTTCTCCTACTAAATAGTTAATTAGTTAGTAATTTAAAGAACAAATATTAATTACGATGTTAAAAATTGCTATTCACAATTGCACAATAATCAAGTTTTAAAAACAGTAATTAATTATTGGAAACCATTTGAAGTCTTTTTGAAAATCGTATTCATTAGAGTTTTTTAAGAAAATTTCTCAGTAAAAACTTTTTTCAACAGAATTAAAATAAATCGATTTAATAAGATTTTAATTTAAATTCTCAGGTGGTCGGGAATTAACGTTTCGTTAAATTAAGCAAACAACTTCATTAAATAGAGGAAAGCGGTTATTACTCTGTAATAAATAAAAAGGAAACGGAACCGCAAAAAATTAGATAGAGGAGATACAAACAGAGCAAGTGTGTGTGTGTGTGTGTGTGTGTGTGTGTGTGTGAGAGAGAGAGAGAGAGAGAGAGAGAGAGAGAGAGAGAGAGAAAAGAGAAAAAGTTTCTGAAAAAATTTCTTCATTGATTGAGTGTTATAATTGAAAAACAAATGTTGTATAAGCTATTTTTATATTTCATTTGAAATGAGGAGTTGATGTATTAAATACCAATAAATTGTAGCATAGATGATTACTGTGTTAATTTTTCATGCAATTAGTCTATTACGATATTGTACTATTGATTTTATTTCACTCGTCATAATTTTTTCATATGAATATATTTTCCTAGGTCTATATTACTTGTTTTAATTTGATGATTATATAACTATTACTGTATTAAACTCCCATTAAATGCTTATGATGCATATTCTCTAAATATATCCTTCCAAGCATCCCTTTTATCTTTGTTATCTTTTTTTAATATAAGTAATATAGTAGTATATCTTATTATTCAGATTAATGTAATAATTTTAATAATACCTTTTTAAATAGAGAATTATTGAATTTTTAACAAGTTTTTTCAGTAATAACAACTGCAAATTCATCTTTCATGCAGAGTTGTCTCTTAAATGTTTCTTTCTCTTATTTTCTTGTTTATACTAATCAGAAATATTTATTTTTGAACAATTTGTGAATTTATTTTCTTAATTTTTTTATATACCTTCTTATTTAAGATAACATACTTTATAAGTAAAATATTTAGGTTTTTACTTCTTTTATTAGATACACGACTGATAAAGTTTTATTTTGAAAACAAATGAAACGGGAAACAAAGAGAGAAAGACAAAAAAACACGAAAATTTTAATCCAGAATTCAGGCTAATAATGAATAATCATTATTAAGAAATAAATAATTAAATATATATATATATATATATATATATATATATATATTTAATTATTTATATCTATATGTATATGTCTTTATTTACACTTATAACTTTCAGTCGCTGGTTTCTTTTTTTGTTATTGTGTTGATTATCGAAGAGCCACACATTTTTCCCTATAAATTTTTGTTGAAAGAAAATAATAATCAGATAATAGAAACACTGAAAATTATTTCTTTAAATAGAAAATACTTGCAAAGAAACAAGAATAAGAAGTTTCCTTTCAAGTTTACTTACTGGAAATTTAATGCTTGCTTTCCACAGCTGCCATACATTTATGGTAATGAAGTGCTTGAAGCTTTAAAGAGTTATTATACAATTAGGGAAAAGTTTCCACTCTAATTATTATGGTTTATCTCAAACTTTACATACCATCATAGCTTGTTGAAGAGCAGCAAATGCTTCACGATCCCATTTTAAACATTGGTTCGATCCAGATCGTTTTCCACTTCCCCATTGACCAGGAAGACTAAAGGAAAATTGACCCTCAATTTCATTAATTTGGAAGGCCAAGAGAAGGCAAGCAAAAGCGATAAAGAATACACTGGAACGGTTCATTTTTTTATTTAGAAGTTTTAAAATCTGCTACTGAAAAGAAAAGAAAAATATTAAAGATTAGTCTTTTAAAATATATCAAAAATACTTTGAGATATATATACCTAGATCTTTCTTTCCGAAATGGTACGGATTAAGGGAAACGAAGCGTTTATATACATACTGTTTGAATAATAATGAGCTTAATTACGCTCCCTCGCGTGAGATGAGTGTCTGTTTTGTAGATTAAATCTGCTAAATTTTAGAGTTCAATATCTGCTTACAAAGCAAAAATTTTGGAGCTTAACAGACTAATTATAAAAAACGAAAAAGTAATAAAAAGATAAAGTAACCAAACTTTAATTGAGAGAAAGAAAGTTAGATAAAACAAAGAGAACGATTGATTATTCAGTTCAGTTACAAATTAGTATAAAGTAGTCTTTTCTTACTGTTTAATTAAATTAACTTATTAATAATACTATTCGTATTCTTTATTTTAAATTAATAATGAATAATTCATCTATTGTATAATTGAAGGTTGTGTTTCAAATATCAAAATTCATGGAAAAACATACTTCAAAGTTTTAAATAAAACTACTAATAAATATGTTGAAAGTACAATTACTACCAAAAAGAATAATGTTATTATTTAAAGCGTTTTCCTCGCTGACAAAAATCGAGGGGAAAAAAGAGACATTCCGCTGTCAATTAGAATTTATAATTTATATACAGGATATTCCGGATAGGATACACATCTACAACACATTGAATTTAAGACAATTTAATTATATTCCTTATTTTTCTATCTAACAAGTTATAATTGACTATTATTATAAATTTTTTATTTTTAATCTTATAACAAACTTGATAGAAAAAATGAAAATTGATACTACGCCATCTCTATAAAATATTCCATCTCTTTAGTATTCAAAAGCAATAGAATATATAACTTTATAGTACGAAGAGTTAAAGCTGATATTTTTCTATATATTTTTATATCGTCTTAAAACTAACCTTTATCAAAACTTTTACAAATATCTTCTAAAGTTTTATATCTAGTTTTATCTGGTCCAGGTAATCTTCTTGTTAGACTATTTGAACAAGTCTCCTGTACTATATATACAAAATACCATCGTGGATGGTTATAAGGAACCCAAATATAATTAGAAGTGCCTGATACAGATCTACAATCTGCTACGTAGCCAATACCTTGATTAACGCTTGAAGGATATGTATAAATCATATGTTCTGCATTGGCAAAACGTTTTTGTGAACAATCTATTAGATTTAACTTCTTAAAAGTAAATTTGCCACTCTGTAACAATTTTGTAAAACCTGAATCACTTCCCTCTTCGTTTCGTAACTCTATTATCGAATTAAAATGTATTCTTGATATTCTATTTGTAAAAAATTTAATATTCACTCTTCTCCATCGAAATATCGTTATATCCTTTCTACTAGTTTCTAAACTTGGTGTTATAGTAAAAAGTGGTATACGTCTAAAATAAGGTTTAAACTTTATAGGACAGTGACTAAAATCCACTATATTATCAAAATCTATATAGTTAACTGAACCGTTTTCGTCGTGAAAGTTGAAATCTTTTCTAGGTATAATTTCCGTTCTATAGACAATACTAACGAAATTAGCCCTATATGGAGAAATATTTATAGTAAATAGCTTAATAAATTTAAAGCAAATTAAAAATAGTTTTAGATAATTAGTACAGTATTTTTCTATAAAGAGGATGATATTAACTTATTAATATTATTCTTCTTTACTCCTTCATTAATTTTTCAAGGCTGAAATAGTTACTATCAGCTATTATTATGTCCAAAAATATCAGCCTATAATCTAATTTACTAAATATACTATACGTTCCGCTCTATTTAAGTCGTTTTCTTACCTAAATCCGCAAGGTAAGAAAAAGCTTCCATCATTTAAAATCATAGCGTTTATTGATTTATTCTCCAAATTATCATAGTCCGCCATTTGTCCCTCTAAAATAAATTTACCATATCTACATTTATTTATGATGTTTAGACGTCCGTGAATTGGTACTTTTATAACTTTTTCCATTGGTCTTTTATTATTGCATTCAATAACTAGCGTTCCCCTTGACGACACATTTCCTAATTCAGTGCAATTAGACGCCTTAGTTTTACTGGATATATTATCCCTCTTTTGTAATTTCTTTTGTTTTTAATGGACAAACACAAAAAATTAATTGCATAAATCAGATAGGGAAAACTTATTTAATCTATAAAAACAATGATAATTACTATTGCCTTTAAAAAATCATTATATGAATTGTAATTGTTCGAATAAGCGGATTTTGCTGTACTCCAGTTTTTAATTTTCTCAGCTTTTGTGTTAAACTCATTTGTCAATGGGAAAGAAGAATTACAAAAAATTCTACTTTCCTTCTTCGCCGCATCAACACAATAACACGCAAATCTAGCCTCAACAGGCTCAAAAAAAGAGGCGCGTTTTGGAGACATTTCTTCAATCTTTGCGTTGATCGACGGTCCTGCTTTAAACTTAATGAAAGGGCTAATAGGCAATCTAAAAAGGGATAACAATTCAAATAAGCACTCTTACTATTCATATTTAAATTTGGTAAATTACCCATATTCTTTAAGATCAACCAACCTCCAGTCGAAACTCGAATGAACAATGTTATCTGTAATCAATTTACATAGGAAAATAAGCCACAAATATTCAGTCCTAATCATTTTAGTATATCATCTATTAAGAATATTTCAACTAATTAAATATTTGAATTGAATAATACTATATAGTATTTTTCCATTCAAAATATGTTAATCAAACATAATGATATTATAAACACTAGATGGAAGAAGCGTGAAAAAGTAAAAAAAGAAAAACGATGTATGCGACATCTGTCAGTTATGAGATTCCTTAAAACAAATTCAAATGTACATATATTTTAACCCTCTTCCTTTACGTTCAAGATGTTAAATCTTAATAAAAATATGGCAGTATGATGTGCACCATATAGAAATAGAATTGCCTCTAACACAAACTTTAACCTTTCGCTTTAATGTTGATAAAACTACTTCCAGTTACAAATACGTCAACCCATTAACATTCATTAATAATTATAATAAAAAGTACTTAAACATAAACCAAAAGTGATAAATTAGATTTTAAAAATACACTGTAATATACTGTATATTTAGCTCTAATCAAAATTTAATGTATTTCTATTAGTTGGACTTGTAAGATAGATTCTTGAAGTTTTTAGCTGAGATTTCCTTTTTTCTTCGTTAGCAAAGATATTCTATATAAACTATATATATAAAGTAATCTTCATAAAAATTGGAACATCTCAAATTTTGAATAGGCCAACATAATAAAAATCTTTTTCACTAAGAAAAAAGATTTTTTTTTAATTTTTTTCCACAATTCATCCTCAGATTCGAATTGTAGACCGTCATATACCAGGTTTTTGGTGAGGTGCCATATGTTCTCAATTGGGCTGAGATCTGGACTCTTTGCTGGTCAATCAAGAGGGTGGATACCTTTCATCTGAAAGGTTCTTTTAGTCGTCCTGGCAGTATGACACCCAGCGTTATCTTGCTGAAAGTCGTACTTCCTCCCCACTTTTTCCTCAATCTATTCAATAACAGGGAGAACATCTTCCACAATGGGTGCCATTCCTAAAGCTCTTGCTGTGGCCCGTAGTTTTCCTAATTCATTGTATTTCTTGAATACAAGCTCCCTAATGTCTTCACTCCATGTCATATTTAAATAAATACAATAAAAATAAACTAATATAATTAAAATTAACAATTAATTGATAAACTTGGCTTAGTAAATGAAACAAGTTGAAAAAAATGTTTTTTAAGACGTCTATTTGAATGCCAAACCGGAAGTCAAGTGAGTGTTCCAATAATTATGAAGTGCGACCAAATAAAGAAAAAATTGATGAAAATTACCAAAAATATTTTGCTTGTAATATTGATATTATCATTTCCTCAATTTTTTTTAATATTATGTAAATATAGCGCTTTTTTTATATAAATTTAGACCAAAAAAAATTCTTTGCAGCGAACAAACAATTTTAAGGGTTAATTAAAAGTTGGCCCATCAAAATTTACCGTGTCACAATTTTTATGAAGTTTACTATATATATATAAAGTATATATATATATATATATATATATATATTAAGTATATACTATTTATAGATACATAGCTAAAGAGCGAGAGAGAGAAAGAGAAAGACAGATCTTAAAAAATCAAAGCAGTTAAGTAATGTGGAAATAAATTACCTATAAGAGGAGCAGATGTTACTCAGTAATCAATAGTAAAAATATGTCAAATTTCAAAATAAAAGGGAAATTAAAAAAGATATTCTCATAATTTAATTTCCTTTTTTTATTGTTTTTTTCGTTTATTATTTGAAATGTCAAATCTTTAATTATAAAATTAAATAGACAATGAATACTATTGAAATTTATTAGTTGTCTTCCAACGGAATATCTTCAAAAGAAAAACAAATTCATTAATGTTTAAGTTTGACAAATTATTTCTCTTTAGAGCTATAGACTTTCACTCATTAACTAGCCTGTAATACTTTATAAACAGACAAGAAATTACAAACCAACCAATCTCCGATTTGCAGTCGTCTCGAACGTTGATTTAAAAGAATGAAACCGATAAAGTTTGCTATTTTATCAATTCTTGTGTTATTATTATCTAATGCTGAAGGACAACTAACTCAAACCCTAGGATGGGGCAGTGCTGGTTCTCCTGGCAAGAGAAATGGATTGTCTTCCTTCTGTAAAGATTCATTTCACAAAGTTCAATTTCTTATCTCCGCTTATCAGGTAAAAAGAGAAAAAATTTTATATTTGAAAGCAACTTTTCATAGATTTCTTCTCCCTAAAATTTTTATAGAAAGAAGTCTGGAAATTAAAAAGCTGTAGATGGACGAATGATATGAAATAATGTTATGTAAAGAAAGAAAATCAAGAATTAAAAACCATTAAATCAAAACCAAACAAAAATACTTAATAAAGCAGACACACAAAGGAAAATGAAACCTGGATAGAACTTTTCAAATTGTTTTCCTTACTGTTTATTTATCGTTTATTTGATTTCAAATGAAAATTTAATAAAAGTGCATTTTCATGTTGTAAATTTGTCTATCTATCGATATGCTAAATTTAATTGTTTTATGATATTCAACTGTTTGAAGGCGTATATTTCGAGACATAGAACTGATGGATAATTAAATATTCGTAGTTATTTCTTGTTTTCATAAATCCAATTGAATAATATATCATCTCCAGTTTCTCTTTAACCTGGAAAAATTTCATTAATGAAAGTTATTGAATAGGTTACTAGGAAAAATTTCTATCTAGAGAAACTCATTTAGCAATTGATTTAAAATCAAGATAAGCTCGTAAAAAGCAACTTTGTATTTAATTTGTTAAGTATCACCATAGATATAATACTTGTAAATATAATAATCTTCATTATAATTTCCATCGTTATAGCCTTCTCGTTGTGTTTCTTATTCGAATTGGAATTGAAAATTTGTCGTTTCGTAAAGTTCTTTGCATCTTTTGTCTATCAAACTCGACTGATCATCATTCAACACATTCCGCCAATCTCCTACAATTCCTTTCCTCATAAATGGACTGACGTTACAATCAAAACTATCAATCATTGTATAATTTGTTGCCGCATTTGACTTCATAGCTTCAAAAGTTGTATTGTTTGCTATTTCTTTTATCAGGTCATCATTCAAATCAATTTCAAGAAATTTTGAAACAAGCTTGACGCATCGTTGTAAATCTCTTTTCATCTCTTCATAATGCATAAATAGTATCTTAGGATGGTCTTTAAATTTCCACCAATTAGCGATGAAATCTAATGGATCACCGTAAGGTAGCTTCCTCTGTATAAAAGTCTCAAAAAGCTCCTCAAATGATCCATCAAAATTTCCCATCGTTTTATTCATTTGAATAAAGCTATATAAGCTAACCAACAGATCTTTAGGATTTCTTACAACTACGATAAATTTTGCTCCAGAATTGAAGTGTTTTTCAAAGAAATAAGAAGGTAAATGAGTTTTCATTAGCCTTGGTGGTTCTTTGGGTAAATTCTCATAATTATTTCCGTTTACATCTATTTCAATATAAGGAATTGCATTATAAATCTCTATCTTTTTTGCTGCATCAATATCTTTAAAATTCATAATTAACCAAACAATTTCTTGCATCCAGGTAGTACCGGATTTCATAAAAGTCGAAATTAAAACATCACCCTCGCCCATTTGGAAGTTGTACATAATTTTTCGTAGACTGGAAGCCGGAACAAAACCTGGATAGATAACATTATCCTCCCATACATAGTCATCTGGAGCTCTATAACTCATTTCTCTCTTTTAAAGTACTGTTTCTTAACGAAATTTGTAATTTGAATGAACAAAAGTTCTAAAAAACAAAATAGGCCTTCGAGCCAGTATATGCTTTCTTCAATCTATAGTTAACGCATATGGGATACATTTCACAGTGGAAAACTACTATAAAAACTGTAAGCTGTTTTATCTCTTTACTGAAAGTTGAAGATTTGTTTGTTAAACAATCGTAAAAAGAAAACAATACAAAGGTAAAGTATAAATTTTTCAAATACAACAATACAGGAGAAAATTTCAATTTCTTATCTTTCAGTAGTCTCTTCAAAGCGTTTTCTTCTTCAAAACACAAATTGATCATGTTAGAAAATATAAAACCTCCTTAGTCAAATGAACAGTGTTGTCAATCAAATATCTTTCTATTTAAGATCAGGACTGACGTCAAGTTTAATTTAATTGATGTTATTGTCTTGTACTAAAAATAGAATCATGAAAATTTAATGATATATTTCTCTTATATAACGCAAGTCGAAAATTAAGGCTTTCGCAACTATTACAAAGGATATTATCCGTATCAACATTCGTTAAAATTCAATGTTAAGATGATGCAACAAAATCATTAACTTGAACATTCTCAATTTTATCCAATCTCTTATAAAAAACAGAAAACAATATTCACAATCTAATATTTTATTTCATCCAACTGTTTTCAACTGTTTTTATTACTTATAAAAATATCAAAAACAGCAATTAGGTACAAAAAAAAAACCGATCTTATGTAATAAAATTTTCAGCACTTTTGCATAATTCTCAAAGGGTTGTTACGACATAAAAGAAAAATATGTAAATAAAGATCTTGACATGGTATTAATTTTTTGCTCGTAGCCTTTTTGTCATACTTTACGGATGGTTATATTTTTCACATGATATGAACATTCTTTGTTTATTGTAAAGATGCACTGTATGTAATAAAAGATGTAACAACCGATAATATCGGTGAAATCGTATATTCTTAAGAAGAACAGAAAATTTACAACACTTAATATTTACTTTACAAGTCCTTGTCTTTTCGCTTCTGTTTCATATATCAACAACCTCCACATTTTAACGACGAACACTTCAGCTTCCTCGTCAAGTACCATCTCGACATCCTTTAGTATACTATCAGGTGTGCATCTAGCCATTACTTTCTGGCAAATAAAATCCGTTAAGGTAGGCTCTTCTTCACCTATGTATTCAACTATTTTCTTATCAACCCAAGGTCGTATACGTTTGTCCATTAGAGAAGCATCAACCATTGCCCAATTCAATGAATATGCGAAAGCTGCACTTTTCTCTGTCGGAATAGAATCGATAAGTTTTTTTATTAGTTTTCGCTTTTCTTCAGCACTATTTGGAGCCTTATTGAGGGCATCGTTGGGGCCAGGAACATCGCCGTAATCGATTGGCACTAATTTTCTCCTCTTAGCAGCTGCTGCTTCATCGTCGTCGTCATCTTGATTGAAAACTGTATCGACCAACTTTTTCTTAGTTGGCTGTTGTTGAGGAGGTGTTGTGGTGTCTGAACTGTTATTTGATAATTTTATGGCGCTAAAGCCCAATTTTTTAACCTCTGATTGAGGTGGTAAACGATCATTCACTTCAGGTCGAGGTGAATTTGGAGGACTAGACGATCTCATGTTCGAATCAGGTGATGGTTGATCTAAGTTAAACGAATGGATAGGTTGACCCAACCTTGGAAGTAAGTGTTGATCTCTCTCCTGTTCAATTTTCGCCATTTCTCTATCGACATCAGGATGACCATCCTTTTCCATCTGCTTTCGAATTTCTTCTAATTCATGCCTTTCCTTATTTCTATCTCTCGCGTCACTCTCCATTTCTCTTTCTCGCTCTCGAAGGCGCTTCGTCAAAGCGTTATCTTTGTAATATTTTCCATCGTCCCTCTCATCGTTATAATCTTCCAAAAACTGCCTTAGTCTCTTAGCTTCTTTCTTTTCAATTGTTAGTCGTTCGTTTTCCTTTTCTTCATCCTTAGAATATTCGCGAGACTTCATCCTTTCCCTCTTTTCCCAAGTTTTCAATCTTTCCTGATAAGCGGTTTCTTTTTGTTTCAACTTTCTCTCGGTTCTTTTTCGTTCATACGAAGCTTCTTCTTCATCATCAGAAAAATCTGGAGACTTGTGATCTTTCCGATCCTTCGCTCGGTAGTCATTCTTATCGCGATCTCTTCCTACAAGTATATTTAAACAACGATCAATAAATAAAAAACCAAGAATTTAAATTTTTATAAATTTTTATAATAATATTAATAATATTAACCTTTTGTTCGATCGCGATCCCTATCATCTCGAACCCGATCTCGCTCCCTCTCCTTATCTCTCTCACGTTTTTCGGCCTCAACCTCCCTTCGTTTACGCAACTCTCTTGCATAATCACGTTCTTTATCTCTTTCAACTTCATCTGCATCCTGATACGAAAATATAACAATTATCAACTAAAGTAATTTCATTCTTAACTACGTAAGATATATATATATATATATATATATATGTAAAAAAATAAATATAAACAATTATATCATACAATCAGTCTATTTTGTCAGTGAAATATGTCAAAAAATTTCACAGAGAAAATATTTATTTCTAATACTCGTATAGTAGAAATATAACCGTTAAGCTATCACCGAATCTTCGTGATTGAACGAGCACCAATTGCAGAATATTCGACCATATATACCAATAAGTTTTCTTCGTGTACTCTTCAGTAAGTCTGCTTTACATAGCGAACATGTATGTTGGATGAATGCGCACGTCCAATAAATAAAATAAAAGGGTAACTTTTAAAAGAATACAAACCTGTTGCTCAGCTACGACCATCTTATAAAAATATGCCTACTCACCTTTATAATGTTGATAATATTACGACCCAAGCAATCAGACATTTACATATATAAATTTATATATCCGCCGTCGCGCTTATTATGTTAAACTCACTGATAATAATAGTAGTGATAATAGTGTAATTTAATACTTTAAGTTTATAGACTTTTTACTATATTTTTTAATTAAAAAAAAAAGCACGACTGATAATTTACATATTTGGCGGTTGAAAAATACTACAAACCTTCGAGAATGCCCCTTGACAACGCGAATTGTAAAATACGAAAAAAATAGTAGCGACTCACCGCTACGAAACGAATACAGATTAATTAGACAAGATGCGATTTGGGATGTACGCGAAGTCCTCAGCGATGTGATATTCCTAACAGCTCATCACCAATCCATCCTAATAAATGCCGCAAACCGACTTTGTTAACTCCCAATTTTTTAGTATTTTTCAAAATTTTATATCATTATATTTATGTATATAAGTTAAATTTTTAAATTAAGCTCATTAATTAAATTATTTAATTTTAATTCTAAAATAATAAATATTGTCTTTTTATATGCAATATTCACATATAATGATTTAATTTTTCATATATGCAAGCATCCTTTTCTTTGACAAATATGATCAATTTCTAATACATAAATATATTCATTAAAATTTTCCTACTTCCAATATTCTCTAATATGGAATTTTAACTAAAGTAGAATAAAAGATTTTTTACAAACCTTGTGCTTTTCGCGGAATTTGTTTATTTCTGAATCAATAATGTCTTTCTTTTCGTCTTCTATATCAATACCATTTAAACTCTGAAATGTAACGTTCATTGATAGTTTTAACAATTAATTCTCAAAAGTTATTTAAACGTACCGTATCTTTTGCTCTTATCTGTTTGATTTCATTTTGAGGATCATCTGCTAAGCAAGTTTAAAGACTTAGTTAATTAATTTTAATAATAAAAAATATAGTTATGTACCTTCTTTTGTTAAGTCTTTTTCGTATTCTTTCATTACAGCAGTTAGTCCGGCTCTAGCAACTCGATCTTCTTTTTTCGTCATTTCATTTAACGCCTCCTCTATATCTTCTTTTAATTCGCCATCCTCTTTTTTACCCAGACCAGTTCCCGGCTTAGAAATTGTATATTTGTCAAGCAATTCCTTTGTTTTGGTATCGACTTTGACAACTAGTTGCTTATCCCCAATTTGCCACTTATTTAACAAACGCATACACCTCAATGTTGATTCTGGTTTTTCGAATTCACAGAATCCAAATGCTTGCAGTTTGCCTAGGAATTAAAAGCTCAATTAATAAAACTTAATTAAAAACAAATGTATAAATCAATCAATAGTACCAGAAGCTCCTTGTACTCTTTTCCAGTTCAGAACATTGCCACAACAAGATAACATTTGTCTTATCATGGTATCCGGAGCCTTCTCACAGATATTTCCAACGAAACATGTTGTTACAGGCGGCTTTTCTCCTTCACTTGTTATGTCTTGAGGTACCAATCGAGGTTTCTCGTTGTTTTGCTGGGCCGGTACAGGTGGAGCAGTAACGACCGGCATTGATACCATACCTACTCCTACCATGCCTAGATTTTAAGTTCGATTAGAAGAAATATATAAAGATTGAAAAGCAACTCACTCATAGGTGGTGGTTGATAATAGGTTTGTGGCACCATTCCTACAGTCATCGGAGGTCGGGGTGGATACGACATGATTTAGGCGATTCAGGGAAAGACTTAATACCAAAAAGGAGGTATTAATATAGCCTTAATTTTGATATAGATCCCTATATGTCAGATTTCCGGTTCGATATTTCGACTAAAATGATTGCGCATGCGCAAAAAAGAGACACTATAAAATACGAACGTTTTTCAATTTTCCAATTTACTAACTTCAAAACATTTTATAAAATATTAAGGATTATTTTTTTATAATTTTATCTTTTTATTAAACTATAACTAATTTCAATGAAGTATTAAATAGGCAAACAGCGCTTTACAAGTATAGTTTTTTTAATAATCGCTAATTTCTGTTAAAACGAGGTCCTTTTGTACGAGACTAACTCTTACGTCTCAAGACTATACGACCAAATACATTTTATGAATGAAATTCTTTCTTTAAATAATTATAAATGCATTGACAAAGAGCTTAAAAATAAATAGTGCTAATGTTTCACAAATAATTTAATTAATTTAATGCAAATATTTTCCTATAATAATAAAAATTTTAATCGCTTTTGTAGCTTAAAACAACTTTAGTGAAGAAATTTTAAGATTTCAAAACTGCTATCGGCCATATTGTTACGAATGTTTTGTCTTTTCATATGAGCATGAAATAAACATCGTGTATTTTGTAATCGATAAAAAACGTTCTATTTTCGTTCTATCACTGAAAGAAAGCTAATCGAAAGCAAAGATTATATAATTAAGTTATATAGATGATAAAGTAATATCAATAACCAATAAATGCTTTTAACAGAAGTTAATACATTGGACAGCAGAGAAAAATAGAAATTTTTGACAATAAATTGTATTTTTATATAAATCGTATCGTAATTTGAAGTTATTCGATTAAAACGAATCGAAAATCGACTTTTCGGTATATTGTGAAATCGAGAAAAAATCTAGCACTTGAAGAATAATTCAAAAAATGTTGGTAGTAATAGTTCAATTTTTTTCAAAATTAATCATAAATACGCTATCTAAGGTCAGGTACAACGACGATCGATAATGATGAATCCGATGAAGATATTATAGTTATCAACGCTGCAAGTAACAATTTCGATGAAATTACGATATCATCTGAAGAAGAAGGAGAAATTACTGCAAATAAAGATGATAAATTTCATAATAAAGAAAGAAAGGAAACAAAACAAAAGGATAGCTATTCCAATGAAAAAAAGCATAAGAAAAAGAAAAAAGAAAAAGATAAAAAAAAGAAAAAAGACAAAAAATCGAGTAAAAGTGAATCAAAACAAATAGAGAAATCTAAAGATGACTTTATAAAACCACCAGAACCTCCGTCTAATTTTCAATTTGAATCCAGTTGGCGCGAGAGTGATATTATTGCAGATAATTTAGGAATTTATAATGTTATAATAGAAAAAGTCGTAAAATTGTTCGATGAGGGTAATACTATGCCATTTATTGCAAGATATCGTAGTCACATTACACAAGAAATGGAGCCAGCTACTTTAAGAAAAATCGAAAGTCACCTTAGTGAATTAAGGTTGTTTCTAAAACCACTCTTTATACCTAAACGAAAATAATAAAAAATTCAATTTTATCTTTGCTATTCAACAGAACTGTGAAGAAAAAGATGAAATATGTGGCGTCTACATTGTCAAAATATGGATGGTTAAGCAGTGAATTAGCATCTAGATTGAGATGTTGTACAACTATTGAGGAAATTGAATATTTAGTTGGTTTTTTTAATTTTATAATTTTGGAGTTATTGTTATGTAACTTCATTTTTCTGTATAGTTTGCACCATTCAAACCGGGAAGCAAGAGATCTAAGGCTCATAAAGCTCGTGACTTAGGATTGGAAGAGTTTGCTATAAAACTGATTGAAAGCCAGTCAGACGATATTTTAAGGGAAATGAACCAAGCCGTTGTAGCTGATAAAGAAGGTCTGCAAAATGTTAAAGAAGTCAGAAAAGGCGTCCAGTTTATTATTTCTGACATAATCGCTAAAGATAAAGTGTGTCTTGATTACATCCGAGATGTGTGAGCTTCTATTGATAACTTTGTATATTTAATAATCATAAAAATACTGACAAACTCAAACTATTAGCTGTAGTAATCGGAGAGACGGGATTCGAATACGATGTTCACAGGCCCCCGAAAGGCCATTAGACGAAGAAAATGAAACTGTTATTAGTTATCAGCCTAATCCTCAGAAAGATTTATTTAAAAATTACTACTATTTTGATGCTTCTGCCCTAAATATCAAACCTCATCAAGTGATATTATAACCAGACATATTGATATGACTTTTTATTAATATTTTTCATCTTTAAAGGTTCTGGCTATCAATAGAGGAGAGGCTCAAAAAGAATTAACTGTGAAGATGGTAGTGGGAAATTACGTTGCTGATAGATGGAGGGAATTTTGCCGCCGAAAATATATTCCAAGAAAAACATCGTTCGAAATAGCAGCAATGATAACAGCTAGTATTGATGATGCTTTTTCAAGACTTGTATCTCCAGTTCTCATTCGGGAGTGCAGATCTAGACTAACTAAACAAGCTGAAAAAGCCTCTCTGGAAGTATTTGCATCAAACCTTCGCAGCATGCTACTAACTCCTCCTATTAGAGGAAAAGTTATAATGGGGGTTGATCCTGGTTATAATCATGGATGCAAATGGGCTGTAATTTCACCGGTTTATATCATTTTAATTGATTCTGACCATATAATTTAATAAAAACTAATCATTCATTCAGCAAGGGGATGTTTTAGATACAGGAATATCCTACTTACATGAATGCGACGAAGACGAAAGTGGTAATATAATACGAAAAAGAAAGAGGAAAAGGAAAATTGACTTTGAGGATTCAGAAGAATTTTCGAGTATTAAAGGAGCTATATTTAGAAATAATTGTGAAATTATAGCAATAGGCAATGGTACTGCTAGTAGAGAAACTCAGGAACTTTTCGCAGAACAAATTCAAAGAGGTGCATTTAGTCCTTTAGTAGTCCAGTTTGTGTAAGTTATTTTCTTGGTTAACTTGCATGGAGTTTCACCGCTACATTTTTATTTAGAGTCGTCGACGAAAGTGGATCATCGATTTATTCTGTGTCAGATTTAGCCAAAAAGGAACTTCGAAGATTAGAAATTAAACTAAGAAGTGCTGGTAAAAGCTTTCAAATGGAATTTTTATTGCTTATTTAACACTTTTCTTTTTATTAAGTTTCCATTGCAAGAAGATTACAAAATCCTGTTGCAGAACTGGTTAAAATTGAACCACAACATCTTGGCATTGGGCAATATCAAGTAACTGAATCCATATTATAAATTCCATTCAAAAAAGTGTTAATTTTATAGCATGACTTAAGAGAAAGCACTCTGAAAAAGACATTAGATAAAGTAGTTGAGGAATGTGTAAGCTTTATCGGCGTTGACATAAACACCTGCAGCGCATCTCTTTTACAGTAAGTGTTATTTATTTACATAGTAGTATCTGTACAATTGCTCACTCTATATGCATATATATATATATAAACTATAACAAAGCCATAGGATAAATACGATAAGATTCGTTTGTTGGTTCACCCATGAGTTGTCTTTTTATCGCTCTCATTCTTCTTACAATTGACTTTTGGCGTTTATGTTCAAAATTTTTCTTCTCTCGTTTACTTGTTGGATTACTAGCAAAAGAAAATCGACTCCTCTTTCTGTATCTAGAGGAGGATAATTCGTCCTCAGTAGTGGCTCCAAGTGTTGTATCCATAAATGATGACTCGGCATGAGAGGAAGCATCCTTTGATCGAAATAATCGACGAAGCAGAGATGTTCTCTTGTTAGCTTTTGGTGCGGTATCAGGCATGCTGGCTACTGAGCTACCAATTCCAGTCTCGTCTTCGGTTTCAGTTTGAACTCCAGTATCACGTGTAACTTTTCGGTTGATATAAATAGGAAATTGTGTTGCCGGTTGAGGGGAGTCGATACTGTTTGGTAGGCAACGTAAAATTTTAGCTGTTCGTGGAGTTCGAGTAGACTGGCAATGACGGCAACAGCAAACGAGATCTTCAGAACGAACGAAAAAGCTGGGAACGTCTTCCTTGAATGAAGTCATGTTTATCGAATTAGATGCAATTGTCTTGATCGGTCAAGTTGTTGTGAAGAACTACAGAATAACCTATCTTATATATTGAATTGAAATCGTTGAAATTTCGAAGGTCGACTCGATGTGTCAAAGATGCGTTGAATTTTGCGTTTGACACCTTTAACCCTTTTTTTCTGTTCGCGTAGCTCCTTCTCCAACGTTTACTTTGTAATTAATTAAAGCAGTTAGCTATCAAGATATTTTGTTTCATTTAGACATATTGCTGGTTTGGGGCCGACTCTTGCCGAGAGAATAGTTGAGTTACGAGAAATAGATGGTCCTTTTGTATCGAGACACCAATTACTCATGATCAAAGGAATCGGACCGTCAACTTTCAAACAGATAGCGGGTTTCATTAGAGTGTTTGCTGATAAACCTAAAATAATAAAACCACCAGGAGAATCTAGCGGTGAAGAAGACGATGAAATTAGCTGTGAAGTTGTTAAAATCGGCGGAACGAACTATTCTCAACCTAATAATGTTCACGTTAAACCTGGCCTTCATAACATTCTTTATCCGAACTCAATTCAATATAACGTTGCAAAACAAATTTTACGTGATGCTGGCGCCAAAGAGAGCGAAATTGGAAAGGAAAAGTTCATTTGCGCAATCAAATCCTATTTTATGATGGCTTGTAAGGACCCTTTGAAATTTATTTGATATGTTAATATAAGATTCATTTTCATTGCAGCTCTTAAAAATTTATCACAAATATACGATGGGGTGTCAACTTTGGTATTACAAGAACTATGTACTAAACTCTGCAGTAAAATCAATATAAACAATATCATAAAACGGGAGCCGATAGAGCAGGCATCTATGGAAGATATGAAGCGTAAAATGGTAGAAACAGCAATGGAGGGGAAGAAAAAACGGAAAAAGGTTGAAGTGAGTCCCAACGTCCTGGATAAAACATCCATTCATCCAGAAAATTATGAATTGGCTGAAGAAATTATTAAAGACGCTTGTTTGAACATTGCACACGTTGGTCAAGAACAATTCTGTACTGCAATGAAGAGTTTTATGAAGTTTACAAGTAAGTATATATATTAACAAATTACTGGTTTATTTATTTCCAAGTTTAAATAGCCTTCGAAAATTTGTCGTCTGTTTATAAAACGGAAATACCGATTTTAAAGCAAGTACTAGGAGCGTTGACAGAGAAAACTGAGACTGATATTAGAGATGGTAATAAAGTATAAAGTCTTTTTATTTATATTTAATATGCTATATTCAATATCAAAACAGAAAACGAAAAACCTCTTTTTAGGACAACTTTTAAAAAATTCTCTGATGTTGTCGAAGGAAATGAATTAACCGGAGTAATATCAAACGTAACTTATTTTGGTGCTTTTGTTGACTTAGGCGTGGGAACGAGCGGACTCATTCACGTTTCTAAAATGCCTGAGAATGCAATAACAAACAATGAAGTTTCTAGAGGTCAAAGGGTTTTGGTTAAGGTGATAAATGTCGACCCAAATCGCAATAGAATTTCATTAAAATGGCTGAAAAATTTAAATTGAAAAATGCTTTTTAACATACTTTTTAAGAAAACATTGGTTAGTGAGTTTATTGACCTAATACTGTTTTTGGAGACAAAATTGATCTATTTTTTAATAAATTAGAAAAAGAACACATTTTTTACAATCGCTAAAAAAAAATCAAACGAACACTTTTGCGATGGCGTCTGCTCCAGCAGACGCAATAAACGCCTTCGAAGGGTGAAAAGCGACATCGAAGATTGATTCATCATACTTTTTCCTATGTGCTGTAATCTCGTGCAGGCACTGTCGCGATTCTACATTCCATATTCTTACTGTTCCATCATGACTACCAGACACTAAATTTATGGCTGCTGAATCAACATCCAAAGACGTAACGCTATCCATATGTGCCATGTTAATTACATGGGCAGTTTTGGCTGAAGTTAAATCAAAAAATCTTATTTGTTTATTATCATGAGCAGTTATAGCGAGAGGAGATGTAGGATGCGTGACTACCGCATTGATTCTGCTTCGAAAGTTGTCAGGTATCTGTAATGACATTATCTCTTCTCCTGTTTCAATATTGTATAGTAAAGCTGTTAATGTTGTTGGTTTATTAAAGCATACTATCATATAGTGTTTATTAGATTTAATATAATCCAAAGCTGACGGTGACCCAAGCTCAGGTGGTGTATGGATGGTATTTAAAAGAGGTACTGCAGCAGGCTCTGCATTCCAAATTCTAATTGAATTGTCGGCGGAGCATGACAATAAAACATTTTCGCAACATTTTAATCCCCAAATAGCATCCGTATGAGCTGTTAAGCAGTCGGCAGCAATTTTTGGATTAAAATTATCATAAGGATCCATGCTAACAGGTGGTGTTCTCCACACTCTAATATTTCCATCAAGTGATCCTGAGTATAAATATTCCGCGTCTTTAGATAAGGCCACTTTAGTTATTGGAGTTTTATGATTACGAAAAGTATACATAGCTTCTACTTCTAGGGATGACTTTTTCCCCGCTGATTTGCTTTGGATAGGGTTTTTTAGATTCCACATTTTTAAAGTATGGTCCTCGCTACCGGTAAATAATATTGGTTCATTAGGATGAAAATACACGGATCGAATGGCGTCGAAATGTGATCGCAAAGTATATTTTGCACTCCATGTTTTTGTGCTCGAGTCTTCTGTGCTCTCAAGTAGATTTAACATTTCCTGCTCGCTACTGACCGCTGTATTATCCCCACTACTTGGTTCAACTTTTTCTGGAACAATCTCTTCAAAAGTAATTTGTTCCTCCCCTCCACTAGGTGCTATATCATTTACGGGCATATTTAATATATTATTTAATGCTGGTCGTCCAAGACGAGGAGACGGTGGAGCCTTTTTTCTCCTCCTTTCCTTCCTGTATTCCTCTTTCAAGTTAGATATGAATTTTTCATTAACCCCCCATTCCTCTTTCACTGGCTGTTGGTCCTGATCAACAGCTGACAAAATCACATCAAATTCTTTCATAACATCTTCTGAATGGCAAGACGAGAGTATATCATCTATTGTTGTCATAGATTCTCTATCAGATTTTTCTTCTAAATTATCACCTAACTTGTTCACTTCATTACTTAAAAGTTCCAAACTGTCTAGGACAGCTGCTTCATTATCGGGAATTGTCGGTTTTGGCATCGAGCGAACGGTTTTTGTATTTAAAATAGTATCCGAATGATAACCTATATCCTGCAAATATTGACGAAGAATATGTCTTCCTGTTCTCCAGGAACCACTACTAAAATTATCAGCACCGGAATCTGCTGAAATGGATATTTCTGAGTCTTCGCTTTGAACGTGAGAAGCTTCAGTCGCACTTCCCAACAAACGTTGAACTTTTGCTCTTTCTTGCTTTAATGAATGTTCTAACATTTTTATTCGTCGAATTAAATCCTGTTTTAAATTTTCTTGCCCTTTACGTTCGCCTTGTAAAAAAGCTATTCTTGCCTGAAAATATTTAATTGATCACTTGAAGTTATATATTACTTTATTGAATTACTTGAAGTTCTGCTCTTTCCACTTCCCACTCTGACTTTTCCATCTCGAATCGAGCCCATTCAGACTCCAAGAAATTAAGCAAACCTTCCATCGAATATTGGGGACGAAGGTAGCCGTTATCATTTTGCTGCCTACCAGCTGCGGTTTGATCATTATCAATACCGTAACTGACTTCATTACCGGATGAAAAATTTGACGAGTTATCATCCATTACTTTTTTTTTCTTTATAATCGTAAGTAGGCGTCCATCTTTGATCTATTTCTGTTTTCGCTTAGACTGGTGCGTGCCGATATTACAAATCACTCACAGGTTTCTAGCCTGGAATACGTGTGTCGTCATTGACATTGTCTGATGGGAAATATTTTAATAACATGGCGACGGCGAAGTAAACAGATAGGATTTTCTCTAATTTAACCGAAAGGAATAGCAGTTTAAAGCTCATTAATTTCTTTATTTGAACAGAAAGAGTATGTTTTTCGTTTATATTATCTCTTATCGTCGATCATTCTATATGTAGTTTAAAATATAAAAATTATCTTTCTCTAATGATGCTTAGCATCTTTTAATGAAAGCTACAATGGAAGAGAATTATATAATCCTTGTTATAAAACGTCTTAAATTGCTATAAACTGCTTAAAAACCATCTGACTGTAAATATGATTCCTTTCAAGTTGGTTTTCTCGTGTTGATATAATCATTAATAGAAAATCGAATTCAATGTAGGCCTAAACGAAATTTACTAACATCTTCTGATTATTAATGCAAAAAGAACTCGATAAGACACTAAGTTAATTATCTGCATAAGAGTTATTTTAAGAGATCATGCGCTGCTTTGTCGGTAATGTTAAATTTCATTCAGAAAGAATATTCTTTATTCACGTTTTTGTCTATAAATAAAGATTGTATGTGAATTATTAACAAGAGAATACGTCATTTAAAAAGTACAAATGTAAACTTGTATTGAATTACATGTATAAAGCTGTTTAACGTTTTTTCGGCAAAAAATTTAATTGGGGTGTAATTCAATCGAAAAATATTGGCCATTAGATTAATAAAATCCATACTTACTACCATTGTTATGATATATTCTTTGCAAAATCGAAAAAAAGCCCTGTGTCATTGCGTATATAACTGAATGATTAATTAACTAATTTATTAATATATAAATTATTTTTAACATTATAGATGGCAGGGACTGCTGGTTAAAAAGAAAAATGGTACAAGAAGAATCATCAAATGGATCTGACGATTTATTACGAGCTGGACAACACGTAAAAGATCGATGGAAAGTAACGAAGAAAATTGGGGGGGGAGGTTTTGGCGAGATATACGAAGCATTCGATTTGGTTACAAAAGAAGCTGTCGCCTTAAAATTAGAATCGGCTCAACAGCCTAAGCAGGTGCTAAAAATGGAAGTTGCAGTTTTAAAGAAATTGCAAGGGAAAGACAACGTTTGCAAATTTATTGGATGTGGCAGAAACGATCGTTTTAATTACGTAGTAATGTCTATACAAGGAAAAAATTTAGCAGAGCTACGTAGATCTATGCCAAGGGGGCAATTCACTTTATCGACCAGTATGAGACTCTGCTCTCAGATACTAACCAGTATACGAGCAATTCATGAAGTAGGGTTCTTACATCGCGATATTAAACCATCTAATTTTGCCATGGGCCGTACAGTGGAGTCGGCTCGTGTCGTATATATGCTGGATTACGGTTTAGCTAGGCAATACACGAATTCCACAGGGAGTGTTAGAACCCCAAGAACAGCTGCTGGCTTCCGAGGAACGGTAAGATATGCCTCAATCAATGCTCATAAGAGCAGGGAAATGGGTAGACACGATGATCTATGGTCATGGTTTTATATGGTCGTAGAATTTGTACAAGGTGGTTTACCATGGCGGAAGCTTAAAGATAAAGAGCAAGTTGGAAACTTGAAAGAAAAATACGATCATAAAGCTTTCTTAAAGTACTTACCGTCCGAATTCTCTGATATACTCTCTCATATACAGCAGTTAGATTACTATGATGAACCTGATTACGATCATTTGTCGGAGAGATTAGAAAATATACTCTCAAGAAAACATATTCTATGTGCCGATCCTTTAGATTGGGAAAAGTCATCTTCAACAATATCTGAATCTCTATCCAATATAACATTAAATGGTCAAGGTAGCGTTCAAAAAGATTCCACAGCAAATCAACAACAACCCCAACAACAAAGGCCTTCCTCCATTGCTATTCTACCTCCATCGGATAATGATGCCAAAACACCTTTGCAACCTCAGAAGTTAATTAATATCGAGAATGCAAAGCGAACACTTGCTAGTATTGACAGAGATATAGATAGAGATATTGGAAAATTAGATACTCAACTTCGATCCATTTTACGACGCGACAGCGACGAAGTTGAAGAAGATCAACAACCCGGAACTAAATCATGTATGAAACTGTTGACAACCAAAGCCAAGATCAAATCAGCAGATGGAGAAGATGACGAAGAAGGAAACGTTAATAATAATGTAACTGACGATGAAAAGCAAAAGAAAGGTAAAAGTGTCAGCATCATGTTTGGTGGAGTTGAAGAGAGATCATTTACAAATGCAACTGCTGCTTTGGGAGATGACAATGCAACCAAAGCAGCGCCCTACACTGTTGTTAGTCAAAATATGTCTTTGGCATCAGTTTTGGAGGATGATAGTGAAGTTGTTCATAGAGAGAGACCTACAACCATTCCAACACGAACGAAACCTCCCCTTATGCCTGTAAATACGGTAGAACCTTTGGCAAAATTCCGCGAAGGATCACTTCGTTATCTGGACTTTTTAGACAGCGGAACTGGTTCCGATACATCATGCAGTAAACAACGAGAGCCAATGAAAGCTCTCCCTATTCATGGTACTGTTATTCAGTATAATGAAAGAGACGAGAGTGGTACAGTATCAGTAACTTCTAAATCATCTCGTAATGGAAAGCCTCCTCCGTCTCCTCCTCGTCATGTCTCTTCGGAGTCAACTTGTACGACCCCTGTGCAAACTCCTCTCTGTAATGGTTTCACTCATGAAAAAGAAAAAGAGAGTGAACCTAAATCTTGCCAGTTAGATGAAAAATCCTTGAAAAGTAACTTGTCGAAAAAGTTGGAACCTTCGTCTCCCGATACAGAGGAGAAGAAAGAGACCAGCAGTGAGAATGAAAATAATAATGAGGATAAGTTGTCTCGTTTTACAAGTTTTCCCGCTCCTGAATTATCCCAATCTACACCTGTTCAATCCAAACGTTCAAACGGAGTGACAAGAAAAATAGAGAAATTCGAAGCCCGTTCGAAAATACCTGTTCCAGCTAGACCTTTGGCTAAATCCCAAGAAGAACGAGGTCCTGCAGACGGAGAATCTCCTCGAATATCCCCTGAATTAGATTCCAATAAGAATGAACGTAGACCTAAATCAGCTTCGGCAGTAGGGCACGATGATAACAAAAATAACAACAACAAAGAGGCAAAATTTCCAAGACCCCCCGAAACCGAAATTTCCAGTAAAATTATTCTTTTGAACAAAGTTCGAAGTAGAAGATACAGACCTGCTTCCGGTGTTTCTAGTCCTCAAAGAAAAGAACTCAAGTAGTGTAAACTTAATTTACAATGATAAATTTTAATTGGGAATATATACAAAATAATCTATTTATAAGATAAATGAATTCACAATGATACATGTTTAATGTTATAAATTTCATACGTATAAATTATGTTAATTTATCACTTTATAATATTTTTCCTTTGTTTGTTTTTGGCTTGTAAATAACTCAAAAAGAGTTTAGTTGAGGAAAAGAATCCTGATTTCTTCATATGCTAAAATTAAATGGGAATAAATATTTAAAATCTTTGCAATAATCGTAAAAGATAATTAAAGAATTTTAAATACAAAAGTCAATCTACTCTAAAAGATTTTGTTGCATTTAACATTTTTTGAATTTTGAAAAAGAAAATAATCTAAAATCTTTATTTTCTATTGTTACATTCAATAAACTATGAATAGGAATAACAGAGAGGATCTTATTTTAGAACAAATACACGAAATTAGAACGAAAATACAATTAAAAAGTTATTTTTTTTTATTAATTAAATCTAATCTAAAATTAAAACTTATTAATTTATTACAATTGTAAAAAGGAAAAGAGAATGAAGACATGGTTGATGACATTTCAAAACACTCTACAAGTGTTGAAAGATCTATAAAAAGACTTTTGAAAGCGAATAAAGCACATAGAAAACAGATTGCGCAACAACTAATGGGAGTTAGTTTGTTTGTTTTTTTTCTAATATTCTTATTATTTTATAAACAGCATAATGTCACTTATTTAAGCAAGATGAAAAAATTATTGCTGCAATTTTCTCGTCAGAGGATAAAAGTGATAGGAAAGAATTGATGTTATTACGCAATAAGCCTTTAGAATATGTCGCAACTTATTTAGATAATAAAGCTTTCCATTTTCAAAAAGAGCTTGACAAATTACGATATGAAAGGAAAAAGATTGAAAAGAAAATCAAAAGAACAAGAGAACAATTACTTATATATGATCACTGGTTGAATAGAAGAATGGATAGAAAAGGGAAAGAAAAGACTATTCGAATTTTTGAGAATCAATTTGAAAAAGTCCGACTAAAAACTGAAACTGCAGAATCGATTGGCAATAAATACGAACAAGTTATTGGATGCTTACAAGAGGATTTCCATACCATGCCAAAACGATTAGAACGTCTGGAAAAGTCACTAAGAGAGTATAAAATAGAAGCAAGACAAATGCTAGAAACAAAAGTAAAAGCTCTTCGCTTACGAAACGAGGCCAAGGATGAACTTAACAAGCTTGAAAAAGTAACTTTTGAAGAGAGACAAGAAAAGGAAAATGAATTACTACTCACTAAAACAGATATGGAAAACAGGCGCAAAGAAGCGCAAGAGATTCGAGATAAAAGGATATTAAAGTCTTCTCCTGCTTTCGGTAATGATTTAAATACCGATAGGTCTGATATCAAAAGGAGAGAGATGCAAGACTTAAAAGAGAAGCTAGAAAACTATGAAACAACAATTCGACAACTACAGAATTCTACAAGAGTTACAGATTTACAGAAAGTCGTTGAAAGAATTATTATACAGAAAGAAGTTACTAAATTACTTGAACGTCAGAAAGAGGACGCCGAGAGGCAGCGCAATTACTATTTGTCACTTAGAGATGACGCTCTAGAACAGCTTATGGAAGCTAGATATTCAACGGAAGTAGGTATGACCGATTGGAGGGATTCCGTGGAAAAAATGCAAGTGTACGTTAAAAACGCTAAATCATCTTTGAAAGAGAGAAAGACGGAATTGGGAAAACAGGCAAAAATTTTACAAACTGTCAGAAAAGGAGTAATTAGTATTTTAGAAAGGACAAATGCAACTCCTACTTTAATGAGAAAAAGTACACATGATTTAGCCGAAAGTCTCAAGCAATGCTGTAGAAAACTTAGAACAATGCAGACGTTTATTGACCACTACTCAAATAGCTCAGACTGTCAAAAACAATTCGAAACAGGTGAATTTTATGACTTCATTAAGAAAACATTACCTGATAAAAACATCCAATCGTCAACCACTAAAAGTCCATTTATGGACGATTTTTACGAAAGTGAGGATAATGAAGATGTTTTAACAAGAGAGGGTAACTTTATTTTCTATTTATTCATTAATTATAATGACGTTGATTTTCATTTTTAATCGAATAGATGTGAAAACTGTAACAACTGATATTTTAAATTCTTTAATGAATAAAAAAAAAGGAAACAAGTCGACTAAAAAGCACTATCAACAAGCTATTCGTCGTAGTAAGGAGTGGTAACAGCTACATAAGGCCGGATTTCTGGGCGAAACTTTCATTGCTCATCATTTGATGTTCTTGAAATCTTTGCGAAATTCTTGTAGTCATTTTAAGGTATTTATCCATACAATTCAATGTGCAAGAGTTCTGTTATTGGTTTTTATGGAATTAATTATGATTAAAGACACATAGAAAAAGAATAAAAAATATTCATATATTTACCTCTGCATCTAATATTTTTCTGCCAGAAAAGTCGTGCACACAATCATTAAAACACATTTCAGAGAGTTTATTATACGACATCAAAAACTCGCGAAACTGTTGATAAAAATTCAAGTTAAAATATTTAAACACGAGGATAGCAAGGATAAATTGAGCGATAATAACTTGATTCATTGTTTGCTGTGTATCCGTATCGAGTTTCGGTTGAAAAGCCATTATATTAATGTTTGATACTATGTACTTAATTCTCTAATCAACAACGATTACTAATTATATTGTGAGTTAGTGCTTTAAATGATTTTTCCTTGCGGGGTTAACTCAAATTCTTCTGCTATTCTCCTCTAGAGGCTGCAGTGTCCAAAATTGTGAAATACTTTTTTGATTTACTGCGGAAATGATCAAAAGCGATAGTAACGCCATCTAGAAACGATGCTTGGGAGTTAGTTACGAAATGAACATAAAATGTATAGAATTCCTCGTCGTTCTCGCTTTGTGTTCGATAGCGGTGCCATTGCCAATAAATAACAACTTAGATGATTTAATCTTTACAATAAGGAGACTAATCGACTATTATGAAATTTCTTATAAAGATATTAACTTCGATGGTATCTTTGGTCTAAGAGTACTAGAAGGTACGTTGTTTTCGCTCCACTTTAAAAAGTTCAAATAATATGAATAATGCTAATAACAGGTGGTTTAAAGCTACAAGTTTTAAATTATGCTAAAGGAGATATTGAAATCTCAGAAAAAAATTTAGCTATTATAAAAGAACTATCAGAAAAGGCTGAAAAACTCTCAACTTTGGCAATCAATGTTTTAAAAACTGCTAAGGATAAGAGTTATGAAAGACTATCACCACTAATCAAAACAGAATGGAAAGGATTTGGTGATCATAAAGAGTTAGATTTCAACTTGTTATGGCCAGATAATTTTCCAGAATTCGGTATGTCACGTTTATTTTACTTGATAATCCTATTGAAAAGTATTATCGACGCGAATGTAGAGTTACTCTTCCTCAGATGTTGCACACGTGAATCTATTTTGTTCAGATATAGAACTAAATAGAACATTCTTTTTTTAGCGAACAATTGCGATAAAAAATTGTATACGAAATAGGAGACTCAAAGGACTAGGAGTAATTACCGACAGAGCGGCCAGATAGTAGAATTGATTGTCGTGCTTATTACATTATCATCGATTGATGAATATTTATAAAAGAGTAGTTGTTGAATAACTGCCTTGAGAAAGTCCTTTTACTCCAATTATTTTTTTATGATTTGTTAATCAAAATAGTATAAGACAGATAAAACATAGTAAAGCATGCAATTTATTGAATTATGGATTGGTTAATATGAGCCTAACCTCTTGCCTACATCCCGCTTCTCTAGCCCAATCTGCCCTGTTTCTTCTTCACTATTCCGTATTCCTATCCCTTTTTTTCTTTGTAAACTACACAATTATGTACAACTCAAGAAGCCATTTTTTCGTATTTAAACGATGGAGCGAGTTTTTTACTGTTAAAAAGTAAATAAGCAATTTTTGTGCGCTTCAATCTTGCTTCCTCTCTTTCTCGTCGTTCTCCCTTTATTATTCTGCTACATTTTTTGCGATCTGTTTGCGTAATGAATACGACGACTAGAAACTTTTATGTCGAATAGATTACTCGCCTGATGTATCTAGCGTCTTGCATTGATTGCACGAATAGTGAATGCTAATGAAGTCAAGTTGTCTATATATTGAACTCCTCAGGTGCTCGAGAACTTATGAGGGTGAGAATTTTTCATTATTCTCTTTCTTCTTCTCTCGTATTTCTAGTCTAATTAGAATTTTCGAAGTTGATTATGCAACAATTATATATCTAGGGTGTTAAGGAGGAAAATCGATATTATGCATATTCTCGTCGGATGAGGGCGGATGAACGTTCGGTCGTGCGAGAAACGTTTAATCCTCAAATCGACAAATTCTAATTAGCGTTACGTATTTAGTCATCAGTATTAATACGGAACGTATTTCCGAAGCGGATTAAGAAAGGCGAATGAATGATGAATCGTGCATTTGGCGGATTATTTATCAATCACTCATCAATATAGTATACGTTTAACGTACTTTTTAACCTATTTGCTCTGATTGATTAGGTGTTTACATCGTAAGCAGACAGAGGAGGGTTTAAGGGGCGTCAATATTACATCTTCCTTCCGACTCTTCTCAAGGTTTTGAAAAGACTACTTAAGTTTTCGTATAACCTTATTTAAAGGTTCGCATACGCAATTGACTTCCATTGAACAAATTTGTCGTTGTTACTCTTTCATGATGCCGCCAAGTTATGCTTCGCTACTCTCCAATCGGCGTCTAACGAGAACTGTACCATTTGAAAAAGGAGCGGCTTAAAACGATTTTTTCTTGCTATTCGCTGAATTATCAATATTTTATAAGCCGTTTTTAGACTCAAAGCTACTTTTTTTGCATTTTTTTTAGGTATAAACTGTATTTGGTACCATATAGTATTCTCTCTTCTCTAACTTGTTCTTTATCGTAATTCAATATGACCCTCTTTCCAGATGTAGAAGAAGAGGAGTCAGACAACTGTTTCTCGCAACTTTTTGGAACAGCAGGATACACTCACTGTTCTTTTGGCGATAACTGCCTAAATATGCTTATTAAGAAAGGGGGCAAAGAGTACGTAATAACTCATCAAGTGCTTCTTGGATTTATCATAAAAATGGTAGGGCCTTTCTTTTATCATATATACCGCAATTGGTTTTTTAGGATATTTGTAGGAAAAATGTGCTGGTATAATGCCAACGGAATTGTAATAAACTCGTTTACCGGCCAGCGGCAGTAATATGAAAAGCCGCGCTGTACATTTACGCACGTAATTTCCTTTCGAGTCACGCATATGTTCCAAACGACGTAGCAAAAAAATCAGAAATTTTTCTTATATGTTGTATGAGGTCTTTATTATATACTTTTAAATTCCTATAGGAGTCGTGTACGAATATAGAACATCAATTACTGGAAAAAGGAATACATCTCGAGAAACACATGAACGAATTATGCACAAATAATTTTTTTGAAGTGGCTACTTCCGTTAGACTATTACGAGGCAAAATTCCCGCACAATATAGAGACTTGTTTATGGAGCAGAGTAAGTATTCAATTCAACATTCTCATCCTGTTTACTTATAAATACTCTCCAACAGTATTTGTGTGTCCTTCTTACGGTTATACTCACTTTTTACACACATATTTCTTAAAACAAATAATGTCCTGGCAACATTCCAGCGGATGCTTTGGTACTCCTGACAGTGTAATGTCCGAAAAAAATACCACAGCTATAAAAAATATGAGGAGGTTGCTGGAGGAGAAAGAACTACCCAATGGATGTATGAGTCATGAAAGTGGGGTAGCATGTGGTGCTCTAGTTGTATTCCTTAGATTCTTAATCGAACATCCGCAATCATCGGATTCGTCGTTCAACAACCTTCTCGAGCATTCTTTAACAACCAATGTTAAACTCTTGACAGAAGTTGAAGAGCAACCTGTTCCAAAAATAATTGGTCAGGATTATACGAATGAAGAAAAGAAAGAAAGCAACAATGATCAAGATTATCATCAATATATGGATATAGACGACCCTCGTCGTTCTGATATAAGACAAGAACTGCAAAGAGACGCTTCTCTGAGACAGAGATCTTATAAGAATCGTTCAGATTCAATTCATTTGTTTATATTTTTGTTAGCTATAATACCATCTTTGATACTGCTTTTCAGATTTATACGATCTCGTAGGATCGTTATTCTATATCCCGCACGGTTTTGGTAATGTCTTTTTTATTACCAACAATTACAATTGGCTTAATGAATCTCTTATACGACTTAATCTGTTAAGTCGTAGGAAGCTACAACTGTCATAGCGCGCTTTCGATCGAATTTCTTCGAGTATATTGTTCAGGAAAATTCTATACGAAAATAAATTAATTAAAACAATACAAAGTTATCTGATTTGCTTTTGTTGGAAATTCTGAATTTAAATTTTTAAATATTTAATAATAAACAAAAATCTCGTCTAAAAGAATGAATTATATTTTTCTTCATTCTCTCTCCCTTCTCTCTCTCTCTCTCTCTCTCTCTCTATCGCTCTTTTTTCTCTTTAGCACTTAATCCATATTGAGAATAATAAAATATAAAAAAAAGGGGGGAGGAAGTTTTGCGAAAAGCAGAAATGTCTAAATGACGTTATAAATTATTTAAATATAAATAGTCTGAATACTTCCTGTAAAGGATGTTAATGCTAAAAAAGTATATATTGCTTATGCTAAATATACATATATACTATATTTATATTCTGAAGCATTTGGACAAAAACAGACCTATCTTTTTTTCTTTCTTTGCACTTCTCAAAAAAATCAAAAAAAGGGAAAAATTTCCTTCAATTTCTAATAATTCTATTATAAGCACTCCTACTAATTGTAAAAGTCCTTAATTGTAATCTCGTATAATTGCAGCGTTTCTTCAAATAAAGAAACGTTTGATAACATTTTGTAAACAAATCACTTACAGTTTAATTTCTATCGAACGAAATTTGCTTGCGGTAATTAAAGTTTAAAAAAAAAAGAAAAAAAATTTAAATAAGCCTATACTTATATAAATCCTTTAGTCTCTTTGCCCTTCTCTTTATCGCACCATTCGCCAATGTTACAATCCTTTCCCATGCCATACATATACCAAATTCCCATAAATTTTAAATGATTTTCCAAAGAGGAAATTAGGTTAATTAAAAAGTTTGCTTTTTCAATGCTCTTGAGAAAGAAATAGTCATTTTCTTTTCTTAATATAAGAAATTCCTGCAAAAGTATGAGTTCATCATTCAAATTACTGCTTATCTAACATGTTTTTTTTTCTTTTTTTTCTTTTTTTTTCCCCTTTTATACTACATCAAGGTCTTTGTTAATCAATTCTTGTCTAAACGAAACGGGCGCCTATTGAGCGTTAAAATGATTGAGAAGGTACCTTAAGAGGAAAATTTACTCTGTACTTGACTTAGTAATTCGGATCGAACGAGTCTAATAAATACAAGCTACTAAAGTCTCTTTTCGTGTAATTTTCTATTGGAAAGCTCTAAAAAATTTGTTTTCTCCTATCCTCCACCCTTAAGACTTGACAAAGGATAGTATAATTTAATTTTCTCTCAGAAGATTAACGATTATTCTTGTTTAGACAAAGAGATACAGAAGTAGCAAAAACGATTTCCAATTCGATAAGGTAACTAACGGATAAAAGCTGGATCTGTCCCATTGGTAGACGAGTTACTTTGGATCGTTGATAGAACCGATTGCGTTCCCTTCGGATTCGATCGTTTTCCTAATAGCATACGACGTAGAAAAACGCCTCTTACCACAAAAAAAGGAAACGATACCTAAATGATACCGGCATTTTAATATATTATTTGACACCTAGTACAACTACGAAAAGTCTTATATTTTTAATCTCCCATTTTCCTTAATAAAATACCCTTTTAAGAAGAGTTTCCCTATCAAATATCATATATAATTTATCAAAACCAATATACGAATAAAAATTCTATACACTGTACTTACTGCTACAACTAAATAAGAAAGAATATGCAGTACTACACTTTCTTTTAATCATTGAGCAGGAGGAGAGAAATATAAAGACTTCATCTATTAGGTTTCACGATTTTCCTTTATTTACCTTCGCTCTTTATCTTTAAATATTCGTTATAACTAGACATATTTAGGTAAAGTTTACATGTATATATAACATAATAGATGTTAATAATTACAATTCTTATGCAATTTTCAAGAAGGTTTTTCAGGATCGAAATGATATTGGTCAGAAAGTTAATACCTAGTAATTTCTTTTGTACTAATAGACTATAATTACTCTGCTTTTCCCCCATAGTATATACATAGTTATCTCTGTAATAATTATTAGATTAACCATTTATAAAATATCTAAACGTTAACAGCAATTTGGTATTTATTCCTCATATGAATTAGTCTCTAAGGTATAATTTTTTTTAATGATTTTAATACTTTATCTGAAGAGAAATCAATTTAAATATAAAAATACAAAAAGTAGAATAAAACCCTAGCCTATTCATCCGTCTGATGAACTATTCCACTGGGAGGGGGCGTTGCTATCTAGTCTTCGTTGCACTGCCAACTTTTAATAAAAGCACATAATAGAAACCCATAGCGTCTGTCTAATGAAAAAGACACATAAATCCATACGAAATGAAATGAATGGGAAAAAAAATAAGAATGGCTTTTTATGTAATAAAAGCATTAATAGTAAGAATGATATGCTGAAACTGTGAACCTATAGAAGACAAATAGTAGTTACAACGTGTAGACCTAAACTTGGAATCCTTTACCTTATAATTAATTTCCTTGAAGCTTGTAAATACACAATAAACTTGTATATGATGATTTAAAGATATTAAATTATTAAGAATATTCTAATAATAGTCTTAAATTTAATATACGTATATGTTTATATACCTATTTACTTTTGTTTTGAATGCAAAGGTGATATTAATTAATAGGAAAGGAGAATAAGTATAATTAACCTAATTAATCTTTGATTATCTTAACTTTCAACAGCAAAAAATGACATAAAGTTTTTTAACTGAAAGATTTAGAAGGTTTTCTGGAAGAAAATTTCCCTTTTTTTCACTATTTTAAGAGATCTAAACAACGGGATTTAACTAACAATTTCTCTTACATGTTGCCATGTCCTTGGAGCTTTATTTGAGTACGATAAGGAATTTGATTTTATTCCTGTACTATAGAAATTCGGATATAGAGTTTCCAAAAGTATTGATACATCTAGTATAAGATGTAACTTTAAACTGCTTTATTAACCTTCTAATAGATTTAAAATATAGCGCTTTCCCCCATCATAAGATAGTTACTAAAGAACTATGACAATTTTTCATATAAAATTACCTATGGATAATGCTATAAATCATTATTAGTCATCTCACGACCTTATGATATATTATAAAATAACCCTGACAGGGATCTTTCAAGGTTATAATTGTCCGAAACGAAGGAAATATTAATTTTTTACTTGCACCGAATCATAAATTATCCAGTGTTTTATATGCTGTATAACGTAATTTGCATAATGTATTTAATCTGTCAATTAGGACATATTCTGTTTGTATTATAATCGTTCGTTAGAACTCCGTTAAGAGTCCGGGTTGCATCACTGTCATCATCTGGACTTCCAGTTGAAAATCTTTTAATGTCAGTAGCTAGGTGATTATTGTAGGGGGTTTTCTTTTTCAAACGATAGAATTCCTTCTACTCCTTCCTCTTTTACCTCTTTGTAATTCTCTCACATAAATAGAAGACTAAGTACTTTTCTTTTTCTATTTAAGTAGAATACTCTTTCTTTAACTTCGATTATATACATCTCATTCACACTATCTGACAGAACATGGAAAAGAAGAGTCGATTTATCTGCGAATCAAACTCTTATTCTTCCACATCTTTTTTTATCCTGCGATAAAGACATGACAAATAAAATTTTCGAAACTAGAAGAGAGAGAGAGAGAGAGAGAGAAGAGAAAGAGAAAAAAAGAGAAATTGATAATAACAATAAAAATAGTATACCACATTCTAATTTGATGTATAATGATTAAAAAAAAACACAATATATCTCATCCCACCGTCTAACACTAACAAACTTATTTCTCCTATAAAAGGAGAGCCGACATGGAGCGATGAAGCATCAATTATTTCCATTAATAAATTATTAATCGTCTCCCAAGTTTTTTTTTAATTAGTGTTAGAAAGTTAATTATTTACAATCGAAAATATTATTAAACTTATTATAATATATTACTTAGGATACAAGTCACTAAATTTTTAACATTATGTACAAAGGAAAGAGTTTAGTTTATCATATATATATATATACAGTATTATATAATAACGTTATATTTTATAAGTCATAACCTTTATAAGAAATGTATATATTTATATAAATATATACAAATTAGTAGTTTTTACTTTTATCTTTTAGCCTATATACTAAAACATTTATTTATATTTGTTTAAATATGAACTTTATATCAAAAAAGAGATAAACAATATAGCCTATATATATTTTTGGCAAATAGTTCTAAAAATTATTATTGCCCTTTCTCTCTGTTTCTTCTTCAATATCCATATAGATTTCTCATTTTGTTGTTATTCTATTTGATAAAAAAAACCTTACAGTCCTAAATCCCATAACATTATATGAATAAATTATCTAGAATGATAGAATACTTTACAGAGACTAAATTTGAGATTATAAACACATACATATATACAAACGTGTATATATATACTGGCTAAAGAAATCATCTATTGCCAAACATAATATTTATGGCCTATTAAATCACTGCTGGTAACATTTAAACTAAAAATATTAACAGTATTCATTTGATATTTTTTTTATATATATTAAGAGTTTATTTAGAGAGATAAAAACAAATACGTAATCAATACGTAATCTTAAATACCCATGATTATAGAATTGGAATTTTATTTGAAAATAATAATAACATACTCAAATTTCATTATTTTTTCATTATATCTTATCTGAATATTAAGTTTCGTATCAATATGCGTTTTGTTTTCGTAAGATATTTTCCGTAAATATAACATTCTATCTTGTAAAAGAAAGAATATTTCTCCAATTCCTTTTTAACTTGTCTAAATAAATGGTGATAGGAAATCAAGACTTTAAGCTATAACGATTACTCAATAACGCTACATTGATGGAACTGATTAGGTCAATTCAAAATCGATTGGTCAATTATTCCTCAAGATTCATAATAGATGAAAAATAATCAATTACAATACTAAAATATATAGTATTGAGAAAAACAATATGCAAGTAAATATATATTTGTTATATGAGGAAAAAGGAAGCAATAAGCTAGAGAAAATGTACAAATATAAGAAAGAGTAGATAATTGCATTTCCTTATACTTTAGATTATAAAATACATCAGAATTTAGTGAGTTGGGGATATTTTCTTACTATTATTCCGTTATAGAAAATTTCTATTAGTTCTCTTTTCTCTAATCAAATGTAACTAAGTGAAAGAGAAATTTGTCAAACACATAGTGAACAAATTTACGAATGAGAAAGGATTGATCAGAAACAACGAGAATAGAAGACAAAGAAGAGAGGGAAAAAAGATGATAGTATCCTGTGTATCGGGATGAAAAATGTTAAGTTTTATTAGAAAATGAGGCGTAAGTAAATAAGCAGTTACGCATCAATCGTTTATACGCCATTCCAATGAATCAGGTACATAATTTCTTATATGTATATATCATTGTAAATTAACAAAGACCTTTAGAAATAACATAATAATTATATTATTAAGAGCATACCAATCATTATTAAAGATTAACGTATTTCTGTAGGTATACTAAATATAAATTTAAATAGAAGGACAAATTATATAACCTTTCTATTATTAGCATAAACTTTTATATAGGACTATATTTTATATATAATTTTAAAACAAATAAACAACGTACTTGTATACTTGTGTTTTTAAAGATATATATACATATAGATACATTCTCATAGGTAAATGAAGAATTGGTTTTATTTGTAATTTTAGTGTAAAATTTACAGTTATTACAACAAGTATATATAATAATAAAGTAATATGATACAAAGGGAAGATAGACAAAAAGAAAGAAAGATGAATAAAATAAAAAAGCACTTGTTTTGGTTAAAGTGAAGGCCAAAATGAAAAGGAAATTTTAGTAAAAATGTTAAATATGTTATATCTTGTTTATTTAGGATAAAGTGCATTCTTTTTAGTCCTAAATCTATTACTGAGGTTTCGTTTTCAAACCAAAGTGGAAATATTTTTCAAAATAACTTTATATTGAAATTATATAGTATGTTTTAATAATAATTCAACATATTTTCCCACTTTAATATTCATGTAATCTCAAACACGATGCTATTTTTCTTATTATTTACTTTAACTATTTGCTTTTCTCTCATCACAAATAAGCCGACAATATAAAAAAAACTGATGGGATAAAATTCTGTGTCACATGATTCCTGATCTAGTAGAAATAGATATTTTTATTTATTTATTACGTAAGATAAGTCAATGAACCTATTGGTTTTATTGTAAATATAACATCTCATAAATACTATAGGTGGCGTTCATTTTTTATTTGGCTCAGTATTCCGCTTTGAGTTTTTAAAAGCTTCCTACATTAAGCACCAGTTTTTAAACCATGTTAAAACTCTCTGACGCATGCGCAGCTATATTACTGGAAAAAAAATTAGACAATACATTTTCGCAGGACAGCAAACAATCAGGACGTGATGTGCTCAGAGAGCGCAAGTGAACTACATGTAACTATGATAATTTCAAAATGTCATTTTTATTATTTATGGATTTTTGTTAATTGTTCAATTTTTTCTCCAATTGTAGAGACTTATCAAATTGGATAGTCTTGTTAAGGCCAAGCTAATTCTTAAAAATTACAAGAAATATGATAAACAAAAAATTGTAAATGAACTTGTTAAAGATGTCACCGCTCTCTTTTTGGCTGCGGTTGAAGGTCGTGTAACTTTTGTTCACTACCTGATTGAAGAATGCAATGCAGATTTAGAAAAGCCTGGTATATTTGTTGTAGCACAAGATAAGGGTAGGCATAAAGTCACACCTCTATGGGCAGCAGCCGTCTCAAATCATTTAGAGGTAGTCAAAATTTTACTGAAAGCTGGTGCTCATGTGAACGCCTTATCGGACACTGGTTAGAGCCATTGTTCATTAATATACTGATCAAGTTACCCATAATATTTGATTTTAATTAAACAGGGTCCACTCCAGTTCGATCAGCCTGCTATATGACTAACATCGATGTAATTAAGACTTTAATTGAATATGGAGCTGATATTCACAAAGCTAACAAAAATGGTGGAACCTGTCTCATAAATGCAGTTCAGAGTGCTGAACTATGCCAAATACTCGTCGATCAAGGAGTCGCTTTAGATAAGGCAGATATGTCCGGCAATGTAGCGCTACATTACGCTGTAAAAGAAGGTAGAATTGATAGTGTAAGACTTCTACTTCGGTACGGAGCTGATGTACATATAAAAAATGAGAATGGTGATGATGTAATTAGAACTGCCGCTCTAAGGTGCCAGATAGAAATAGTCGAACTTATACACGACGAAGCACATACATCAGATACGGAATATGCCGAAGCTCTGGACTTGCTTGGTGCTCAATTGATGGACGAAAATCATGATTTATCAACAGCAATGACAATATGGGGTAAGGCTATCGACTATCGTATAGAAAAGAGTTTGCAATTTGTAAAACCATCCGAGCCAATTCCTGCCTATAATTACGCAAGTGGCGTCGAAAATCGACAAGACTTGGATAATCTTTTGGAATCTCCTGATAAACTTTATATGCAAGCGCTATTACTCAGACAAGAAATCTTGGGGCCAAGACATCGCGACACTCTCTTTGGTTTAATGTATAGAGGAGCCGTCTACGCTGATAATAGGAATTTTGAACAATGCGTAAGAATATGGCTACATGGTCTAAAGTTAAGAAAAGAATGCTGTAACTCATTTCATGAATGCGCTTTTGCCTTACAAGCATTAACCAAACTTTTCTGGGAAATGACTGATAAAATTGACCAGAAAAATTTACGCGAAGTCATTGATATTGCTATAGATCAAATGAAATTGTCGAGTAGCAAAGAAAATGGAGACATAATCATAAAACTATTAACTCATCAACTAATTTTAGTAAGAGAATGTGACTTACCTGAAATTTTAAAGCCTATTAGCAATTTTAAGAGAAACTCTGGTTTAAACCTAGTTCATTGTGTTGTAAACAGTAATTATTCGAATGTTGCAGACGAATTTTTCTCAATTTTACCAAACTGTTCACTTTTAAGATCTTTGGTCTACAGCGGAGCAGACTGTGATGTTCTCTACGATGGCCGTACACCTTTACAAGTAGTTGTAAATGATTTGTTATATGCCAAAAATGACGATATGAAGAGATCTATCCTAATCGACGCTGCAAAAATATTATTAGACGAGGGAGATGCTCACTTTGATTTACATGATTCTGTTACAAACACAAATACTGGTGATCAAATTTTAAAACTTGTACCTGGGCAATTTTGCCCTCTAAAATATGTAGGACTAAAATGTTTAGCGGCTAGAGTCGTTAAACGATTTCTTCATAACTTATCTGCAGAAGATCTTCCACAGGTTCTGATTCATTATGTTTCTATGCACTAGTTTTATCTTAGGAAGACGCTATTTTTCTTCCTTCTAAAAACATCTTTAAATGTTGTTTTACATATATATATATATATATATATATATATGTATTAGTATATATATATATATATATATTGCTACTCGGGTTTTGAAACATTTTATTTAAATTTTAATCATTTTCAATTTCCATATAACCAGTTTTTTTCTGGGTTTGATTTTATCTATAATATTCAGGATATTTACAACATTTTTTTGCGACATTGTATTTTAGATAAATGCATGAAATCATATACATAAGCCAAACAAAAAAACTATTGACTTTTATATTGAAAGAAAACAAACTTTTTGTCATTTGTCTATAAAAAGAGAACAAAACAAAACAGAAACTAACAGCCAACTCTTTTCAGTTAGCATAACTTCAATAATACTAATAATATTAATAATTAATCCGCGAATCAATTTGTTGGTTTATAAACCTCATTTTTTACATGTTTATTTATAGTTTTTATGAGAATGTCGTTCTGCAACGATAAAGTTAGAAGGTAGAAAAGGCTTTAGTATCTTTTTTTTAAAACCCCTGTAAGCAGCATATATATATATATATATATATATATATATATTGAAATTTATATTTATAGAAATATATATCTATATATATATATATATGTATATACTGTAGAAGTATATGTGAATATTCCTACACACATATATGTACAGTATATATATGTTGCACATTTTATGCTCTTTTATTTAGTTTATTAAAAAAAACTTACTATGCATCCACAGGATAATACCTTTAAAAATAAAAAAAATTGAGGGATGCCTATGATTTTATCCTATAAATTATTTTAATGCATTTAATGAAGATGGCGCTAAAATTTCCGTTTTTAACGACATCTGGGACTAGAGACCTTCTTTGTGGCAGTTTTAAAAAAGCTGTTTAGTATATCGTGCGTGCCAGTGCCTAAATGAATTATTACAATATAAACAATGCAAAATCCTTCTAAGCTAAACCATGTCTTCAGACAAAGACTTTATATTTCTCTTTTTGAGTACTTTTAGAAGGTAGTATTCATTTTTTATCAGTTATACACTATTCATTCTTAAGTAATCTCTAAATGGAGTCCCTCCCTCTCTCTCCCTCTCTCTCTCTCTCTCTTTCACTTTCTGTCTCCCAAAAATATCCTAAGATGATAGGAGAGATTTTTTTTAATATAGGACGAACAAAAGAGAAAAGTATATTTGCATTAAAGGCAAAAGGACTTGGATGCTGTAAAGGGAAAATCTTTTTTATTATTCTATCTTGTTAAATACTGCTAACGGTTGAGGGAGCACGAACAACCTAACGGTAAAATAAGGGTTAATGAAAAACAATAAAAAGACGAAAAATAAATTAAAACACTTCCGTTTATCAGTATAATTACTGAAAATGAAAAAAAAAATAGAACGCGTATTTGGACAGGTACAGTTCACTTTCACGATTTCCTACTTATTTCCTGGTTAAAGGAGATTTTATACCTTTACGCGTCTGGAGTATAACTAAAAATGTATGGTGTCAGGTTTTGTTTAAGCTACGCTAATATTTTCTTTGAATTATTCTTACTTTATACACCTGCGAAAAGATATTCCTCACCTTATTCAACATTAACTGCACGCCATCTATTGGTTTATGTTATCCATATTTTTTGGTTGATATTCTTACCTATATTATATTGTGCAAACTTTACAATTTGATCAGGTGATGAAAATTGATAAAACAGCAGCAAGCAGCGCAAAATGTCGTTTGGTGAATATTTGAACAGCAGAGTTAGTAAAGAGGCTGTAAGTTAATTTACCTAAATAAAAGAAACCTTTAACTGTTATTGCCAAACCTTAATAAAGGGTTAAAGGCTTTAGAATAGACTTTAGACGGATTGTACAACTTTTAATACGCCTATGTTTAAGAATGTAATAAATGATAGTAAAACAATGTCTTTCGATCACTTTTTTTATCATTTTAAGACTTGTAGATATCTACATTATAAATATATTAGTAATATATACAGTATAAATTTATATATATACTGTATACATATATACTGCAATGCCTAACACATTGCTACTATATAGGCTACGTATATTTTACGTATTATAGGAAAGCTTAAACGTTCCTTCTTACGAATATTACGTCAGAAATGTACATATTTTATATCTGTGTAAACATCATTTTTAGTTATACTTTGCATATCAGTCTTATTCTATTTATATTTATATATATAATATATATGCATATATTTAAACATCCATATTATAATCGTTATTTATACAATATGTGAAATGAATACTTTTTTTTCCGCCCTCTTCAAAAGAGGGATGCTAGAAGGCAAAAGAGGGCTCTAAGGGTCAGTTCGATAATGAAGAAATCGGATGAGCTTATCGATATTTTTATAGAATTAGAAAGAATCGGCAATGAACCAGGATTCTCTTTAAGATTAAATAACAAGCACGAATTTACTATAAATGATGTTGCAGAAGGTAATATATATATTTAAAGAAATATAGATTTATTTATACAAATTTTTATAAACGAAATAGTTAATAATAACGTTTTAAAATGAAACGGATAAATTAATCGATAAAGAATGAAGCTAAGAGACATTCATTCATGAATATTAAAAATTCAAAAATAAGAAAAATCTTATATGCATATAATTTAAATTGTAATTTTGGAAAAAAATTGAGAAGAAAGAGAGAGAGAGAGAGAGAGAGAGAGAGAGAGAGAGAGAAGGCATTGAGAGGGACAAAAATTCTGATTAGATATATCTAGTTGTACAGCTTTAAAGAAATCTTAAATATTACCGTATTCCGTTGTATTATATGATTTATTGTATTGAATTATATATACTGTATATAGTTTTCATTTAACACTCAATAAGCTAAAAAAAAGAAAAATATTATTTTAAGACTATGAATTCATAAGATTTATAGTGTGCATGCTGCATGGAAATAATCGAGATTGCCAGGATTTCTCAGTTGCAGTTGAAGATTATTATAGGCCTGTAGTTTAGTATTTGAAGCTAAGGACTCAGGTTTTACTGAGAAGGCTAATTTTATCCTGATTATACGGCTAATTGTTTTAATTTATCCGCTTTTATCCGGAGGCTATAATCATAGAATAATTAAGCGTGTAGGGGGAGGGAAAAGCAGTGAAGATATTAGCGTCGACAAAAATCTATGTATAAATAGGCGTAATATAATTTCGGCGGACAAACACGCGCTATAAACGCCACCTGCCGATAAAATCGCCCCCGTCGTCTAAGAGAGAGAGAAGAGAGGAGGAGACGATGCGCGATCTTTCAGGCTACGTCATTTTGATTGCAGAAAGTTCAGAAGGGAAAATAAAGCTTTACGGTAAGGCTCTAAACACTTGTTCATTCCACAATTTACGATTTTGTAGTAAGAAGGAAAAAATTCGATAAACTAAATTACATAAAGGTTCTACTCAATATATTCGTCTTTGATGCGCCAACGACGTTTCGACCTTATTCTTTAAGCCTTTGCCTTACAGTAGTTATTTTATTCTTATATATTCTAACAAATTTTTGGTTAGCATCTGCGTCGAACTGCTTTGAAGTGTTATCGAACTCAGTAAATCTTCGCGCCGGAATTTTTCGAACGTTATCGATTGCCTACGCCTATATTTTTTTGTGTATGGTATATTTATGGATGGAGAGTATCTCCCTCTCCGAAAAGTCATCACGCTGAAAACTCGCTGAACCGTATCGAACTGATACGTTAGCCGCTTATGAACAAAGTGATTGATGCTTATCCTTTCTATTAGTTTGGGGCTGAAAACAGTTTCGCTCCATTGCATTAGTAAACTTTACCTCTGTCTTTGTCAACGACTATTTCCGGTGTCGTTCAGTTCGTTATCGAGCGTCCCTTTAAATGTTCGTCTTGGGATTGACACTCAAGAGACTATTTCTAGCCTAATATTCCCTATTCCTTCATGTTTCTTCTGAAGAGATTAGCGGAACTATCTATCGCCTTTCTTTTCAGGGTCGCCCGCTAACCGAGCCAATTTACAAGCAGGGGATGAAGTTGTCGCTGTCAATGGACAAAGTTTAAGAGATGCAACGCACGCGGAAGTTACCGAATATATTCACAAGGTTAGGCTCTTACTCTATCCCTTTAAACTCTTCTCCTTTGATGATTAGTTGCGCCACCTGACGGCCACAACAAACATCATACAACGTTCCAAAACAATAGTTATATACATCTCACGAAATTTGTAATTCCCGCCTAATTATTTTCGTATGAAGCGATATATAAATTTTATTTTCTCCCACAAGAAAATTTATACCAAATTTGAAACAAAGATATAATACCAGACACTTTATCCTACTTCTAACTACGAAAGATTAGATAATGCCCGCCATTTTAAAATTGTCTAGTGGCGCAGCTGCAGGTAGTGTGCGATGCTTGGTCGTTTTTAAGCGGGATCAAGCCGCGTTTAAAGGCGATCGATAAGATCCCATTCACTCTATGCGTTCGCTCCATCTAGCGAAGATTACGATTCTGGCCGGCAAACATTTCTCGGCATAAGCCGTTTTAACTTCACTTCGCTCACCTTGCTGGCCAATTAACGTTCTGTTTCTACTAATATTACAGTGTATAAAATCTCGAACAATACAACTACGAGTGAAAAGGAATACAGGAAACGGAGAGCTGGGTAAGTCAAAATTTTACTTGAAAACTACAGTACTCATGCTTATATTATTATATAATAAAATCAAGGGCGTTTGTAATTACATAATCTTCCCAAAACAATTATTGTATTTCTATTCGGAAAACGATTAAATAAGTTTTCGTTTGTTTACGATTCGTTGTACCGGATATTGACGTTTGGCCTCCATTGTTGTTTTGGCTTTGGAAAGGACGCTATGTTATGAATAAACTTAGACGATTTCTCTAGTAAATGTATTGAAAAATAGTCTCAATATCGCTTCTTTTGTAAGCAGAAGCTTGAAATGGCCCCATACACAAAAGATCATCTTACCATTGACACAAAAACATCGCCTCTATTTTAGTTTCACCTATTCTCTGCCTTTTATACTATTGGTATCTTCAGCAAAATAACCCATTTAACAGTCACTATTTGCTTTTTTAATTATACCAGAAGTGTAATTGAGTAAACGTATCGATTCCGCCACTGTCAATTGAAGTTGGGGGCCAACCTAAGTGATAAGATAAGATGCTTTTTGTCTACAGAATTGATCGTTCGAATAAATGAGATTTAGTCAAGGGGTCAAGCCAAGTGTCATTCGACATTATTGAGCTTCCATCTTCTGGTAGAAACCTCTTGTTCGAGTTAAAAAATAAATAGGAATGAAATAAATTTAAGCCTATACAAAATTGAGATTCCTGCATGAATCATGTGATAAAAACGTTAAATATGCTACAGTTCACGGGGGGTATAATTTACTGTGTATTTAAAATTTGATGCTAAAAGGACATTCGTGTTTAGGTTGAAAATTGATGAAATAATCGATTATGAGGTTTTAGAAAATTGTAGACCAAACAATTCCCTCTACAATTAAAGAATTGAATGTTTGCCAAAAGCTTTAGTCATTAATTACCGACCAATGGAATTTAAAAATACACAAATCTAATGGATTTTCCTTTCTATTCGCAAATCTATTCAACTATTAGAGAGTTTGGGAGGCAGAGAGAAAAAAAGGCTACTAATAAATAAAACAAAGGCGTTTAGATTTTCACCGGAAGTTTGTAAACTAATTAAGGATGGTACAAGAGAGACAAGAAATGTTAGGAGGGTAGTAATTTTTTCTCGGGGCACTCTATTCGAACTTGATAATGAAGGTCCTCGCCAACAAATCGTTTGTAACTTGACTCTAGCCGATCCTCCCCATGTCTAGAAGTTTTGTAGATTAAGTACGCATTAGATGTAGGCTGTTAGAGTGGCTTACAAACTGTTTTCGATTAGAGGCGCCCTAACTAATGCATTAGGTTACATCTGTTTATGACATTGTGTTCGTTAAAAAAAGTTTTATTCTGAATTTTTGTTTTTTTTTTTAGCGAAAGGGGTTGTCATTAAGGACGCTTATGTAATTGCTGTTGAAGAGGAGGCGAAGAAACGTTTAGAAGGGTTCTCCAATACGCACAATATACAATTAAAAGATTTGTCAAAGACAGAGGAGGATGAGATGAGGCAAACTGGGGAAGAACACAATGAAATGCCGGTTGATTGCGGTTCACCGTTAAAGAGTAATAAAGGCTGGGCAAGATCTACAACGTCTTCGTTAGCAAGCTCAAATACATCAGATATAAACGCTCCTATGACAGAAGCCGAGAAAGAAAGAGTTGAAAAATATAAAGAAGATTTACGTCGAAAAAGAAAACAACAAGAAAAGCATAAAGAAGAAGAAGACTTTCTTCGAACATCCCTTAGAGGATCTAAACGCTTACAGCAACTAGAGGAGACCCCTGTTGCTGCACCCGTCCAAGCGGGTATAGTCAATCCTGTATATGAGCAAAGTTATGACGAATGTGTCGATAGCCCTATCTCACAACATCAAGTGGATACTTTGAAAGTTCGTAGCGAAGGCGTTCAATTATACGGTAAGCGAAAATGTATACGCATATAATACTAGATAGGTCCCTCAAGGGAGGAAAGTACGAAAGAAGTGATGAAAGAAATTATTAACGCCTCTTTCCGCCCTTGTCACAAGAGTTATAATAAAATCGATAAATAGCCTATGGCAAATCTACATAGTTTTCTTTTACTATATTTTTATAGAAGTTCCCGATATTATGGCATCGATTGCAACAATTCGGGAACGTTTACCTGCAGCTCATGAAGAGCTCATGAAAGTTTTACGCCTAGTATCAAAGGACAGTTTTGAAAAAGCGTTAAAAATGCATAATTCGGTAGTAAAGTCAACATTACGAAACCCGCCACCTGTCCCCGAAAGTACATGTTCATTATCCGAACTGGACGATGTTCTTACTTGTGTTTCAAGATCAACAAATCCATTTGCCTTAGAATTAGCGAATATTTTACAATCACCTAAAGTTATTTCTTTGTTACAAGCTCATGATGAAATGGCTAAACGTGAAGCTCCAAAGCATCAAAAGCGTCAGCTCAATAAACAGCAATCACCCCAAAACGGTGAAGTTCGTCCTGAATCTAATGATCAAGTTCTTGAAAAAGTATCCCGTTATGGCGAAGATAGAATTAAAATAGTGAGATTGCATAAAACTGCTGATCCCTTGGGAGCAACTGTACGCAATGAAGGCGAATCTGTAATAATTGGGCGAATAGTAAAAGGAGGAGTTGCTTATCAGTCTAACCTACTTCACGAAGGAGATGAAATATTGGAAATAAATGGCACAGATGTTCGCGGTAAGAGTGTTAATGAAGTATGCGATTTGATGGCTAATCTTCACGGTACCTTAACTTTTATTATTGTACCAAGTTCTCGACATAATGATGGATTTATGAATGATTACGGTGAAGAAAAAGAAGAAAAATTTGTAAGTAGAAGTTACTATATAGTTTGAGTTTTACAACTCATGTTTTTGTACTAATACCAACAGATGCATGTTAGGGCTCATTTTAATTATGATCCTGAAGATGATCTATACATTCCATGTAGAGAATTGGGCTTGTCATTCCTCAAGGGCGATATATTGCACGTGATCGATCAAAGTGACCCACACTGGTGGCAGGCCTATCGCGAAGGCGAAGACGATCAATCCTTAGCTGGCCTAATACCGTCCCATATGTTTCATACTCAAAGAGAATCGTTGAGACAGCAGACTATCTGTAAAGACGAACCAAGAAAAGATAAACTGTGTGCCAGAAAGGCTGTCAAAAAGAAAAAAAAGTATCAGCCAAATAGCGGAGATGGTGATTCGGATGAAATTCCCACTTATGAGGAAGTAGTTTCCTACTTACAAGGGGATGAGAAAAGGCCTATAGTCCTTATCGGTCCTTCACACCTGGGTAGATATGAACTGAGGCAAAGACTAATTCTAGAGGGTGAAAATGGCAGATTCGGTATAGCGATACCCCATACCAGTAGACCTAAAACGGACAACGATAAAGAAGGAGCCGAGTATCACTTTGTTTCCAAAGAGGCTTTTGAAGCTGATTTAGCAGCGAATCGTTTTGTTGAATATGGCGAATATGATAACAACACGTACGGCACTACTCTGAATTCTATACGCAAAGTGATTCGAGAAGGAAAAATCTGCATATTAAATTTATTCCCGCAGAGTTTGCGAATGCTTAGAGCTCCACCCGATATAAGGCCATACGTGATATTCATCCGACCTCCAAACCTGGTAAAGCTACGTGCTATTGTAGAAAAACAAACGAAATCTCCGGAACACACTGATGATGAAAAATTGAAGGCGATGATCGACGAAGCTAGAGAAATGGAGGAAAATTTCGGAGATCTTATTGACACATTTATCGTTATGAATAATATGGATAGCGCGTATAACGAGCTACTGAAAGAAATAAACAAATTAGATACTGAAGCCCAATGGGTGCCGAAACATTGGGTCCATAGCGAAAGAGATTCTTGATAGACTTGTTTGGATTAGACTTATATACAATATAGCGAGCTTCCGTTTCTGTATATAATATTCATAGCTTTTTTATGACGGATGCAACTGTATCATACTTCTGTCTAGTCAAATAAGACAAAAAACATATCAAACATTTTTTTACCCTCTTAATTTACTATTTAATCTGTTTTAATCCTTGAAAAATAATTGGAAAAATATTAAATTTTATGATCGTTTATTTGTAGACAGAGTATATTTTTGTACACATGAGATTTTTCTTTGACTCTTTTTTTCCGTTATTTGATTTAAAAACATGTCTGCTGCATATATTTTACATTAATACATTTTTTAGACAATCTTTCGAATAATACTGAAATGCTTCTGAAAATACTGAATTTGTCTTTAAAAGTTCATACATCCCATAAAGCTATTATTATGCCATAATAGATAGATAATATATTTACTACTTCTTTATCAGAAAGATCCTTTTAGAATAGTCTAAATAATCTGTTGGTTAAATACATATCGGACACGTACCTGTGTTTGAAAAGATATTATTGCACGATTTATATTGGTTAGTAATATTAATATTAAATATTTATGTCTTTTTATAATATACCTCGTCATCGGACTATTGATTTTGGGAAATTCTTTTACATCTTCTAATGTATTTTCTGGAGTGGTTGCATCCAAAGTTCCCCAGTTTGGAGGTCGTCTCCTAAGAGCTGAACCTCTTGATGGCATCATCTGCCTGAGAACAGACCACTCTTGGCTGCGTGTTGATGGTCTAGAGTTCTCATAAGATTCTATTAAACCTTCTCCGGGTTCTGGTAATTCCGTTCTCGAATTATACCAATTCTTATCGATCGATGGCAATTTGGAATGGTCGATTATCGGTTTATAGCGAGCAACGGGTTTCATAGATCTAAGATCCGTTGGTACATACCTTTGTACTACCCAGGTAGTTTCCAAACGAGATTTATCTGTAGGACTTCCATAATTTGGAGCTGTGTGCTTATAAGCTCCGAAATTACCCGAGCTTACCCAAGCCATTCCGTCTCATTTATGACATTCTTCCACTTACTTGTTTGCTGTTGCTATGTAGTTACATAGCCTATTTTTTATGTACACACTATTTTGAATTGATATGATATAATCTACCAAAGAAGACAGACAGATTAAATAATTATCTCTCAAATCACTCTTTATAAAGAGATTGTTTAAAGAACTTGAAATTAACCTTGAAACTAAGAAAAAAACCAATTTAAACTGTCCTTGAAATTCGATAACCTTTTCGCGCCACTTCTCTATCACCAGTTTACTTTTTGCAGCTGGAATCATGGGACGGAAAGCAAAGAAAATTAACTCTTCCTAAAAGCAAATATAATATACAAAAGTAAAGAAATGCCATCTTGTTGACAAATTGGAAAACTAAGTATAGTATAGCTTACTCTAAAGTATACTATACTGTATACTATAAATATGTTTTTATATATGCTCTTTTCTAAAATTAAATTAAATGAGATTTCTCCAAGTAAATTACACCATTTTGATACTTTTACATAATTAATTACTTCAGACTAAAGATTGATGAGAGTAGAAAAAAAAACCCCTGTAAAATTTTGACATTGAACACTAACTCTATCACCTTGTTCGCTATGACGAATTTCATTTTTTCCCCTCCCCAATTCTCTCTTCTTTAAATGACCTTTTTTGATTCTTAAAAATATCTCTTTCTTTTTTTTTCTTTCAATTTCGTTTTTTTCATTTTTCTAAAGGTGGACGTGGGCGGAAAATTTGCATATCATGAAATCAATCTTGGCTAGCTCAGTATTTCATTCCGTCCTTTTGATTAATCTTTATAAACAATGATCATTATATTCTACAAATAGAATTTCAAAAATCATATATATAGACAGGCTTTAGATTAAAAAAACAAAAGCATTTTCATTTGTTTGCCTGCTCGCTTTTGTCTCTTCTTATCTTAGATTAATTAGCACTATAATTTTATTTAAAATAGTTACTTTTAGAATAGAGTCATCTTTCATTTAATAATCCATCAAAAACTAAGAGACTCTCTGCCAGATGAAACCATATTTTTTTTCGCATAGTAAACTATTTATATCCTATTAGTAATATGGTATGGATATTAATTAGCCTTATTTAATCTAATCATTTTGGTTTTCTATCCATTTTATGCTTAATTGAATATAGTTTGAAATAATTATTAGATTATAGATGGCGCTAGTAACACTACAAACTTTCAAATATTCGCTGAACACTTTTATTTCGTATCATTTAAAAAAGCATCAATGGCATCAAACTTGGAAGAAGATAATGCGAAAACTGTTGAAAAGCATTACAATAGCTTAAAAGAAGGCAGCTTGATGGAACGTGGACAAAGCAGGATCGTTTACATGCGCAATTTTAACAACTGGATGAAGAGTCAATTAATTTCAATGTACCTGAACAAAATTCGTGAAACTAAGAAATCTAAAATAATCACTGTTCTTGATTTGTGTTCAGGGAAGGGAGGGGATCAACTTAAATGGCGGAAGGGCGGCGTTGAGCATGTAACTTTTGCCGATATAGCTGGAGAATCAGTTAGACAATCCGAACAAAGGTGTGTATTGAAGTTAGCCGGTTCCACGTGGAATTTTTTATTTGAATCGTGTTTGTTTCTCTTACACTACTCTTTTATATTTTTTTAAGAGGAAAGAGAAGAATTTTCTGCATAGATCGTTTTTAAATTATGTATCTAAACTGCATAATCGTATATCCCTAACCAATATGCATGCAAAACTCTATTGGCAAAGGGATGGCATCTGCTTACAAAAGTTGTATTGAAAAGATTTTTCAATAAGTTCTGATACAAAATATTTCCTCTCTAAGTATTTATTCATAAATATCCAAAAGGCAAAAAAGGAAAGAAAGTATACAGGTCATGTTCTCAATAGCTTTCATATTAACGTTTATATTTTAAATGATATTTTACATACTTCTGTTCCTGGAAAGCATATATATTTTATTCACTAAGAAATAGAGAACTTATTGGAAAGTATATTGTTTTTTATGAATCATATGAAAGCAATTAAAATCAATATTCTGGCAAAAATTCTTTTTTATTGTCTAATATGTTAAATTCTCTATCGTTTTCTTTATATATAATTTTTTTTCATTTGCAGATATCATGAAATGAAATCGAGAATGAGTAAAGAAAGGCATAATAATCAGGTTATATATAGTGCTGAATTTATAACGGCTGATTGTGGAAGAGAGCTACTAACTAAACATTATAAATCTCCCATTATCTTCGATTTATGCAGCTGCCAATTTTCTCTTCATTACTCTTTCGAATCATTTAAGCAAGCTGAAATTATGATACGTAATGCTTGCGAAAGACTAAGACCTAATGGCTATTTTATTGGTACAACTACGGATGCAAATGAAATTATAAAAAGATTGCGGAAATCAAAAGACGAGGTTGAATTGTATTAATGCTTGTAGGTGGCGTTTCCTATTTCTATCATTAAAAATTAAATTAAATTTTTTTCGCTTCTCTTTCCCTCCATGAATGAAGTATAGATAATGAAGGATCAATTGTTAAATTTCACAATCTTATAGTGACTTTAAAATCTTAAAAAATATATATTAAGCCATTTAAAAAGCTCGTACAATTCAACCTCTTTAAAGACTAATTCATTTGGAAATGACGTCTTTAGCGTGACATTTGATAAAGATTTTAAAAAAAATGGAACTCCAGCCTTATTTGGAGGGAGATATGATTTCCATTTGGAAGGTGTTGTTGATTGCCCTGAATTTCTTATTCATTTTGATACTCTTGTTACTATGGTTGAAAAATACCATATGAAACTTGTATTAAAAAAAAAATTCTCAGAGTTTTATAAAGAACAAATTGCAAATTCTGATGGAAGAGGATTAATAGGTAGAATGCAAGGGTTAGAGACATATCCACCTCCGGAAAGTGAGAATTTAGTTGGAAACCCTGAAACGGATTATGAGACAGCAAAAAATTTGGTGAAAGATCTCAGAGAAAAGGGATTAGAAAAAGATCTAACAGACAACGAAATGGCAAAGCAGATCTCTGTTGTAAGTTGACCCAATTTAAATTTTTTATTTAATTGAGTATATACTTGTAAAATTAATATAAAAATAACGTCCTATCTACGCTATTAATATATCTCTTACTGTTTAATCCTCAGGGTACTCTCTCACAACCTGAGTGGGAAGCGTGTAGTAAGTAACCCAATTACTTCGGTGTATAATATTGTACCTGAAAACATCTTTTGTTTTTATTTCACAGCTCTCTACATGGTTTTTGCTTTTCAAAAGGACAAAAATGCTCCTATGCCGTCATCTTCCCTTTAAACTGATTATCGTTCAATAAATTGTCATTTGTTAAAAAATTTTATATAGAAATTACAGTACGTGTACCTGTAATAAAAACTACGACATCATCTTTTAGTGCAATATTTGTTCACTTTTCACTTAATCACTCACTATCATTCAGTTAGTTTTAGCAATGATATTATATAATAGACCAAAAGATCAACTTATCGCTATGATTCTCTTGATAAGAATTCAAATGGGAAAAACCAGTTGTCTATTTTTTTATACTTCACGTTTAAAGATTCCGATTAGATTGATGCATTTTTTGTAATAAAGAATTAGAGGCTAGGAGTTCCATTAGATTTTCATTTTATTTAAATTTTTTTGTAGTTAACTCATTTTTAATTACCATTTATCAAAACATTTCTAACAAATATTTAAATGGTATAAACTATACCTCTATACTTTGAGGTCAATTAATTTTTGATAAAACAAGGTTAAATGTCTCGAAAATAAATTTCAAGAAGAAAAGAATTAATCAATATTTTCTACATTTTGGTGAACTTGAGCTTCAATGGTATGAACTGTTGATTCATAATTAGTTGTTTCATTTCCCTGTGGATCATTTATTTCAGGCATCATTCTATCTGTTTCATCATTTTTTTTTTGACTTTCTTCTGAAGCCTTTTGTAAAGCAAATTGACTCCGGATTAAACGATTTTCGACTGTTGAACCGAAGATAAAATAACCGACACTTGTACCTTTGTTTAACAAATACATATATAGGTATCAAATTTAATCTAATGTATTATTAAATATAATTAACAATATTACCTATTAGAACACAGAAAAATATCCATGTATTATATGTCATTACTACCAGCATGGCTACCAGACCAGACCAATGATCTATAAAGCTTAATATTGTCTGTATAAAATGTTTGAACTTCCTGCGTAACAATAAAACTATTAATTACTATTTAAAAATTGCTACGTAAAAAGCCAACGTATAGATAGATAACTGCTGTTTACGCCTCGTAGATGCGATTAATAAGGGTGAATCCTCAGGGCTTGTGTTTAGTTGTTTTATCCTATTGTTAATAATATAAGTAACAAAGTAGAAAATAGAGCAAATAGTTTGCCGACAGTTACAAGCAAAATATATTAACCTCTTTGAGAAAAAGTTGTCTACAACTATTCGAAACCATTTCAAAAATTCAAGGAAAAATCCGATAAACAAAGCAAAGGCTAAAATTCCTAAAAACTCTGTAGAAACATATAGTATAGCATTTGAAAATTGAGAAGGATAAACAAACGTTGAAAATTAGAACTTGACCAGCCTTTCAATAAAAAGTTGGACATAGAATGTCCGAAATAAAAGAAACTCTACAAAAATTGAATATATCAATACAAGCTAACTGATATTGATGAATTTTACCTTCATCATTCGTGTGAATCGTCTTTATTAATCATTACCTGATTAATATGGCATTGTTAAAAGTGTGTATTCAGAAATCTTTAAAACATTACAAAAAATTGACAATAAGGGACTGGACCTTATCATGTGACATGCAGGAAGTTCCATCAGTGTGGTTCCTGTTCCAATTTAGAACATTATTAGGGAAAAGTTCAGTGATGAAAACCATACTAAAATTTAAATTCCATGTAAAGTAAACGCTCATTGGCCGCTTTAACACAACGCACCAAGTTGAAGCATTTTTATGTTTTATCAACGAGATTTATCGTTTTTACTGTCTTTTTCTACTTTTAGTTAAAAGATTTTCCAATAATTTCTTGGATAGAGCTCTGGCTATTTGAACCCTAGCTCTGTAGTTCTAAGAAGTCTCAAAACGTGAGTATTATTCGTGAAATTTAGGTTACGTAGCCGACACCATAAAAAAATTTTATTTTGAAACTGAACATGTAGGTAACATGACAGAAAACATTCCACCAAAAATGAATGAACATAACTTTTCTCATTGCTTTGAGATGAATTATACATCACCTAAACAAAAGCCCCCTAATAAAGATAGAAAGGAAGAAATAGAAACTTTAACCTTAGGATCGTTTTGCCGAGCTCCAATTGTCGATTTCGGATTAGTTAAAGTAAGATAATCCAATTTCAACTAATCTTTCATTTTTGAGTTGTGAAGATCGTATAACCATTATATTTTTAATAGAAAGATAAAACGCAATCTAGAAGATTACGGCTTAGGAATATTGAAGAATTTGAGCAAATCGTCTCAATAGAAAAATTTCCTTACAAAGCAAACTTCACAATAAATCAAAAAGAAGTTACTGTAGGCCCATTAGATACCCAACTTATATCAATGTCGTGGACACCTTCCGCAGGAGGTAACGTTAGGGAGAAAGTTATTTTTAAGTTGAATAGTACAATAAGATTGGAAAGTATATTATTGGGTAAATGTGAGTCACCTGTAAAACCAAAGCAAAAGGTAAGTTGTAAATTTTTCTATGTAATTCGAAAGTAAATTTGTATGTCTGCTAAACAAAAGAAAAAATTGTGGAAACTGCCTAAACCCCCGTCAACCCCATACACGAAAAGTGCTGTAAAGGAACGGTTTCTACAAACGAAAGAAGAATGTAGGTCTTCATCATTATCTCCTAAAAGAACGACAAAACCTCCGCAGACGGCCTCAGCAAAACGAGAAGTGTTTCGTGAAATTCAACGAAATAAACTCGACGATACTGGAGAGATCGGATTTAAGGAAATCAATACAAAAATATTTGACTTTGCTAATCAGGTTCAGTCTACCCCACGAGATACGTATTTCGTCCCAAAAGGAACCAATATTAAACAAGAATTACAGTTAAAGCTGTCTGAAGATGAATCTAAGCAAAAGTTAAGCCCAAAAAAGAGATCTTCCGATTTGTTCGACGATAGTTTAAAGGAGGATGAGGCTAAAGAGTTTAGTGAAGAATTTCATGATTCTCTTAATGATGAAGATAGCAGCACTAAGCAATTGGTTATTGGTCGAGAAACTGTTGTTAAAGGACGTCCTGATATGGATAATATACCTATTATAGATCACGACTCAGAATCGGTAGCACGTAGGCGTATTTTTCCCGACTTAACAGCAAGCTTAGAAAAAAATTCTGTAACACGTTTAAAAAGAAGAGCCCGCCGACGAAGCAAAACTGTCACAAAAGAAAAACCAACTTTAGATCTTTCGATAATGCAAGATTCCTTTGATTCTTCAATGTATGGCAATGACGGCTGTATGCTTGACAATAGTTTGTTACAAAAGACACCAATAAAAAAGATTACAGAAATTGAAAAACCTAAGAGTAAAGACGGGATTGAAATCTTATCTGGTAACGTAAATAGTACAAGATTTACGGAGCCAAAGCAACTAGATAAACCATTGAAAATTGAATCTCTAAATAAAACTGATAAAGTAATAAAACCATTAAAGAAAAATCTTATGGCACCACCAAGGGTACTTCCTAAGATGCTGGAAGAAAAAACAAAGAAATCGAATACTTCTCCAAAAAAAGTCAATTTATCAAGATCAAAAACTATTACTCTTGAAAAATCTATAGCTGTCAAAAGGCGTTCAATTGAAGTAACTCCATTGGATAGCTCAAAAAAATTGAAGCGTAAAGAAATACAAACGTCTCCCATTACTAAAAGAGGTAACTATCACATCTTTGCGAGGATATAAGATAGTTAATATTTTTTTGATTAATATTATTAGGAAGAATAAATGATTCGAAGGTTAATTCGACTCTGTGTTCAAGAATTAAGCCAGTGAAGGGTATACCCCAGGCAAAATTGGTTTTGTCAAAATCAGTTATGAGTACACGTGTGTTTTTCATTTGACCATTTTAGGCTGCTTTCATTACTTATGTTATTTTATTTTATCCAGCTCTACCAAAACACCCATTGCCATTTGTTGCTAAAAATATGTATTACGACGAACGTTGGATTGACAAGCAGGAAGCTGGTTTCAAAAGATGGTTAAATTTCGTTTTAACACCATCTGCGGAGGAGCAAGTTGATACAAAGAAACCTTTAGGTATTAAATTAACTTCAGAATGAGTTTAGACTAACTGTTCAATCTTAACAGTTGATAGGGGCCAGTTAAATATAACAACGAATCATGAGAAAACTGTGAAGCTAGCACCAACAAAAGAGATGCTTTCGTTTAAGGCCTATTCTGCTAGGAAGCAATTAAACAAATTGCGCAGAAAGGCCATATCATTATGGCAAAGAGAAAACGTTATTAAAATATTACATCGTTTAGAAGTTGAAATATGTAGTGAACGCTTAAAAATCAGACCTGATAAAAAAATACATGCTGATTTAGGTGGGTTTATTAATAATTACCTTATTAATAATTTACTTCATAAATGACAACTTTTAAAGGTCTGAAATATAAATTATTGGATGTCTTTCTAAGCTATAATCCGTTATGGCTAAGAATTGCTTTAGAAGTGAGAGTCTTTATATTATGAAATGACTTTGAAAGACATTTTATTAATTTAACATTGTGTTTTAGACGGTTTATGGGGAGTTGATTTTGATAAATTCTAATCAGGATATAATAGGATTATCGAAGTTTATTTTAACGCGGGTTCTGAATTCACCTGATATTCAAAAAGAATTCGCTCATCCAAATGTTCCTCACCTATATAAGTCAGGTAAAGATTCATTCTCACATTTTTAAAACGTTTATTTGCAAATAAAGAATGTTGATGAAAATATTTTAGGATATGAAGAAGCAATTGCTCAGCATATATTAAAGAAATTCCTTTGTCTTGTCTTATTTTTGGACTTGGCGAAAAATGAGCGATTAATTAATCATGATCCAATCTTATTTTGCATTGATTCAGAATTCAAAGTAAGTGACACTTTATCTTAACACACGTTTAATAATGACATGTTTGTGTACATTAGACATCCCGTGATATTTTACTTTACCTGTCCAAGAATTGTTTACAAGGAGAAGGGGATGTTACCCGTCATCTGTCACACCTAGGCTATAAAGTTACTTACGCGCAAAGAGCTATTGATGAGTATAGTTTTGGCGTAACTAGCTTAGCAACAGACCTAAGAGATGGCGTTAGGCTAACGTAAGCTAAATCACAAGCTACCTTGTCTACTTAAAGATACCTTCCTTTTTCAGCCGTGTAATCGAATTACTATTAACCGAATTTACTTTAACGAACCAACTTCGTTTACCAGCTTTGAGCCGGTTACAAAAGATTCACAATATACAGCTTTGCTTTAAAGCGTTATCCCGGCACTCAGTTGATTTAGGTAGTAAATAAGGGTACTGAATAATAGATGTGAACTATTATTTTTCATTTTTATTAATATAGAAAGTGACAATATAGAACCTAAGCACATTACTGATGGCCATAGAGAAAAAACTTTATCACTTTTGTGGAAAGTTATTCTCAAATTTCAGGTAATTGGTGTTGATTTCTAAATTCACTATTAGGTTTTACTAGGAATTTAAATAAAAACAGGTGGAAATCGGCTTAAGTGAACAGCAGCTGCGAGAAGAAATTATTTTCTTAACGCGCCATAATTATATTCAAAGGCAGATGGCAGCATTAACTAACGATCGAGAAAAAATTGATCTGGGTAATTAGACTTTCATCTCGTTTATTCTAATAAGGAGTTTTTACGTAGTAAATCTTTCTGTTTATAGACGGAAATATCGTCACGTCTACTGGCGATACGAAAGTGCAACTTTTATTGAAATGGTGTCAAGCTGTTTGCCTTTGTTATAACATTGAAGTAGAAAACTTTTCGGTTTCGTTTAGCGATGGACGAGTGCTATGCTATATTATCCGACACTATCATCCTGCCCTTTTACCGGAAGATGCTATACATAACGAAACGACGCAAAGCATGCGTCCGGACAATAAATCTTTCGATGAGGATGACATTGGTATTTCTATGCCATAATCAAAAAGGATTTCCATAAAACGGAAATCCTTTTTACTTTTGTTTACATGAACACCAGATCTTATTCTTTTTTTACCTGATGCAGAAACAAGATATTCGTCGGAATATGATAAATTATTACAAAATGAACAAAAGAACTTCAAAGTTATCAACCAAGCAGTAAGCGAATTAGGAGGTGTTCCTATGATGCTTAAGACCTTGGATATATCTGGTACGATACCAGACGAAAAGGTCGATGTTACTTTAATTTCTCTTTCTAAATAAGTTTGATATGGAGTTAATAACGTTTGCTAATTTTTATTATAGGTTTTAATTACTTACGTCAGTTGTCTTTGCGTTCGCCTATTGGATTTAAGAAGCGAAACCAGGGCAGCTAGAATTATACAGGTTTCTTTGATCCTTATGAGCCTTTTTTCAACGTTAATTTTATATTTAATTCTTCAGGCGGCATGGAGAAGGCATCACCTTGAGGGAAGAAAGAAATATTTACACGTAAATTTATTGATTTCAAATTGGGGCTATTGCTCTACATTCTAATACATTTTCAGAAACAACACAATGCCGCTATTAAAATACAACATATAGTTCGTCGGTTTTTGAAAAAACGCTTCGAAGAAAGAAAAAAAAAATCGGTTACTGTACTGCAAAGATCTGTAAGAAGATGGCTAGCGAAACGAAGAATAAACGAAATAAAGAGGGAAAAGGATCGACAAATTGTAGAAGAACACGTTCGTCTGATACAGGTTATTCATTTTCCTTTAATATGATTTATCATTACGCTTTGTTTGTTTTTCATTAAAAACTCTATTTTTCTTACATGTTTAAACAGAACTGCATCAGAGTATACATTCTAAGGAAGAAATTAAGCGCCTTTAAGGAGAAAAAACGGAATGAAGCGGCAACTGTAATTCAGCGTTGGCTATTATCCGTTAAGGCTGCAAGAGCGGCTAGATGTTATTTTTTAACGTTAAAATCGACTGTTATCCAGTTACAAGCCTTATTCCGGCAAGTTTCAGAGCGTAAAAGATTCTTAAAGAAATTGGAAGCAGTAACAAAAATACAAATATGGTGGAGATCTATCTTGGAATGCCGTAAAAACAAGCAACGCTTTCAATTTATTAAGAAAGCCGTCATTAGAATTCAAACTCAGTATAGATGCTACTATTATAAGAAAAGGTTTACACAGATGAGAAAATCCGCATCTACTATTCAATTGGCGTTTAGGCGTTATGTTGTTAAGAAGGAAGTAAAACGTCAGATAAATGCTGCTATATGCATACAGAAACACTGGAAAAAGTTCTCTTGCAGAAAAAGCTATTTACACCTTAAACGCAGCGTAATTAAGATCCAAAGTTTATTTAGATGTTATCATCAACGAGAGGTTTATTTGAAAGAATACAATGCAACTTTAATAATACAGAAGCGGTGGAGGGCTTTCTTACAAGGGCGTAAACAAAGAATAAATTGTCAATTGAAAAAAGCTGCTGTCATAACAATACAAAGGGCTTTTAGACGACAGTTACAGAGTAATAAAGAAAGAAACGCTGCAGCTTTAGTTATACAGTCCCATTTCAGACGATTTCTATGCATGAAGAATTTTAAATCTACAAAACGAGCTGTTGTGTTTATTCAACGTCGATATAGGGCTACCCGACAAACAACTGCCTGCATTAAAGAGTTTAGTCAGCTGAAATTTGCAACTATTCTCATACAGTCTCATTTTAGAGGATGGCAATGTAGGAAAAAGTATATTGCCTTGAGAAGAATCGTCATCTTTACGCAATCTCTCTATAGAATGAAACGAGAAAGAAAGGAATTTCTGAAGATAAAACAGAAAGCTATTTTCATTCAATGCACCTTTAGGGCGAGTAAGCAACGAAGGCAGTATATTGTACTGAAACGAGCTGTCGTTAAACTTCAGGCTTTATTGAGGATGCGAAGGGAAAGATTACGCTTTGTTACACAACGAAATGCTGCTGTAATAGTGCAGAAAAATGTCAAACGTTTCTTGAAGCGTTTGAAATTTACTAAACTAAAAGCAGCTTGTTTAGTTATCTCAAAATTTAGTCGAATGACAATTTGTAGGCGTAAATTTCTTTCTCAAAAGAGGGCCTGTGTTGTCATACAATCAGCTTTTAGGAGATTTTCTTGCAAAAGGAGATTTTTGACTGAAAAGAAAGCCGCCATAGTTATACAAAAAACTTTTAGAATGCATTTAAAGAAAAAGTTATATGAGAAAATGAAAAGTAGCGCAATAACAATTCAAAAAAGATACAGAGCAATAAAATTGATGAAATTGGCCAAACATCACTTTATTAGCATCCGGTCATCATGCGTGATTATTCAAAGATTTTGGAGGAATTACGTATGGAAACGAAACAGAGAAACGGCTGCATTAATTATTCAACGATTCGTTTTAACAAATTTAATCGCTAAATCGTTTAGAAATGAATATTTGGAATTGAAAAAATGTACTATTATTGTACAATCAATCTATAGACGATGGCATCAAAGGAGAGAATATCAAAATATGAAAAGAGCAGCCGTTATCATACAATCTAATTATAGGCGTTACGCTGATAGGTGTCATTATGTCGAATTAAGAGAAGCGACTGTTTTAATTCAAAGACGCTTTAGGAGCAAAAAATGTTTGAAAGAAGAAAGAAAAAGGTTTTGTCAAATTAGGAACGGAATAATAGGAGTACAGCGATTATTTCGAATTTATTTATGGAAGAAAAAGTTATTAAGGGAATGCGGTGCGACACTAATTCAGAGATGTTTCCGCAGATATATAGCAAGAAAGAATTTTTTGCGTTTTAAAAGTGCTGCTATATTAATTCAGTCAAATTGGCGAACATTTGCAGCTAGGAGACGGTACGAAGCAATTAGAAATGGAATTTGTAAATTTCAATTTCTCTACCGAACTTATATCTGTAGAAAGAAGTTCACTCAAGCTTTGCGCTCCTTATCTCAACTGAAATTGGAAGAGAGACAGAAGAATGCGGCTACTAAAGTACAGTCAGCATGGCGTATGTATGCTGCCAAGAAAAGCATGTTAATTAAAAAGCAAAAAGTAGTGATATTGCAATCATTTCTCAAAATGTATATTGAACGAAAGCGTTATATTGCTAAAAAGAATTCTGCAATCATTTTGCAAAGATTTTTCCGAAACTACATGAGCAAAAGAAGAGAGAAGAATGCTATCAAAGTACAATCAATCGTTAGGTGTTTCTTGGAGAGAAAAAAATTCTTGGCGATTAGAAAGTCGATTATTACTATTCAGACACATTTTAGAAAGAGGCTTCGACACCGAAACCTCCAGAGGGAAAGAGCCGCTCTGCAGATACAATCAGCCTGGAGGATGCATGTAAGAAGAAATAACTTTAAGCGCACTAGAGACAGTGCTATTCTTATTCAAAGAGCATTCCGAAATTGGCATAAGAATGTGGAAAATAGGAGAGCATTTGTATTGAAAGAAGCTATGAGTGTGAAAATCCAGGCATTTTGGCGTGGTTATAGATATAGAAAAATGTTTGTCAATTATCGCCTAGCAGCAAAAACAATCCAGTCACGTTTTAGGGCTTATTCTGCCGGAAAAAAACAGCGATCCCTCTATAAATCAATGAAGAAAAGTGTAATTCTCATAGAATCGATTTGGATAAGGTACAAAGAGAAACAATATAAACAAAATCTGTGTCATCTCATGAAGCAGCATTCGGCTGCCAAAAAGATCCAAAAATGTTATAAAAGTTGGAAAAACAGACAAAATTATCTGAGAGTAGGTGCTTGCATTGTCATTCAGTCAACTTGGAGATCAGTAGTTCAGAGACGTCAATTCATTAAACTGAAAAAAGCTACTATTGTTATACAAAATCTTAGAAGAAGACGTTTGGCTATTAGGCGCTCTAACGAACTAGAAAGAAATGCTTTAGTTTTACAATCGTTCAGCAGAATGTATTTGGCACGAAGGAAGTTGATTAACTGGCGTCAAGCAGCGGTTGTTATTCAACGAGCTTGGAAAGCTCATATAGTTTATAAAAAGTATCACGTTCAAAGAAGTGCCGCAATCACTATACAAAAATATCTGAGGATGAGTTTCGCTCAAAAACAATATGGGGCAACTAGAACGGCAATTATTCGTTTACAGGCCTTTTTCCGAATGTGTCAAGCCAGAAAAGAATTCAAAGAGATAGAGGAAAAGGTTGTAATTACACAATGTTGTGTCCGTCGCTTCTTAGCCAGAAATCGGAAATTAGCAATGGTATCAAATTTCATGATTCTTTTATATTCTTCTTTTCTAAAGAAAATTACTTTTTTACTTTCAGGAGGATAAACTAAACTGTCAAAGTAGACAAAAATTGATTATAGAAACTAACCAACGACACCTGGCGGCCTTTCGAATACAGAGAGCTTACAAAAGATATCGTAAATGTCAAGCACTAGAACGACATTTGCCTGCCATAATTTGCTTACAGGTGGCGATAGGCGGTTTTTACTATTGCGCTTAATTTTAATATATTTGCCGGTTCTCTTTCAGACACATGTCAGGGGTTTCCTTGCTCGCAAACGAGTAGAGAGGGTAAAATGGGCAGCGAATGTAATAAAACGCCACGTACGAGTGTGGCTTTTAAGACAGGAACGGGTAAAAAGAGACGCCGCCGCCAGACGAATACAGGTAAGACACGCCTTTTCTCAGCATGTTAACAGAGAACATCCCTTTATACTGTACTTTGCACATCAGGCAGTAGCTCGAGGTTATTTAGTTCGAAGAAGAAATAAAAATGACAACATAGAAACAGTAAGGGAACGTTTACAAATTGCTACGGAAAATGCCCGAGAAGAAATGACGCTTGGACGCCGAACTCGAAGCGCATTAGACTTTCTTTTATTGTGTCGAGATTTATCAAGAATATTAGACTCTCTGATCCACTTAGGTAAGAATTGATTATTTGTAAATACAAACGAATATGTTAAACAAATTACCAAATTAAACATAACCTTTAAAATTTAACAGAAGTTTCGACTCGTCTCTCAGCCCTATGTTGTGAAAATTTGGCCCAAGAGAATGCAGTCCCCGTATTATATAGGCTGATAAAATGCTGCAATAGGTCCGTGCCGCATATGGAAATAATCAAGTATTGTATATCAATCTTAGTCAACTTGGTTAAGGTATAGTATTAATCTAGTTAAGTAGTAATCGAAATTTACACGATTTTTATCAACAGCATGAAAAAACGTCAGTTTATGCCTGCTATAATGAAGATATGGCCGAAACATTGGCGGAGTTAATTTGCATGTATCGCGACAAGGGCTCAATTTTTCATAAAACATGCTTGCTTTTAGGCTTAGCAGTACGGCGTTCTCAGACCGTAACGACGGTTTGTTATCCGCAACATGACAGCTTTTTTCTTTCATTACTATTGTCCATTTTTTCCTTTTTTTATACACAGGCAATAAGAACTCAATCCCGTTTATGCGATCGGCTAAAAGCTGTCTACACTTTAATAAGGAGGCGACAGAACTTGGATGAACAGAGAAAATTTCAAAAGGCCAGATGTTCCCAATTCCTTCCGCCTGTGAAGACTAAACGTCAGAAGCGGCCTTCGAGTTCTTCTTCTTGCTCCGCTTTTGAAATACAACCGGATTGGGTCTTATCTCGAAGCTCTGTCAGAGAAATTGACGAACCAATAATGGCTATTCGATTCGTATTGAACTGTTTGGGATTGATCGATTTGGACGAAGTTGTTTAATGACAATTATTTTTTTATGTTGACTTCTTAATATATACACGTGTATATATTTATATATACTTTTTATTCGACTATGAGTATCATCTGCATACATCCAAATATATTTGATGTAAAAACATACAGACGTATACACGACATATATACATATATATATATATATATATATATTTGTGCATGTGTTCATTAATCTATCCATTCATAATGTATAAATATGTAATTATACACAAATGTAAGTTATAAGTAAAACCAAACTTCTAGTTTTCATTATATAAATAAATGCATATACTGTACATGTTATTTATATATATATATATATGTATAAAAGTAAATATGCGTTTACTGCAATGGATTAAGGGACTGCTTATACAAAACTACACTACGCTTTTATTATATATATTTATTTATTTATCTATATATTGCAGCTATATATATTGGAACCATATATATACTGCTCAGAAAAGTGCGAAACGAAGAAAAAGGAAAGCAAATACGACAATTTTTATTCGCTTAACGAATGCTATAAATATATGTCCCGTTCCGCAACGCAGCGCTAATCAATTATATAAATGAGCAGTTTTCATTTAATATGTATAGTCATGCCGGCCGTATCGGTAGCAGGTGTAAAATGATTAGGTTTTGGCTAAATTTTTAGTGAGAAAGTCTCTAGTGATCGCGGCCTATATTCGAGGGTGATTGATATAAAGGTGGCGCGACTGCCAGCATAGTTGCAAGCCAGGCGCATTTGCGAGGGTGCGACGAGAAAGAAAGTACGATTGTTTCCGCTTCCCTCTCAAAACAACTTACTGGTATTAATAGAATTAGTTTTCAGGGAAGAAAGTGGATAACTTTAAGAAAAAGAATAGAAATGAGGTAAAAGTAAAGAGTCTTAAAAGAAAAGCTTGTTAAAAAAACAAAGTAAAGTGACAGTAGTTCGATCGATCGATCATTGTATTTAAACTAAACTGTAGATATATAAGTGTGCTTCTATGGTGTTTGACATATATATATATAAATATATACAGGTATATATATATATATATATATATACATGTGTATTCATGTAAATGTGTATAATTTAACTATATCTCTTACTATATGATAGAAATATACAGCATATAAAAATGCACTGGTAGTATATATACAGTATATACAGTATATATATATATATACTGTATATATATATATATATCTACATATGCATATGCTGTATAATACATATACGTATGTGTATTTATCTGTACGTATATATTCTTGTTTTTTTCGGTTTCTTAGTCCATGAAAGCAAAATTTAGGTCGTTAGGAGATATATGTATTTTATACTGTACTCTGTTTAGTCATATATTCTCTTCGAAAAAATGTTTTACAGGTTTTTGCATGAACCCTTTAAAATATTTATTTCGGTTTAGAAACACATATGTTCTTGGCAGGACAAGATGTACAGTCTGAAATTGTTGCAATGTGTGATGGGATGTGGTCAGTCTCAGAATAAAGCACGTGTCGACAACGACGACAGAATTACCAAATCTAAAAGGGTTGACAAGAAGCAAAGTCAACGTAAGTGTCTTTTCTTCTTTCTCGTTTTTTTCATTTTCATTTTTTTTGCTTTAATTTTTAATACCTGCTTTCCTTTCTTGCTAATATATATTTGGCAGCAATGTATATTACTAATCAATATTCATTAATGCAGTATTGCGGTCGACATTAATAAGCTATATGTTTTTCTTCATTTTTTAATAGCGAGCAATTCAAGTACTAATCAAACTGAATCGAGCGCGACCTCGAGTAGAAGAATATTTCAGGAAACGCTTAACAAGCCTATAGCGCAACGCAAGTGAGTTATTAATTCAACAAAAAAAAAATTATCTAATCAATATCGAATGAGCGCCATCTGTTGTATTTCAGCGTCATGACAAACAGCCAAATAGAGTTCTTCAGAATGCTCGATGAAAAGGTCGAACAAGGCCGTGATTATGAAGATGTAACAAATTGATTAAATTCAAGGAATGTTTTAATCTCCTGCATTTAGGGTGTCATATGGCTTGCATAAAACTGTATTCCAAGAAACAAGTGTAGTACTAATATCGAAAGGAAAATTGTCTAGAAACGTGATGATTATAATAAAACATTATATAACATTTATTTTTTACAAATATACTGTATACATGCATGTATATATGCTGTATACGAATATATATATGTGTGCGAATATATATATATATATATATATATATATATATCAGAATTTATCATATACTGTATATACAGTCTATGTGTTAGACATATATACTATGCTTATGAATTGTATATATGAATACAATACATATGCTGCATATGCATAGTTACCCATATATGCACACATAGGCATCTAAATGCTATATAGTACATAAATGAATATGTGTGTATATATAAGGCGCGATGTTCTCTAACTGTTATAATATCATCGGTGGTTTAAAGCTAAAGATCAATTTCAAGCATTCTTTTGTTAAGAGTAAATCGTTACAACCTCCTTTCCGCTTCCACGCACCATGAGGACTCTATCTAAGCCCTCTGTTAGTGCCTCTAGATACTCCATGTCTACATAAATTGAACGGAGATTGGATAAATATCTTTAATAAATCAGATTGAAGATATAAATCACTTACAATTCTCTTCTGCTGATAATTTAGCAGGTGGGGCTGGAAAATTGATGATAACGAGCTTAGCGTCTCCAGACTTAGAGCGAATCGCTTCGTTCAATTTAATCGCTGTATGCATTCTCATAAGTTTACCTTCGTGATCAGATCTATAATAGAAAAGAGGCTCTGGGTTAGAACCTAGTTCAATATGTAAATTAAAAATTATTACAGTTTTTGAGTGCTCATTTTCTGCTGAATTTCCTCCAATTCACTCGGTGAAAATGTAAAGTGAACTTTATTTTTATCGTCATCACTGTCATCTGTAGGATTTAAATTGGAGGCGCCGCTAGGAGGCAATTTTAATGTATCCATTTCAATTTTTATGCTCTCTTCACTTTTTTCTGTTTTTGAAGTCGAACGAGATGAGCGAAATTTTTCCCTAAGAGATTCTCTTCGAGTTTTACTCTCACTGCCCTCTTTCCTCTTTGCAGTGGGCGAGTCGGATAGCTTAGCTAAATGACTCGAGTCGACAATTTCCTGTATCTATTGAAAGGGAAAAAAGATGAAAGATTAGAATGAAAAGAATAGGAAAGGTTTCCATTCTCTATTTAATTTTTATTTTGATAGAAAAATCTATGACTAGTCATTGGAATAATAATAAATCAAAATAAAAACAGTTCTCATTTCATTGAAGAAAAACAAAGAGAATGGGAAAAGAAAAAGGTTCTGGAAATGTGAGAAGTTTAGATACTGTAATTAAAATGAGCTTGTGTGGTAGATCTTTTCTAAGAAGGTAATTAAAAATTATAGCATAACTAAAAACAGAAGCAGAATACTAGCACACTTCGAAATCAACTTGCTGACAAATACTGACTAATTAGATGCTATTCGAGAATCCCGAAAGCATGGAATCTATTAGTTCTAGCATATTACTGTTACTGACTAAATAAAAAAGGAAAAATGAGAGATAGAAGTCAGTATTCGACAGTGGCGTCTTACGGTGATAGCGGGAGTTTGTAAAGCTGTTAAAGAGGTTCGTCTTCGGGAGTGTTGCACTATATTCTGCGTACAAAAATAGCTTGTTGCAACGATTAACATGCCCACCCTAAACACATAATTTAAAGCTTTTTGTACAAAAGTAAACAACGAGCAATAAACAGCCATTTGAAAAAAAAACGTCATGAAAGGCCTTGAAAATCACCACAGCCGACAGATGACACTTCAAGCTAGATCGATTATCGAGGTTAATCAGCGGTTGAAAACGCAAAATTATATTGTTAATAAGGTTAGGTAACAATCTCATCAGCACTTTTCCATTATGAACCTGCTTAATACTACAAATCGAGCTGGACAAACCTGGGTTAAGCTGGGTCTAGAAGTTCGTCGTGGAACCATCTGAATAAAATTATTATCTACAGATCATTTGCAATTTTTTGAGCGTTTCGAATATATAGAAATACTATAGAAATACTATACAGTAAGTAAATCTTTGCATTGGCGATCAATAATTTTGCCTGAGACGGTAAATGTTCAATTGCTTTCAGCCTAACTTAACTGCTGAAGGCTCCAGGATATCTATATATTGCTATTGTTAGTTTCCCACAGCAGAAAATACATAGCTATTTACATATACATTTATATTTATATACAATATATATGTGTAAATATAGCTCCAGAGATGTATATATACAAATATATTTGAAAATTCCAGCTATATTTAGCTGTAGAATATTTTAGAAATATATGACCATTTATCAATCTGAGCCTTTTTTTGTTCTACAAATAAATATATATGTAGGACAAGAAAAAAAATTAAATATATATATAGAAATGCTTTATAACAAGCTCCAGTGCAACATATTTTCGTATTCCTTATAAGACTAGCGATAATCTCTTATTTACATGGAAAAATTGTCTGTTCTGCAAATAACACAGCTATATCTTAGAAATCTATATTAGTTCGTACACCAAATCAACAAAGATAGCTGAACTTTGATTGAAAAAAGCGAACAAAACACAAAAGAATAATATATGCAAAGGTATTGACGACTTTTGTGAATTGCTGTGTCAGTGCTTTGTATATCTCAGCTTTTGATTTTATTACTGTTGTCTAAACACATACGTTGAGGTAAATAACAATAGAAGTAACTTTTGCCAGTAAATACTATAATAAGGGATTATCATTTTCATTTTCAGTGTTATTAGCCTTTCAATCTATTACAGCACATTCGACGTTTTCTGGTAATGTTTCAATGGAAAATGATCAAATTTTTTTTGATGATTATTCGCTTTTAAAAAAGAAACAGCCAAATGTTAAAATCGAAAAGAAAATCAATATAAAAAAATTTTTATGCCTACATCTCACAATTCTCATAGGAACTGAATCTAAGAAATAGTAAAGTAGTCACCTTAACCAAATTGTTATAAAATAATAAAAGGCAATCATCTCCATAGTAATACAGGTTTAGCGAGCTGCTTGTTGATAAACGAACAAACAAAAATAGCAAACGTAAATCCTTTGCTGAATTTAAATAACCTTTTATAGAAAATCAAATTGAAAAAATCGTTCGAACAATTTTCTATTTATATTGAAAGAGTATTAAGCTTCGAGAGTTGTTTCTCTCGATTATTTAATTGAAACCATCCCTATTTATCTAAACACTTGGGCTCCTTCAGAAAAACAAGTAGCGTTATAAACGATAGATAAGAAATTTAAGGATATAATTTATATTTTTTGCAAAAGCTTCCGTTTGCCGTCAATAAAAATCTCGTGACCAATCGTTCGTGGGCAAACTGTAAACTTTGTATAAAATTTGATTTAACACAATTCCTTATACTTTACACGTTATAGTTAACTGAGTGCTACGAATTTACACTCAGCTATTAATGCTGTATACATATAGAGTATTTTAAGGGTACATATGAAATATAGATATAAATACAAATATATATAGATATATATATATTTATATTAATATACTATATACAGTATATATATATATATTCATATAAATAAATAAATAAATATATAAATATATATATAAAATTTATATGATTACATATATACACTATATACTCTTCACTGTATACTATCAAATATATATATATTTGTTACGCATAGATAGATTCCTGAGGCCATATAAATTAAATTTGTTTGTAAGATTATCCCATCATAAAACATATTTAGAAGACATTGAGAGATGAAATATGAAACAACAAGATATAAAGAAAATATATGTTTCAAATATTTCACAACGGCATCTTGACAGTGCAAAAAAAAACAGATTAAAAGATTACATGCTTGCGCCAAGTGAAATTTTTTTTTTGTAGATTTTTAATAGATACAGTATATATTACCCTTCGTCGAAAGTCCTGTAAATAATCGAAGGAAGATAGTCAACAGGTATTATTACTACGCACATATATATATATCTATATATATATATATACATAATGAGGTTTGAAGGCACGCGACCTGATAGGCATCCTAATCAAAACAGGTTACAAAAACGCTCAAAGCTAATAAAGAAGCGTCTCTTGAGCGTCAAATAAACAATTCAACCTAAACTTACTTACCGTTTTTTGCTTGGACATATGTAACTCTCTCAGCATTTCAGCTCTTTTCTCCATATCAAGCGTTCTCTCCACGGTGTAGGCCGATATATCATTATCATACTGTAGATAGACAACAGCTTATACCAAGAGTAATATAAATAATAGCTTTACCATTTCTTCTACAAATACTTCCGCTGAAATACGTAGCTGATATAAAAAGGTTTGTAAATCCTTTTTTAACTGTATACTATTGTCTGTCATCTCTGTTTTCAATAAAATATTCTCTTTAGAATATATAAATAAATAAAAGAGCCTAAACAAACGAGCAACTGTAAATATTCTAATTTTGCATTGCTTCCAAACTTTATGCTGCTGCAGTAGGAAAGAGAGTAAGATGAGCATTCCACCATCGTGAACTATCCACCAAACGTCGATAGTACCGTTACTTCTTTCGAAATTCGATGGAAAACTATTTATTCCTCTCGGTACAAGTAAGGCGAGTTCCTTAGCTGTCACAGCCTTTACAGTATCTAAAATTACAGAAAAGCGTTAAATATCACGAATATTTGAAATTGATCTTATTAATTCAAATAGTCGCTTAGTACAAATCAATACACATAGCCCTGATCAGCTAGAAAGCCCATATGTAGATCGCAGAGTGGCCTTTTTATTAGATATACCACCTGAGCACGTCGTCAGCCTTTTTATGGTCAGTTTTTCGTCTTACAAAACAACTAATTTGTATAAATCTATGAAACCTTTTTAAGAGACTTTCTTTTTCAATTAAAAAATTTATTCCCTCACCTAGGAAGACTTTCCAAGATCTTTCTTCCGTAGAATTTCTCCACCCGTAAGGCCAACCAACCATAACAGTATTGTGTCGTAAACCACCTAATCCAATTGTTTGTACTCTGTCAGAATAAAGTATCATTTAGAATAAACTATCTCAAGCTTACTAGATCAAGTAATACTCACAAATTATTTAAACCCTCGGTTATATCCTTTGTTACAAGAATTTTAGCGAACCCCTTGACCTTCTCTTCTTTAAGGACATCTCTTAAAATCTGAAAAATAAAAAATCTCGAAAATAGATAATTTACCAGCGAAGACAGAATTTTGTAAACCTGCTTGGCTTCTTCAGCATCCTGAGCTCGTTCAATAAAATCCCCTTCTAGTACGGCGGCTACCACGGTTAATCCCTTGCCTAAATATACAAGAAGATGTTAGAAAATTGCAAATGTGGTAGAAAATGTCAGTTTGTAGCCTCGAATCGTGGTAAAAAAAAAACCTCACAAATTTTTAGTAAACCAAAACACACCTGCTTTGAGTTGGCTTGCAAAGGAGAATATTCGTGGGTATTTTAGTGTTAAATCTTGATTTATTTTGCATAGTACTAAAACTTGAGGTCGCCAATTTTTTGTATGTGGATCGCATTCATCTAATTTTAACAAAGCTTTTTGAGCAGCTGATAACGACAAACCAGTGATGCTATCGCCCCATTCCTTCTCACTACTGTAAGGAGAAAATTCGATATGTTTGCACTTTAATAGAACTGAATGTACTAAGACCCACCCTTTATATTCAACGTATTTGTATATAAAAGCACCGATAGCGAAAGCAGCAAGAGCAAAGTACCAGCCAGCCATTATTGAAAGAGCCAGATTCAAAGCAACTCCTAACAAAGACAGTGTCCAGTGGTAATACTTGAAACGAGGCCTCCAATTTGGGGTTTTCAATAGGGTTTGTAGTACACAGGTTAAATTAACAAACCCATAGCACATTAGAAAACAACTGAAAATAGACAAATAAAAGCTTTTTAATTCCATTCTGTCACGTTTGACAAACATACACATCGATTACGGGAGCAACGCCTTCAAGTTTTGCTATAAGGATTCCAGCTTCAGCGATAATTGTTGTTAGTAACAAAGCTCTTAACGGTTCGCCTTTCTTTGTTGTCACCTTGAAAACATCTAGAAATGGAATAATGTTATCTCGAGCGATCGCCTGAAGTAATCTTGGTGCACTCGTAAGGCACTGTAGAGCAGCGCCAAGTGTCGAACAGAATGCCCCAACTAATATCACCCAAGGATGTGGCCATGCCAATTTCGCCACAAGTAAACTTCCTCCAAGACTCTCACCAAACCTAATTTTATTTGTACATAATTGATCGATAATATATGATATAGGTGAAAATATAAAGTACTCTGTACTGACTTATCTCGAAGCAAAGCGCCTTCGGCTGTTGCGCCAAATAGTAAAATAAACGACAAATCTACCATAAAAAAAACGGAAATTGGCGTTAAAAAGAGGAAAAATATATATTCTTTGATGTGGTTAAAACTTACAAACGAATGAGCAGGTTAATTGAGCTAAAATTGTGCCAATAGGAATAGATTTTTGAGGATCTTTCAAGTCTCCTGACATGTTTGATCCGGTCATAATGCCTTAAAAATTAAAAAATTTCGTTTGATGTTTGAACACCAATCAATTAAATATACCAACCAGTTACCGATGGAAAATATATTGCGCACAAAGCTACAAAAGTTATTGCCATATCAGATACGACTTCGCCACGTTCCGGACTGCCTTCTACTCCTCTTACAACTTCTTTCTCCTTCAAGTAATGAGAGTGAGCGTTTTGTGCAAATACGCCAGAAGCAACACCTGGTATGCCCGGGATATATGACAAGTTATGAGTTTTATAGTATTCGCATGACTCCGGAGTAGCACCGGTTGAATTTCCGCAGAAGTTATTATAAATTGGGCCTGATGTATTTTTCGAACACCAAACTCTTCCGCTTGCAGTAATTGATTTATGAGTAAGTAGCCTATTACCTAACATGCAGATATTCACATCTCTTGTATTGGCATTTGCTTGAAAGGCTCCTATATAGACACAAATTATCGAAATGATGACACAGGCTAGGGATATCGGAGCGAACATCTGCACGAAACGGACACCAACCGCAACGACCAAAGTTAGGATAAGTAGCGTGACTGTTCCGTATACTCTCATGTTATTGTCGGGGTTGTGGTGGATATCTCCAAAATAGGCCAGTTGCGGCGCCATATATTGTAGGAAGATCTCGATAGCACCCAGTATGTACAAATCGACAGCGAATGTATTCGCCAAGTAGAAGCAAATCCCGACTGCACCACCGCATTCTGGACCCAAATTACGAGAGATCATGAAATATGAGCCACCAGCTGAAATCAATTTATTGTAATTTTTGTGTTAATAAAGTTTTAGCTTTTGTTACCTTGAACCATCCCGTTTGTTGCTATGGCACTCATCGATATAGCAGTAACGAACGTCTGAGAGAAGAATAAAAAAACCAATTTACTTTATAGAATTCTCACATTCTGTTTTATTTATTTTGATAGCTAAACGGAACCTACGGTCAAACAGCAGAGAAAGACCATTACAAATGATTGAATAACTCCCGCCGAACCTACTATCCAAGCCAAGCGAACGAACATTAACACCCCAAAAATATGTTGAATTGTCGGAAGGTATACGCCAAATATAACACCAAGTTGGGCCATCTGCAATAAAAAAGCATTAAAAAAGTCGTCACAGTATCTATTTTCGGAATTTCAATCAATAGTTTGTCCCTGAATGACAGCTCGAATTGCGTATTGATGATGTTGATTTGTGAAAAACTTATCTGATTGAAAAGTTACACGGATTCGAACTCATCATTAGTAACGCACCGCCAAGCACGACACTTGGAAAATAAACTTACATACCTTAGGTTTTTTAGCCTCTGCATCTTTTTCCGACGGGTGAACAGTGTGATAATTAACGAGTGACTTTACGAAAGTTGCAACACGAGGCATTTGCTTCATGTCTTCTTCATACAAGTACAGGTTCTTTTTTGCCCCATGATCGTTCATATCCCCCGTCGAGGCTATATAAAATGACAAATATTCGTAATAGGTTAGGCAATTGATAGTATAAAAAAAAATTGGGGGAAATAGAGTTATAAAGATAGTCGAAGTTTCTTGGTCAGTTTAAGAAAGGAGTATCGGCTAGAGCTAATTGCGTCAGCTACTGTGTTATTAAATTTAGCCTAAGCGTCGTTTTTCAGCTGTATAATATGATATAGTTTCGCCTTGATAAGCTCGCTTTTTTAGTTAGATTAAGTTAGTTCAATGGGTAAAAATCGTTGACTATCTTAAAAGCAGTAAAGCCTAATAGAAGAATTATGTAAAGAATTAGATGACTGTAGAAATCCATAACGTCGAATAAGGGTAAACACTCGACAGTAGGTTGCGAAGATTTTTTTTCTCTTCCCGCTCGAATTAAAAATGGAATGTCGAAAGAAACCTCAAACCTTGTTCTTGCTGGTTTAATTCATTTGTTTCGGTATCCGCGTCTTCAAATTTTTCATCTGCTTTGCTAACTTCAAATTTCGGCATTTTGCTGCAGAAAATCGATTAAAACTCCAAAAGATCTTGCTCGCGCTCTCTGCAACGCTGAATGCAGTGCTATAGAACGTTCTATCCGGGCGAGTTTATTAAAAGTAGGGGTAGCAGCTATATCTAACCTAGTCGTTATGTTATATATATATATTTTAGTGTATATATAGATATATATATAGATATATATATACAAACTGTAAATGCTTTGTTAAGAAAGAATAAGAATTTATCTGTCATAAGACTGTATAGAAATTTCTGGAATTATAATCTTTTCGAAAAACTTGGAAATTTAACTCAGCGTATGTCGAAAGATAACACTTGTGGACGGAAAAAAACGGGACGAGTGTTTTTATAGGCTTAAGGTTTAGGAAAGGGATAAGAGTTATTCTGAAATTAGATTGCCAACTCTTGACGGTCGTGTATTTCTTTAAAGTAAAAATCTAGTACAATTGCTTAACTTTGTCGACATTTGTCAACCAGTTATTAGTCCATCTCTCTTCTAATAGTTCATTTTTCTTTCTGTCGTCTTCGATGTTCTTCAGCGTTTCGGTAAAGTACTTTTTATAAGTTTCAAAGGAGTCGTCTCTAGCCTGAATGGTTGATGTATGAGGAAGTGTTGTCTTTTGGGTAGTTATACTGGTTGTTGTTTCCGACGGCGCCCTCTCTGTTTTTGAAAGGCGCTTGACCTTGGAATCGGACGACGGCAATGTCAGCTCAGTTTTAGATATTCCTGGCCAAGTTCTTTTACCCCTAGGTAACGCGTTCTTATCTTCAACATCCTCTAGTGGTTCGCCGCTCGCTTTCCTTCTTAATAATTCGCTAGTAGGATAACAAGTAGCTGCAACGCGTCCCCTTTCTAGGTCGTCCACACAGAGCATCGTATCGAAAAGCAGTAGCAACTTTTCGCTCTTATCCGCTAGATCTTGTAGAAATTTTGTCGCCATTTTTGCTGCATCCAATTGAAGTGCTGAAGAATGGCTACTTAAATTCTTCAAGTACTCTTTTCTTCTTTCCTCTTCTTTTCTCCTAAGTTCTACCAGCCTTTCCTCTGCTTGTGGATGTCCCAAAGTGGGCCTTAGTTCGATATCATGCTGTTTCTAAAATGTTATAACAACTCTTTACTACTAGAAATCTCTTGTTTTTACTTATTTTAAATCATCTAACCCTTAACTGTTCGCTTAAACGATGCTGTTTCGTAAACTCGTTACTAACAGTCATCTGAGCGCTTCTCGCCTCATTTATCGACTGCCTAACGACTTCTCGGATAACGCAAGCCGGAACTTTTTCCACTAATTTCTCAAGGCGTTCCAATTGACGCCGAACTTCTTGTACACAATGATTATGATATTCGTCGGCTTGTTTAAAGTAAGACACCAGTTTCTCACACACAACATCAGCGCATTGCTCGAATGTATCTTGAAGGGCACGGGGACGGGTCACGGCCCTATTACCCTTTTGACGGTAGTAGATATCAGCAGCAGTTAAGAGGCCGTCCGTTGAATCTCGTAATATTTTCCTTACTTTACCCAGAAAATGTTTTTCTTCGCTAGGTTCATCGCATTCTCCAAAATGAAGATATTTCTTATCCCATTTTACGCCACCGTCCTTCCGGCTATACAAAAATACATAGAATTTTCTAAACTAAATAAGTCTCTTTATTTCGTTAAAAAAGGGGGAAGGGGGAAATAATACAAATAGCTTAATGCATAAGCCTACTTTCACTACAGGCGTAATAATGTAGTTATGGCAAAAAAAAGCGGAATATATCAAAAGCGAGAAAATCGCACACAAAAAAAATACGTGCGTATTACATAGAATATAGCTTGTGCTAATTAACCTCACCTAGAAGAGATAGTCGACGAGCTTTTGCTATAAGAATAAAAACACACGCAACAATGTTATGTAGAGCGATTATAACAAGCAAACAAAACACATGTACGACTTCAAAGACCTCCAACGCCTATAATATAGGCGTCTCTTCGATCCTCGAAAACAGTAATCGTAATAAAAAGAATATAAGTGATCGTTATATCGTTTCCTATACTATAAAAAAAGCGAAATCACGCCGTGCAAAAAATCTACTTTCACCCCAGTCGCGACTCTGTTATATATAATAAAACGCTTAGTGGAGTGCTAGTACCGTGGGCGTCTAGAATGGACAACACCGGCTGTTTGAGTAGAAATCAGCGTCTCTTGACTGCCAGTTGTTTGACCAGCGCTGTAAAAGTTATTAAAGTTTCGAAGTAGTTTGTTTTTTTTGTTGTTGAAGAAAAGAATTATTATAATAATAAAAAAAAACGTTCAAAAACAAAAAAGGAAAGTTTACCTTTAATATAAAAACTATTTAAAAAGTACCTTCTTCCGTCGTATAATATTATTGTTATACCTTATACTATATATTTAAAGTTTATATCTTTTAAATTAAGATACTTACGCTGACGCAGCCCGTTTTTCAGATCGATTGCTTTTAGCTGATTTTTCTCTTGCTGTCTGTTCTCTACTTGCCGCTTGAGGCGCTCCAGATGCCGAAGCCCATTCTCCGTCCAATTCGGCTGAACTACCGAATCTCTTCTTTTGGGAATTGAGTATATTTTTAATAGTTACAACTGTAGGATCTTCGGGTGCCTGCTTCGCTCGAACCGGTGCCGATACACTAATCGTAACCGACGCTTCAGAAGGCGCCTTCTTCATTTTAGAAACGGCTACAGCCGCGGGCAAACTAATTAGTACTACCGGCTCAATCTTCATGCAATTCAAATAGACTGTTCGAAGTTTGAAAGCGTCAAATATCGGTATCAAACTCTCTTGTAAATCGGTTGGTGTTACGTCTTCTTTATCTAAATTTGGTCTTTCGCAAGCATCGATTCTCCTCTCGAGGGTATCCAAATAATCTGTTAATTTTCCCGCTTCTGTATTCGATAATGCTACTTCGGATTTAATCTTAACTTGGCTATTTGTTAACCATCTGGAAATTTTTTCAATAAACAATAAATCGATCATGTGATGCTTAAAACGATCTTCAAATTCTATTGATATTCTCTGTAGTTGTTCTAATCTTTTCGCTTCGATACCTTCTAAATCGGACATTACGAATCCTTCAGTACTATCGATTTTATGAGAGAGTTTCTCTAACTGTTTCCTATAATCTTCCACCTCGTCCACGCAAAAATTACCACCGTCAGAGAATAATTGGAAGGATTTTATGAAATTCGCATTACTCTCCCGTACAACTTGCAGCGTATCGTCCAATTGTTGACGAAATTTGCGTAAGGATTTACGAATAATCTCCATGAACCGCTCCTGTTCCTCCTGCAATTTCGACGATAAAGCTAGCAATTTCGAGCTTTTCGTAGCCTTTACGAAAATATCTTCTAACGATTCAATAGTTCGCCTAAAGTCGTTGACTAGGTCGTTATGCTCGCTGTTTAGATTTTTATACATTCCTCGTGCATCGGACAGCGTTTGAATAACACCTCGGACATGTCTGTCTATTCTTTCGGAATGCATAATAAGTTCTGCCGCACGAACATTATGTACGTCCAATTCCGCCCTCAGGGGTCTTGGTTCGTGAAGATGCATTCTAAGATCTAATTCTGCCTTTAATTCTTCCATTTTAGCTGCCACAACACTGTTTGACCTTTCAACCGCCTCCGACGCCCAGCCGCCAACGTGCGATAGGAAATTCAGACGAATTGCTTTCTTAACACTCTGTATTAGCTCGTCAGATATCTCAAATTCCCTTAACTGACTCTCTTCTTCTTTCACCATGTCTTCTTTTTTTATCCCCTTTATTCTTTTCTCCTTTTTAGCCTTATGAGCATAAAATCTTCGGCCGTCATCCAGTTCAATGACCTCACAATCTGCTTCCGGTTCGTTCGTACTTACTCCAAAATATTTACATAAAGCTTCTTCATAGTTTTCCAACTCAGATTTAATCATTTTCGGGTAGACATTTACAACGTTTAACTGTTCGTTATGAAATTTTTCATAACTATCTTTGATCTTGGCCAAGCTATCTAAAGCAATTTTCAAATGGGATTTCAGGTTAACCTCATTCGGAGCTTGTCTCATTTTATCCATGACAATATCTAAATTAGCTTCTGCATCTTGATTCGTCGTATCGTGAGATTTTCTAGATTCTTCTAATTTCTCCTGCAAACGCCTTTCCTGTTTTGTTAAAGCAACATCATGAACGTCCCAGACGTGCGATGCTCCTTGGGTAAATTTAAACAGCGACTTTATAGCCGTTAAGGCGCTTTTATGTTCGGCTTCTGACTTTTTATCGAGCACTTCCAACTCGTTCTCTAAAGCTCGTTGCCTAGAATTTAATAAGGGTAAACAACGTTCTTCAATTATCAATTTGGCCGCATGCTCCGTGCAAATACCTCGTTCGAAGAGGTCGCCCTAAAAAAGAAAGAGAAACAAAACATCAGAAAATTCTTAATGTAAGCAGACTGACTTAAATATCATAAAAGGTGTTTTATCCTATGAAAATATTACCTGAATTCCTTCCATAGCTGACAAACAATTTCGACAAATTTTTTCATATTCTCCATGCAATTTTCTGTAGAATTCCTGATTCTTTTCATCTAGGGGGTTTTTTTTATTATTATTACAAAATGAAAAAAGATGAGAGAGAAAAAGAGAGTGAGTGAGTGAGTTAGTGAATGACTGAATGAAAAGAGAAAGATAGAGAGAGAGAGAGAGAAAGTAGAAAAGGGGAAAGAAAAGGTCTTAAAAAAATATTCTATATATGTTTATTTTTTATATTTTGAATGTTACCTTACCAATTTTTTTGGACACATTTGTTAAATCCTTATTCCAGCCGTAAACAATTGCTTTAGTTGATTTTGGCGGCTTCAAATTTCTAATAATAAATTAAATGAATAATTTCATTAGCGTTTTTGGCATTTTTTGTTTATATAATCTATTTACTTTATTGATTGAATCAGGCCGTGTCTATACCCTAATAACTCTCCCAGGCATTGCGACAATTCCGATTTTACATTGGCCACACATATAGAATTTACTACTTGGTCGCTGTTGACGAATTCTTCGAAGCGCTTCACTTCCGCTTCGATCTGTAGATGGCGCCAAGCATGTAATCTCTTTTTCCAAAAAGAGTAAGCCTCTTTATCCCGTTCTATATTTGCGATGAGTAGACGACAATGTAAACTTGTATTAGAACGTCGATTAGCTAATAGAGTTTGGTTGATTTGCTGTTATTAAAAAGAAAGGTTTCAGACCTACGATCCTTTTACAATTGACGCGTGCGATAGCGAGAGCAAAACAGAATCTCTATACGGAAAATACGGAGAGGGAGAGAAAGGAGAAAAACTGATTATTAAGCTTTTTGAACTATGAGGGTATTGTAAGGTATGAGGCCAAAATTTTCTGCTTCAGTAACCGTGCGTGACTACAATCCCGACAGTCGAAAAGGAAATATGAACGGTCGACTTGTTCTAATGATTTTACATTTAACAACGTCATTAAGAGTAACAATTGCCCATAAGAATAAACGATATAACTTTTGAAAACTGTAGGAAACCTCTTTAAATGTAAGAGAGATTGCAAGAAAGGTAATATAAATAGGGGTCAAAGAGGTTTGAGGAGATGTAATAAATATAAAAGAAAAAGTTGGTTAAGCACATACGTACAACTTAAAATAGAAACACGAAGTAGCTATTAGTGGCTACCATATTCCATATTTCATTTAAGACCCTAATTTTAGCTGTTCGTTATTGATTTTCTATACTAATGAAACATAATACGAATGATATGACATAATCGATGCCCGAAGTTGTAATAACAAATATAATCCTCAAATAACGCACACTTAATATAATCAATGAAAATTTTTTGTGAAGACTTTAGCCAGTAGGTAATTCAAGGGTCAACATCAAAGTTTACAACCTCTCTATCTCAATCACTTTACTTCTGTGTTTGTATAGTAAGGAAATTAAAGCGTTAGCTTTAGCTGAACATTTTAGATTTTCATTTTCCAATATAGAATTAATGCTTTTCCCTCATAAAAACTCAAATAGACAATTATATATATATACTTTATATTTTACATAGATTTTTTATTACTATTTATTAAATTAATAAAGAAGAAATTGTATTGAAATGTTTATTGATGTTACTTCTGAATTTTTTATGCCTTTCTCAAGATTCACATAAGCAAGTAGATGCTATTTCAGAAGAGAAACTGTACCCTTCTTAAAGCATAACTCAGAATCGATAGACCATCATTAAAATAAGACTTTTCTCCCTCTTCTTCTTCTCCTTCTTCCTCTTCTCTCTCTCTCTCTCTCTTTCTGTCTATCTGTCTATCTGTCTATCCTCCCACATTCATATACCAATCTATACCTCTATCTATCTATATATCTATCTTGCTATTAATACTTAATAGCTATAGAAAATTTCCCTCATTTGAATACTTATTAGCATAAATAAACTTGATTAAAACGTCTTAAAGGCAATTTGAGCCCTCTCAGAAAATTTAAACGGCTAAAGTCATGTAAATTTTTAGATATTGTAAATCTGGGATGTTACTAACAGCAATATTGCCCTAGAGAACATTTAAAGCGATAGAGAATCTTTTCCTTAAATAGAAAAGACCTTGGGCTAGTCCAATTGGACAAAGTTAATTCTATAACGAAACATTTTGGAATCTTTTAAAAAACCACTTTAAATTGACATTAAATACTAATATGGTATTCTAAGTTAAAGACCATTCTCAAGAGACGTTGGTAAAAGAGGAAAAAAACGAATTCTATCCTACCGCAGAAGGGAACCTACAAAACTATAAGCATTTTGATGCATCGATCTTCGCAACAAAGGATACTTTCATGGCTTAAATGATTAGCACAATGGATAGATTTATACAGGATTTTCTAAACTACAATGTCAAGGTTAACATTTTGGTTAACAATCTAAAATGATAGAGTTTCTGAATAGGCAATGCTGTAAATAAATAATGCGGAGAACCAAGAAAAGGAAATTTTAATAAGATCCTTTCCATGTGAAATTGAAAGAAAAACGAATCATTAGCTAAGAAAAAAAGGAACGGAATTGCTTTAATGATTTTTTCACGTTCCATAGGTTTTACTTTAAAAAAATAGAGAAAAAAAACCTGTAGGGAAGGTCATTGACACCTATTTTGTTACTTTCCTACAGACGCAGACAAATAGAAAGATGCTGATACAGATGAGGATCTGTACTCTTCTTAAAATACCGCTCATAATTCGATAGGCCTCTGTAGAACTAATACTTTTTTTTCATCATTAGTATTTTCTTTAGAGATAGAGAAAAATTTCATCCCATTAAGATAATGATTGCCATATTTAACTTTGCTTTTAATCAAATTTTTACCCTATTTTTATCGAGAAAAACAAGTCACATTAAATCATTTTTAGTAATAATCGATACCAAAAAAAAGCCCTGAAGATTAGATTACAAAGTCATATCAATATCATTCTGCCAGTACCAAAAGTCATTGACGTTGATTGTTATTCTATCCGATAGTTCCATTTAATTATGTCATAAAAAGCCAATGATCGAAACAGAAGAATAAATATTATCTTTTACTTTTTCACATGGGAATTTCATTTCTTTTTTTTTTTGAAGAGGGGGAGGAGTGGGAGGAAAACAAGGGAGCGAAGATAAATCATATAGTGCACATTCCTAAGTAAACATTATGGAAATTTAATAGACATTTTCTCAATATTAAAGGAACTTCTGAAAGGGACGATGTAAAATATTGCCAGTCTGATCAGTCTGATCTACAGATGATAGTCTATACGATATGACATCTTAATCCATACAAAACAAGTAGAAACGCAAAAATGATCTGTTAATTTCGATCTCTTTATCAACGATGTGGAATAGTTTCTTCTGACGTAATGAGACTAATACACGAAGTCTTGGAAATAGGTAATGTCACGGTCAGTTAGAAGGTTGGTAATTATAACAAAAAAAAAATAGAGAGAAATCTAAGGAGACTCGTGAAAAAGCTAATGAATAGTTGATAATTATCAATAGTTCTAAATATCAATTTAGAACTCATTAATATAATGGAATTTATCTTGGTTAAGAAGTTTACAAAGTGTAGAAAGTACCCGTAGAGATTATTGTATACGTAAATATAGTATATGTGGTATGCTATGTACAATTTATTATTTTGATATATGGTACTTACTTGGGAATCTGCATCCAGATATTTTTCCAGATCTGCGGCCAATAGGTAAGATATCTTATATAGTTTATCAGCATGGTGTGATAGAATTTTTTGAGCCTTAAATGTAAAGATAATTTATAGATAAATAAAAAATTTCCCGTATAAATTTAAATTACCTCGATAGTCCTTTTATCTTCTATTTCGTGAAGTTCCGCCTCAAGAGCACAAATCCATTTCTTTCGCTCCTCACTCTGATCGTGAACAGTCCTCCATATTAACTTCAACTCTTCTAACGTGCAAGTGAATAAGCTCTCGTCATCTTCAATCTTCTTAAAAACTTGTGATATATATTCATCATTTTCAGTCAACTTTTTTATAAGGTCTTCGCTAACGGAAGTTATCTCCGGTTCGAACCTATTTCCTACTATAGCTAATTGTTGACGCATGTCCTCCAAGATAGATTCATGCCGCCTTCGGCGACTCTTACTAATTTTGTCTATAATTGACAAATCATTTGTTTTTGTTGGGGCAATTACATCAGGTAGTCCTTCAACGACTTTTACGTCTTCTTCACCCTCGCTTACAGGTTCTTTTGCATTGGATTCGATAAATTTAAAAAAAATTGGATTCTCTATTCTGTCATCATTTGATTGAGTTGTGGCCCAAGTCAGTTGCCTCTTATCTAACATACCCTCTTTATTATTTGAACTTGCTACTGGTATTCGTTTATCTTTCCTTCTAGTAGCTGTTCCTACATTAGACATGAAAGTTGGCTCTCTATCATCAAGTTTAACACTCGGAGCGGATTGTAATCTTATTTCGCTTTTTTGCTTTTCTAATGATCGAACCAGTTGAACCTATTAATAATTTTGTAAAATAAATAACAATTTCACGAAAGCCTCTGGCTATTTATATACTTCAGCATCAAATTTTTGCCTATAAATTTTTCCACTTGGAATCACCCGAGTTTGAATTGGGGTAGTTTCTTCTAGTTTTTCTGATCTTGCCTGATTGGTAGAATTAATACGTTCCGTTGCTGATGATGCCATTTTATTTTTACCAAATTAAATGATCTGTACGAAATTCCAATCATTCTTTAAAAATTATCAACTTATTAGTAAAATAACTATTTACTACCTATTAATGCTTTCTTAAGTTTTTAATTCAATATATTTACACTAAAAAATATATGAAAATCTTCCTTTTATAAAATTTCATGTAAAAGTTTACTTGGTAACGTTATTCGACGTAACTATAACAACATTAGTACTACGGCGCGATTTGTAATACCGGCTGAACAATAGGTGAATAAAAATGATAGTTTACGATGAATAACAAAATTTCCAACTTGTATTTTGGTCAAAAACTAAAACGTCATGATGTAAATTAATAATAAAGTAGGTTATATATTTATGAATTCCAGAACGAAAAAATATATAGCACGAGGATGTATGATTCTGTATTCTATACAATATTTACAACGTTATTTTTAAGGACAAAAATAATCTCTATACACCCCTCAGGAAGAAAATAACGTTATACTTTCAAATTATGAAAATTTTCTTCAACATTCTGAAAATAAAAATTTAGATTATTTTTACTTCTCTTTCTATATTTAATCTCCTTTACCTCAAATCCTTCATCTCTATATTCTTCCAATATCTTTACAGCTTCTGTATTGTTAAGACCAGACGCAATATCTATAGGTGAATAACCAGAAAATGTGATAGCGTCTAAGTCAACACTATTTCCTCGAGATAAGATATATGTTAAAATATGTTTGTTAAATGTTTTCGAAGAGGATTCGACAGCAAAATGAAGGATTGTTCTTCCTGATTTGCAATCGGGATTATTTATTATACTTTGAAATTCATCGTATTCCAATAAAGTCTTTATGATCTCAAAATTTCCTTCTAAAACAGCCTCGTGAAGACAAGTTAATCCTAAAGGATTATCAAAAAGATATGATTTCAATTATTTTAAATGAGTGTATTTCAACAATTTACCATTAAAATTTCTTATTCCCGCAATTTTGCATAAGTTTACTCGATTCTGATCTAATAAACCTCCTTTTCTATTCCAACTACTTAGGGGCTGTAGTGAAATTTTAGAAAAGAAATAATATGGGAATAGTTCAATGCAACTGGAAATATTTAGTTACCTTGATTAACTCTGTAACGCATTCCGCACTACCTTTTTTACAGCAAATGTGTAAGGGTGTATTTCCATTATGGTCTGTTATTGACTGGTCTGCTCCCCTAATAATAAGCTTTCTAATGACTTTGGGAAAATTTTGATAAACTGCCAGGTGAAGTGCCGTTATACCTTCATTATTTCGGTGATTCAATACCAAGTCTGACTTAGCATATTCGATGATGTCTAAGCACAGACTTGGATATCCATGAATCAGAGCCAAATGCAACTTACTGCAGGTGATGATTAATAAATATAGGTATAAACATTAACTATATTTTTATTTATTTTTGAAATAAGGTATTCAACTTACGTATCACCATCTGTATTAGGTCTGAAGAGAAAGGAGGTCTTTTCCTCTGCTGTTCGAAATGGCATAAGGTGTCTTAGCATTTCAGCTTTCATTTCTTGGTCCTTTCCTTCCTCTTCTGTCAAGCAGACGCTACCACTTATACTAGAGGTATCTTTCGAAAAAAATACCCCAGATTCGGATAAGGAGTGAATACCAGAATCTAAATTTCTGGATTCACTAAACATATTCTTCGTCATGTTATCTTTCTTGTAAACAGTAATTCCTCGATCGAAGACTCCAAAAACGATGTGATAAATAATAGTATACCTTACTAAATTGGAAAATACAGAAAATTTTCACAAGATAATTAGTTTCAAAAAATCCAACTCCTATTAGATTTTTTACCAAAAGGAAAACCCAGACCCCCAGCAGTGTAGAAACGGGTATGCGAAATATAAAATGGCGGATATAGAGGCAGTTTCAACGATTCTTCAACAACTCTCTTTATCTGATGATAAGAAAGACAAATTATTAGAAATTGAAACTATTCTATTAAATCATAGAGGACAAAATTTAAATAATATTGCCCAAAACCAATCGATAGGTGTTCTGATTGAATGTTTAAGTAATAAAAACAGGTTTGCTCAGTCACTTTACATGGGCGATAATAAGTGGTAAACTCTGTTTTTTTTTCAGAGATATCGTTGAACTTGGATTTAACATTTTAAATACAATATTCTCATCACTAGATTTATCTTTATTACTGCCTCTCTTCAGTCACCAATTTAATGAATTCCAATCATTTTCAAACCACCCACTAAAACGTCTATATTTAAATCAGGTATTAAAGAGTATTATCTTATTAAAAAAAGTTTTTAAATCATTTCTCAAACACAAAAAAGTTACATAGAATCAACAACGTAGAATTATGGATGAACCATTCAATATTTTTAGACCAATTACTTCGTTTGCTAACCGACGAAGAAACGGATATCGCTGTGTTAGCAATGGAAAATGTAAAGAGAATTGGTAATTATAGTTTACATTATGGTTCAAAATTAGTTATACCGCTGCTGTTGTTATAATTCAGCAACTTTGGAAAATGGACTGAATTTATTATTTGAAGGACAAAACGCAGAAAAGCTTAAACAAGTTATGGGAAAAAATGAAACAGTAGCTTTCCGAGTTTATGAAGTACAGAAACTAATTAAAAGTAAACACTTTACAAATTTTATTTACTAATCAGACAGCAGTAGATGTAAGTCTTCTCTCTCCATTCGCATTGGATAAGGTTAAATATTTCCTTGATCAGCTGTTTATCGTTCTCAATAGTGTAAATATTTTAAATAGTTTTCAGCTGAAAGGTATTTTTAATCAATTTTTGTTGTCTTATTAATTATTTAGGGAGATATACTATTGATCATGAATTCATTTGAACTCATTCAAAAGTTATCATCTACTTCTCATGGCATTTCATATTTAGAAGGAAATAAGATATTTGATCTATTGTGCAGTACGGTATATATGAGCCATCTTTTACTACCAGGAAAACTCAAAACTTATGGGGCTATACTCTTCCATAAACCGGAACTAATTTCTAATAATATACTGCAATTTTTTGATGAAGCTTTTCATACAGATGAATTAACAATGTTAATAACAATCGAGATAATTTGTCATATTTTATCTACCCCCAATGGTAAAACTGCGTTGTTCACTTTTGGTAATTATCATCTATAATAGGAAACGAAATCGTAAAAAATTGTGTCTTTTTTCAGATAATTTTATACAAAAAATTGCTAAAACTTTGTCTAGCCTGATTAAAACGGGTCCTAGTGATGTTCGAATTCGTGGTATGGACTGCGTTTGTGAAATGTTTGAGTACAAGCAAGATTGGAGTCCTAAGTACCTGTCATATCACGAACGTTGGTTTGAAATGCTTGGAGATAGACAGTTCATTGATGCAGTTTTTGGAATTGTTCGACAGCCCTTCGATGACTTGCATGTAGCTGCTTTACGTGTCATTAGATCGGTGGCTACTCAAGAATGGGGTCAGAAGATATTAGCAAATTTTCCCGGCTTTGAAGAATGGCTTTTTGACAGACGTACAGAAACATGTAAAGACGGAAAGGAAACAAAATTCGATATTGCTCATGTCCTGTTGACTTCGAATACTCTTGGTCAAACCTTTGAGAGCCCTTTTATCATTAAATTAAAAGTTTTTTACAAAGAAGGTCCTTTCCATGTCCAATCCCAGTCAGAAGTTGCATTAGGCGATTAGCAAAATGCTTAGAGAACTTGTCTGCATGTCCTCAAATTGTCCTAAATAATACACTTAAGAAATAAAGCTATTTTTTTAAAGTAATTAATGAAAACAATTAGTGTATGAGTTCGACATAGGAGAAACATTCAATCGATTTTTTTCTATTTGTCGACATACTATTGGTTCATCTACCCATCTCACTTCGTTTTAGCTGTTTAGTTTACTCAAGTCTATCTAACAAATAGTGAAGCAGTCACGCTATGTGAAACTTTTAGAAATAAGCTTCAAAGGAATTATCAACTCAAGTTATATAATTCCCGTATAATTTAGTACCTATTTGTGGGGAAAATATAGTAAATAGGCAGATTTGAAATCTCGTACTCTTCGGCCGTAATTTCATGCGCTATTTGAGTTTTCTTCAATTGGAAAATTCCGATCTTTAGTACGGCGTTTGATAGTAAATACACTAATATAGGCAGCCAAGGTCAGTTTACATAAAAAATACTTGTATTCAAAAATATTTTTACAGTATACATGAAAGATAACTACTATTCACAAGTTATGAATGTATGAAAAACTTTATGCTTAATCAACTTCTTCCATCTTTGATGCATCATCATCTTCATCTTCCAATTTTGGCATTTCTTGTTCAGTAGCAACTTCTCCGGTGACTTCTTCTTCTTCATCGATTCCTAAACCAAGTTTTACCATACGGTGGATACGATTGGCGTGAGTTCCGGGATCTTCAAGAGAGAATCCAGATGATAGAAGAGAAGTTTCGAAAAGTAGTAAAACGAGATCCTTAACAGACTTATCGTTCTTGTCTGCTTCTACTCTACTCTTTAAAGTCTTCATTATGCTATGATCGGGATTGATTTCCATATGTTTCTTTGCAGCCATGTAACCCATAGTGCTGGTATCACGAAGAGCTTGAGCTTTCATGATTCTCTCCATATTTGCAGACCAACCGTATTGAGAAGTAACGATACAGCACGGAGACGAGACTAGACGGTTAGAGACTACAACTTTTTCAACCTTCTTATCTAAGGCATCTTTCATGACTTTGCAGAGCTCTTCATACTGTGCCTTTTGTTCCTCGAATTTTTTCTTTTCATCTTCATCTTCTGGCAATTCAAGCCCTTCCTTGGTAACGCAAACCAACTTCTTACCATCGTATTCTTTCAGTTGTTGGGTAGCGTATTCGTCAATTGGATCAATCATGTAAAGAACTTCGAACCCACGTTTCTTGACTCTTTCAACGAAAGCTGAATTCTCCACAGTTTCACGAGATTCACCAGTAATATAGTATATATCTTTTTGATTTTCTTTCATTCTGGAAACGTAATCTTTGAAAGAGGTCATCTCATCACCAGAAGAAGAAGAGTGATAGCGAAGGAATTCAGCCAATTTCTTTCTGTTGGTGCTATCTTCATGAATTCCCAATTTTAAGTTCTTTGCAAATTGTTCATAGAACTTCTTGTAGTTGTCTTTGTCTTCAGCGATATCATCGAACAATTCCATACATTTCTTGACCAAATTTTTTCTGATCACTTTCAAGATTTTTGATTGTTGAAGCATTTCTCTTGAGATGTTTAATGGTAGATCTTCAGAGTCAACAACACCCTTGATGAAACCCAAAAATTCTGGAATCAACTCTTCACAATTGTCCATGATAAAGACTCTTCTAACGTACAACTTAATGTTGTTGCGCTTCTTCTTGCTTTCAAACATATCGAATGGAGCTCTTTTGGGAACAAAGAGAAGAGCTCTAAATTCCAATTGACCTTCAACGGAAAAGTGTTTCACAGCAAGATGATCTTCCCAATCGTTGGACAGAGATTTGTAAAATTCACCATATTCACTTTGGGAAATATCATCAGGGTTTCTTGTCCACAAAGGTTTAGTTTTGTTAAGTTCTTCATCTTCGGTATATTTTTCCTTGATCTTCTTCTTCTTCTTCTTGTCTTTATCTTTGTTGTCATCGTCATCATCTTCTTCAACTTCTTCAATTTTAGGTTTTTCTTCGTTATCATCATCTTTCTTTTCCTTATCTTCCTCTTCTTCTTCATCATCACTGATTTCCTTGTCTCTTTCTTTTTCAACAAGAAGTTTAATGGGATAGCCAATAAATTGGGAATGTTTCTTTACAACATCCTTAATTCTCTTCTCGTCTAAATATTCAGTTTGGTCCTCTTTAATGTGAAGAATAATTTTTGTTCCACGTCCATACATTTCACTTGTATCATTGCGGACGGTAAATGAACCTCCAGCTGATGATTCCCAAAGATATTGCTCGTCATCGTTATGCTTGGTTATGACCTCAACCTATAAAATAGATAAATGGTTATTTAGCGGAATATCAAACAGAATACAAACTATCTTACCCTATCAGCAATTAAGTAGGCAGAGTAGAAACCAACACCAAATTGCCCAATCATAGAGATATCAGCTCCGGCTTGGAGAGCTTCCATGAAAGCTTTTGTTCCAGACTTGGCGATAGTACCCAAGTTGTTTACAAGGTCGGCTTTAGTCATACCAATACCAGTGTCTTGAATAGTGAGGGTGTTGTTTGCTTTATCGGGAATGATCTTGATGAACAATTCTTTTCCACTGTCCAGTCTGGATGGGTCAGTTAAACTTTCGTAGCGGATTTTGTCCAGAGCATCAGAAGCATTAGAGATTAACTCTCTTAGAAATATTTCTTTGTTAGAATAGAAGGTATTGATGATAAGACTCATCAACTGAGCGATTTCTGCTTGAAAGGCGAAGGTTTCAACGTCTTCCATATTTTGTTGGTTGTCAGACATCTGTAAAATATATAATTTATAATTAACTGTTTTCATATACCAGCAAACACTTTTTAGAATAAAAAATTGGAATATTTTGCGTTTTCAGAACAATTTCAATTTTTTACCGGCTCACGTGCTACCAAATAATTACGTAAAAGTCAGTAAGTACAAATTGAAATTGGAATAGTTTTAGTTCAGAACATACCTTAAACAATTTTAGAATTCTTGTATTAGTAATTTGCAATTACGTTTCTCAGAGTCGCCAACTGACTACTTTGAACGAATTCGGATAGATTCGGCAATTTATAATTGAAGAGTAATGTATTAATGCGCCAAAGTATACCGGCTAGTCGAAAGAATAAAATCATTGATTATAATAATTTTCCTAATGATAAAAAAATGTTTTTAAACTTTTATAAATATTTATTTCGATAATATTAAGTTTATTAATGTTTTTCATATATTTTTCGGCATTTTTGAAACGAACTTTGTGCGGAGTATTTTCGAAAACGGTAAAACGGCCAATTTCTAGATCTTTCTCGTGTTTTCTAGAAAGATCTATTCTCATCTGCAGGAAACCAACAATCTATTTCCGTTACAAAATTTTCTTCGAAAGTAAAAGAACATTTAAAAAGGACTATATAATAGTTTAAATAAATGAAGAAAATTAAAAAATTTATGATATAATTAGCCTATGTAGTATTTTAGACGAATTTTGTGGGCTATTTAGAGAGGAATTTATACATTTAATATATTTCAAAAATATCATCCTTTTTGGTTTAAATGATATGTTTCCCAATATATAATGCTTAAAATGATATTCTTGGATATAAATTAAGTCATCATTTTTACTCTAGTAAAAAGAATGAGCAATTTAAGTGAAAATTAGGGCTACATTGATTGAATAGGGATATTGTCGGCTATTCTTTTAAAATGACTGTCCATTATAAATACACTCATTACTAAAATCACTAAACGCTAATTTATACGATACATCTAATGATACATTTGAAGTTTTATTAGAAAAACTCCACCTGAAAAGTAATCTTAACTGCGAGATAATAGTTCAAAAAAAGGAAGAAAACACTGCGCAGATTAACATACTGCACAATATTCTAGCGATTATATTAACCATATAGATAAAGGTCCAATAACTTTTTGATATTTACGTTTTATTTTCCTTTTGCTACCTATAAGTTAAATAATATTTAGAATATAATTTATAACAAAGTCGCCATATTATTGAATAACCACGTGTTCGATATGAAGTTTAAGTTTTCTTTGCCCAGTAATATGAATGTCATTTAAATTGCTTATACATTTTTTATATTAAATTAACCCTTGAAACATCTAAAAAAACCAAAACTGCTCATTCTTGCTCTGAACAGGCTAAGTCATATTTTTAGGATTGTCCCCTAATTAGAATATTCTGGAAACTTCGAATATATTAGCTATATGTTTTATTATTAGCATGAACATATGGCACTCTGCCTTTCTAAAATTCTGTTCTTAAATTATACATATAAAAGCAGTCTTAAAAATATGTATATGATACTATGCTTATTAATATTTGAGTGTACCCTTATCATGAATTGTGATAACAATTATTCTTAAGAAAAAGCAGGGCAATGTTTAATTACTTTACGCCATTCTTTCGAAAGCTTTTCAGCTCAAATTTCATTCAGTATGGGAATTACCAAAAGGCAAGTCTTGACATTCCTAAGCCCCAGTTCTAACCTTGGGAATACCTCGTGGCAGGTCTTAAAATTCTATCAACTATACCTCTTCTGTTCACTTTTATTAGTTACTTTTATGTCCAGCTTTTAGATATTTTATATGATAGAATACAAAATGCAGTTAACAAAATACGGAAATTTGTGGCACATCTGAAATCCCAAAGTTCATTCATATCCTACCCTTATGCGCCCTTCTGGCTAGTTCATGCATATCCTACCCATATCCACCCTTCTGGGTAGTTCATGCATAGAAAATATTTTATCAATAGTCGATGATTGAACGAAATTGTGAATAGAAGCAATTTGTTTAATAGCCGAGTTTAAAAATTTTAAGAAAGTCAGTCATCCATACTTTCCTTCGGTTTCTACTTATTAAAGAGTAAATGTATTGTACAGTTCTTTAGTACGATTTTTATGAATATTGTGTAATTTTCTTCATATTTAGATCAAAGATATGTAATTCTCTTTTATTGAGTTGGTAAGCAACCTTTCACAGGCTCATTAGCAATTTCAAATAGGTTTACATTTATTCCTTTTTGTCATCTAAGTATAAAGGGTCAAGATAACTCCCCCTAGTTCGCAACTATTAGGTACTTTGTTAAGGGGGAATCACAATAAGACCAAAAATATCTTTTCATTAATATATTAGCCAATTTGGCACTATTATAGGAATAGAGGAAAGATTAATACATTCAATAAATTTATTTTTTCTATATTCTATACTAAGGATCAAGGAAATTTTTATAATTGAATATAAAAATAGAATGAAGACTACGAAATTAAAGTAACATTTTGAAAAGGTCAATAGAAATTTCTAGATTATTTTTATAAGAGGAAGTAATTCAATTTCGTTGGCCTAAAGGATAGATAAAACAAATTAGCTTTTGAAAACTTCCAGCAATACTTATCATATATATTTATATGTATAATATGTATTTATTTAAAAAAGAATATTCAATCTATATGGTGTTCTTCTTTCATTTCGCTCAATGTTTTTATGATTTGTCGTGTCTTGAGTAAACAATAATTTCATCTCCCTCAATAATATTGCAGCTGTAGAGTGGTTTGATGTTAGATTCTATTCTTGAAATAATTGATTCAGTAGATTTTTCATCATGAAATAAAATCATATCCTTTGGTTCAATAGATGTTAACGGTTTTATAACTCTTTTTTTAAAATCAGCTACAGAAATTTTTGGATTAACTCTCTCAAGAACCGTCCTATCTCCGTGGCGAATTGTAATTGATATCTGAATAAATTAGAGTGCATTAGAATTCCTTAGAAAATAATATGCTTAAATTTTACAGTCTCTTCAGGCTTTAGGCTAATATTCACTAATTTGTCCAATTTTCCATGCTTTTTCTCTAGTTCTGAATATCTAGAAGGCTTGCATTCTTTGTCCATGTAGTGACGAATAAATGCCCTTTCGGCATCAATTCTTTCCTCATAACCAACAACCGAATTATTTAGCAATCGAATATTAGGTAAGTAACTAATTGTCAACTGTCTTCTTAGTTTTATTTTATATTTCTTTAACGAAGAAGAGTGAATTTAATCTCATTTACAGACCACAATGACCAAAAATAGCTACTTACATTTAAGAAATCGATGTCAATACCCCGAAAATCTTCTACTTTGGGGAAATGGGATATATTCTCAAGTTCAGCAAATCCTGTAAGATTGTCAAATAAATAAAATTTCTCTTAAGTTCTTTATCTTCATACCGTTAATAGGATTTTTATTTAAATTTAGCATTTTTAAAGAGGGAAAGTAGCTTGAGATTAAAGATTTATACGAATTTTCAAAATTCGCTTCACTCTTAAAATAATGACTGAGCTCTTGGATATCTTCTTCATTTAATGATAGACAATCCAAATTATTCTAAATTCATTAAAATTTTAATTAACTCAGTTCATTCTAGTCTTAAAGAAAAATAACCTCAATTAAAATTAATGACTCCATATTTGGAAACGCTCTTCCTAGTTTGCACACTTCTTTCCAGGATGAGAGACCGTTATTATTAAAGAATAATTTATTTAAAGTTTCATATTTAAAGTCAATCGGTAAAGAGACACTGTTATAATTGTTTTCACTTAAATATAATTCTTTTATCCTTTTTTTTAAAAAAGAAACAAAAATTTCAATAAACTTAAACAATACGCATAAATTGATATAAAATACTTACCCAGGAAATATTTTCAATATATCCAACAAACTCTTCCAATTTATGGCTAATGCGTTTAAGACTAAAGTTTGGACCTACGGATATGAACGATATTAACTTAGGCCTTTTAAATGTTATAAGCTAACATTGTCGAAGCAATATTTATGAATGCAGATGTCCAATTTGGCAACTTTTAATCCAGCATTCCTTTTTAAGTTGAGAGAGTGTAGTTTAGGACAATGTGTGATAAGATGGAATATCTGATTTGAAAGTGATTTAAATTACTTTAATAGTTAGTTAATTATCTTAGAAGTTTATAATTAATTTTTTACGTCTTCCCAGGAAGATAAATAATTTCCATTGAAATCAATATCAGCAACTTTTTTTAATTCATCTTTGATAGATGAAAAATCACCTATTTTTATTATATTTTGATGATCCATTATCAAATTAGATGTTAAAATAAGCCTTCCTGAAACTGATGTGTGTGTAATTAGAGTTGTAATGGCTAAACGGGTATTTCACACCTGTTTTTCTTGGAGCTCTTTCAGGTACAAAGATTAGTAAACCAGAGACATTAGATGGCTCTTCATATTTTTTTCTTAAAGCTTCAATTAGAGTTAAATTCTCTCCATCTGAAAATTTAAAAGATTCAAAAGATACTCTCTTGTTTATTAAATTTGTACCTATTGTGCAGTCAGGTACACTTCTTACTTCACTCTTCTTTGTTATGTTACATGTTTCAGATACTGATTTCTTTGCCCAGATCTCCTTTTCTATAACTTCATCGTTTTGATTCGATAACATAGTTTAAGATAGTTTTATTGTCGCTCTGATATTGGTATATTATTGTTTATAAAACGTCTAATGAAGCTATTAACACGAAAACTGAACTGTTATAAATCTTTATCTTAATCTATTGTTTTATCTATATTGTGAAATATTTAGAAATTAGAATTTTCAATATGTAAAATTTACAATAAGGACATCGTATTATAAAAGTTAAATGGAATATACTTCGATAACTCACTAATTTTGTTTAGATTACCAATGAACTATCTATAATAAGTTGTTACAAGTATAAGGTGGCTTTTTTATGGTTTCAAATTTTTAATGACATCTGTATTATTTATTCCTGTTATCTTTAAAATATAAAGATTTGAAAAAAACCCCTCAATATTATTACATATATTTAGCTAATTTCATAGATAATGTCATTACAAAATCTATATCAATTTTTGTTAGGATATTTAATTTCAAGTAAGCATCCTATTATTGAAGTAAAAAAATTTACTTTTATATGAAGTTAACAATATTTGAAAATGAGATCGGTATGATATTAAAGTAATAAGTGAAAGCCTTTAGTAACAATACCATACTCGGATGTGTTTGTACTATAACGTTTCACTGACTTTTCTTTCAAATGGATCTACTACTACAAAACTTCTTTTCGTGATATTATCGCTCTCAAAACGTTACAAAAATCTTATTTTTTTAAAAAGTCAATTAATATTAACAGTAACATTAATAAAAAAAGTATCACAAATATAATATTGCAAGTATTTTAAATTAAAAAATAAATTTAATCTTATTAAGATTGGAAAGAAGGGAGATTATGTACAAATAGAATAGTGGTGGAATGGAACTGCTTTCGTTTTAAACACAGACACCGGAAATGAGCTATTGAAAATGGCGAAGATTCCGAATCCGACAACAATAAGAATCATTTTTTTTGTTTTTACCATCGTAATCTACAGTATTTCACCAACATTGGCACTAGATAATAAGTTTCAATCAAACAAGCAGGAAGGAAAAGAAGAAAATGTGCAATCAAAAAAGAAATTGGTGGAATATAAATTGGCCAAGGATCCAAGGTGTTCATCAGATGTAGTAACTTTTTGTTCAGATAGTATTGTTAATAATAACTATCAAGTTCTTGATTGCTTACATGATGATAAAGTTTTACAATCATTAAGCAACGATTGCCATAATTTAATATGGCAATACAAGAAAAATCTTACCCAAGATATTCGGTTCGATCATGCTATGAATAATGCTTGTAAAAGAACGCTGAAAAAAGTTCCGGAGTGTCAGTCATTGGAACGAGGAAAAGGATTGATTATTCCATGTCTCATTGATAATCGTCTAAAGTTAACTGAAGAATCAGATCTGGAATGTAAAAAGTTTTTAACTAAAGTTTCAGCTCTAGTTTTTACTGATTTTCGCTTAGCAAAACAATATTTCGATAAGTGTTCTTCTGATATAAAAAAGTATCGTTGTGGTCGAGTGGAAAACTCTGACGTGCATGAAGAAGGTAGACCCTTGCTGCATAAGCAGAGTAGCACTATTGAGTGTTTGTATAAAACTACAGAAGATAACAATAAAACTCTCAGCAAAGATTGTGAACATGAAGTTTTTCGTCTTGCTGAGTTACAATCCGACGACTACCATCTAGACCGAGTATTGTATTATGCTTGTAAAGATGATCGGGAAAGATTCTGTAAAGAATTAACCTCAGGAGAAGGAAAGGTCTATCGCTGTCTTTTTAGACATAAGATGCACGAAGAGATGTCTATACAATGCAGGAAACAATTACGAAAAAGGCAAAAACTAGGAATGAAAGATTATAAAATTCGGCATGGTATAGCCCAAAAATGTAAATATGATATTAGACGATTATCTTGCATGAAAGACGCCGGAAAGCACACTTATCAGCAAGTTAGATTGGCACATATTTTACAATGCTTGGAAAATGCTTTAGAGGAGCCTGAGGAATCCCTAAGACCAGAGTGTTTAGTCGAAGTTCGAAATTTAAAGAGAGAATTATTAGAAGACTATTCAATAACACCAGAAATAATGCTAAATTGTCAATCAGAGATTAAAGGAATTTGCAAGGGTTTGGAAAGAAATGGCAAAACATTACACTGTCTTATGAAAGCATCTATTCTTAATGAAAATCATCGTGGAGTAAATGAAACTTGTTTTGAAGCTTTAAAGAAATTAATGGATATAGCAAGACCAAATTCTGATTTTAAATTAGATCCTCTTTTACACGAAAGTTGTCAGTCTGTTGCGGAAAAGAGTTGTTCTGATATTCAAAGTTCCAGAGGTGTTTATGAATGTCTTCTTTATAAAATTGGAACTAAAGATATGACCGAAGTTTGCGAAGCTAGACTGATTGAAATGGAATACTTTGCACAAAGAAATATCCGGTTACAGCCAACACTATATCGCGTTTGCTATGGAGATATAAAAAAGCTTTGTAATCCATCAGAAACAAGCGACTTAACACCATCTCATATCTTTGCTTGTCTATACCAAAAACGACGTGGCGCAGATGAAGTCGAAAAACTATCGCCCGATTGTGAACACGGAATAAAAAAAACTATGCGCTTGCGTGCCCTAAAAGTCCAATTGGATCCGGAACTGGAAGAGTATTGTATAAAAGACCTGAGTTTACATTGTGGTGACAAAAGAGGAATAGGTGAAGAAATGAACTGTCTTATTGAAAAATACACGTTTCTTTCTAACACGACATGTAAAGAGGCTATAAAAGAACGTTTAGCTGATAGAATGGAGGATCCATTGGATTTGAATCAAATATTCGCTAGAGCTTGTGCTCCAATGGTAGCTAAATTTTGCCATGATATTGTTGAAGAAGAAATTATAACTTGCTTAATCAAACACAAAACAAAGGAGGATATGGATGAGAAGTGTGCTAGTGGAATTGAGCATCATCAAATTTTAACATTAAGAGATTATCGGTTTTCAAGAAAATTCAAGCTCTCTTGCTCAAACTCAGTTCAAACTATTTGCGCAAACATAGTTAAAAAAAATGAAGTAATTCATTGTTTGTCGGAAGCTATTCATAAAGATACACTACTTGATAAACAGCAAAGAGTTGATAAAGCATGTCGTAACCAAATTAAATTTGAAATATTATCTAGATCTGAAAGTATTAAACTTGACGCACGTTTACAAGAAAGTTGTCGGATGGATATACAAAAGAATTGCAAAGGAGTTAAGCCTGGCAGGGGACGAGTTCTTCGATGTCTTAAAAAACATATTGACAATTTGATGGATAATTGTTATAAGTATGTGTTTCAACAAGAAAAAGATGAAAGTAATATAGGAGAGGTTGCTGATTATAATTTTATGCGTGCGTGTGACGGCATGATCAAATTTCATTGTAATAATCAAAGGCGCAACATTTTAAAATGCCTGAGAAGATTTAAAAATGAACCTGATTTCGATAGTGAATGCCGCAATGCCATACTTGAAAAACAAGAAGAACGCTCGAGATATATAGAATTGCAGCCAGGTCTGCATAAAGCGTGCCAATCTGATATAAAAAAGCTGTGCTCTGGAATTTTAGCAGATAAGCACACAAAAGATTCGATGATTGGTGGTATGGTGATGAATTGCTTGAGGAAAAATTTTAGAATGAAAAAATTGTCGAGATCGTGTAAAGATGAAGTTGCAGTTGTTATTAGACAATCAGCTATGGACTATAAACAAGACCCTATTTTGGCTAAACATTGCGAAGTACATATAAAACAATTATGTCTGGAAGAATTATCTGGCGATTTAGATGCCGACGGAGCAGTTGTTAACTGTTTAAAAAAGAATTTCCAAAATGGAAATTTGCAAAAAGTTGACCCAAGAGACACTAATCTATGTGTTCAAGAAGTTGTTCGCGTACTCAGTGAAAGCAAAATTGATATTCATTTTGATCCTATTTTATATAATGCTTGCTCGGAAGAATTGAGACATCATTGTCCTGCTGTTTCAAGAGGAGAAGGTCGTCTTTTGTCTTGTCTCTTAAATGTTTTAAATGAAAAAAATGAAAATCTTGCTGACAAGTGCAAAAAAGAATTGGAATCAAGAAAAGAGATGTGGGAACTAGCCGCTGAGCCTCAAGTTGCTCAAAGCTTACCTGAGATGGCTCAACATGTTTCAATTAGTCCAGTTAGGAATCAATTAATGGTGTTTGGTCTGCTAATAATTGGAGTCATTTTCCTTGGTGGTCTTTTCTGTGGGAGAGTAACCAAAAGAGTAGCTCAAGTAGCCAAAGACAAGTAAAGTCTTAAACGAAATATTAAAATTTCCAGTATTCCTTATTTAAGTTACGATGTTTTTATACGTTTTATTTTTCTAGTCTTATTTTGTTATATTAAGTTCTTTTAATGTTTTAAATAATGAAACTCTAGATACTTAATATTGAACTGGGAAGCTTAAAAAATTTATTGTTTACTTAATTATAATTGTTATAAACAACCATCGTTTTTAAATATGCCTTTTACCTATTTTTGGAATCAAAATTAATTTTTGTTTTATTAGATTATTGCTTTAGCAACTAACTTGATAAAAGTGTGCGTTTATATATATTATAAACAAATTGAACACAATATAGTGCATATAAGTACGCTTTATTCAGAGAATTGTTGCAAGAATCTTATTCTTAAATGCTTTATGCTGAGTCTGTTGTAAAGTGCATGTTTCTATACGTTTCACCTTCGTCATCAAAGCTTTATTACATTTATATCGTTCTAATGTAATGTTTTTAAAAATAATAAATACATAAATAAATCAAATTAAGTTTAAGTCAACCGATTTATAACAAGATATACAAATCACTAAATTTGACTTCTTGGAATATTTGTAAAAACTGAAGGGAACTGCCAAAAATTTACGTAACATGGGAGACATTCGTTTATGAGTCTCTGTAGTTACCTTATACCTTGCATTCTTGGCTATCTTCATCTAGCGTCAAATCTATAAAAATATCATTAGGCTTTTGTGAAACCTCATCATCAGATAATTCGATTACATCCGATTTCGTTTTCCTGGTATTTGCCACGTCTATGGCGCCCTCCTTTCCAATGCTCAAAAGTGACGTAATAATTTCAGTTTCAAATTCTTTAAGATGATGTTCCTCAATTGTTACTGGTGCTTTTGGTACGTATTCAACTTCAATTTGAGAATTATTATTCTGTAATACTTGAATTTGGCTGTTTGGCTTGAAAAGATTTTCAAAAGTAGTCATTAAGTAAACCACATCACCGTCCCCAGTATCCTCATCAACAACATCAAAATTATTCAGAATGGAGGATTTTGTAAAATCCTTTTGATTATGGTTAACCCGTAGATGAATTAACATGGAATCAAGATTTGACAAAATATTTCCGCAATGCAAACATTTATATTCAACCTTTTTAAGATCGATGATTTTCTCGGAAGCTCTGAACGGTTTCGAGTGAAGTCCAGTTGAATGCTGAATTATAGATTCTGTCGAAGTGTCATCAAAATCACAGTGACAACATGAAAATTTTGTTTGCGTTTTGGGCAATACAGCAATTCTATTTAATAATCGTTGTTTGAACGCTTTGAGGAAGTTCTTCATATCCGAGTTTAGATCGTCAGCACCTTTCTGATTATGTTTAATTTCGTTATGCATTTGGAAAAAGACCCAGTGTTTCGAAGAATAGTTACACTTAAAGCATCTATGTATATTTTTAGTATCAAGATGAGATTGGTTATAATGGGTATTGAGATCTGTTTTAGAAAGTGCATAATATTTGCACTTGAAGCACCGTACTTGTAATGTGAATTCACACTTATTTATTAGATGACTGATAATTTCTTCTCGAGTTCCTGTAAAGTTACACGCCTGGCACTTTAGATTAGGTTCCGCAGTTTCCACTGGTAGTGAGTGAAAATCTTCAACATGGCTATTTAAAGCATTTTCTGATAATGTTCCGAAAGTGCAAAATTCGCATACAATGAGAACATGCCGATTCATGTGCTCTGGCATTTCCGCTTCAGAGACTAGGGTAAAACAAACTTTACACATACTTGATAGTGAAGAGGAAGTGGTTGGTTCGCATTTTACAATTAAAGTAGCAGGTTCGTCTGTTTTTTGTGACACTATCGACGATGATTGACAAGCAACATTAATACTGATTGATTCTGATGAATTACAACTCTGACTAATATTTTCTGAACGAACAGCAGATATCATGTCCTGCACTTTTTGTTTTTTACTAGTTAACTGTTCCTTCGAGGTATCTGCCTCTTCAGCAATAGCTTTTGTTGATTCAAGATTTTTGTCAGGTGTTTCTTTTTCTTCGGAAATTATATTTTCTTTATTTTCTATTTTATTGTTGGAATTCGATTTATCATTCCCAGGAGACTTTGTTGACTCCACACAATTATCCGATATACTGGATGTTTTGGCACTTTCTTCAGAATTTTCTGTTATTGAATTGTTGTTTTGCTTATTTCCCTGAGCTTCAATATCCAGAGATTTCGCCATTGGTATCTGAGTAGACGAATCTGTTGAGGTTTTATTCTCTATTAGAAGTAGGCTTAGGGGATTATTTAAAAGTTGAGTAATTTTGCTGCTCTCTCTTTTCTTGTCCTTTACAGGGCTGCTTAGCTTTTCTCTTTTATCAGCTAATATCTTGTCGTTAGATTTTGTATCATTCGCGATTGATTTAGGAACTTTCATTTTCAGTCCTTCAGTAATCCCCGTTTCAGTCTCGCTACGTTTTCTTTTTATATGTTTTGGTTTAAATTCAACAGAATGTTTCACTTTTTCAAATCTAAGGAGCAGCTTTTTATCTTGCTGATTCTCCTGACAATTTTCAATTGATTTCGAAGACTTAGATTTAGTTACACAATATCTTGGAAGACATGCTTCGGACGAGTTTTTTGGCTGTTCGGTTGTTTGCTTCGTTGATGTTTTGGTAAGACTAGAGGAGGTACTTGAAGACTCAGAATTTGAATCAGTAGAGTTACTATCTGACTGTTGGAGAAGATAGTCTACTTTATCAGTCAATAGATAATTCCAGACAGATACACAAGAACTTGTAATTCTCTTTTCCTTTTTCTTTTTAAAGTTTTCAATTATAACTTTCGGTTTCTTAAACATATGTAAGTATGTGATATGAGCAACTAAATCATGAAAATTTTCATCTTTGTGGCAGCATATCAAACATTCATACACATCTCTCTTCTTAGTTCCAGATATTGAGTCAGATAGTTGTTCTGACTTCCAGTGAAGGGCTAAATGTCTTTTCTTTCCAACATTGGAAAATAGCACTTTAGAACAGATTTTGCATTCAAATAAATCATTGTGTTTTTCTTTTATATGGCTTTCTGTATCTGCCATGGAAACATTCTTATGATCACAGACTGGACACCTGAAGATTCTCTTAAAGCATACTTTCGAGCCATGCATGAAAGGACGATAATTCATGAAAATAAAGGATTCACTTCGCTCTCGGTATAACTCCTTGAATGTTTCCCTTATATTAAGTTCATGAATAGTTTTTAAGTGGTGCTCGAATTTCGATAAAGATGTGAAACCTTCTTTGCAGAGGTAGCAATCAAATACTAAGTTACAGATATTATGTATTTTCCTTTCATGATTCCTAACCCGAGCAACACTCTTCCCTTTGAAATTACAAAGAGCGCATCCTAAAGGCTCAGTGCATTTTTCTGTCTTACTAAGTTTATGAAGAACTAGCTTGTCCAATTTAACAAATGTTTTAGAGCAGGATTTACATATGAGACTCTCCTTTTCCTTCTTTTTTTCAACCTTTTCTTGGGTTTTTTTTAATTTTTTCGAAGAGTGAGGTTTTAAAATTTCTTTATTCTTTATACTTCTTTTTTTGTTTCTTTTTGGCTTTTTTGAAGTAGGATGCCGCCTAAAAGCCATATGTAATAATACTTCGTACTTTGTCCAAAATCTTCGATTACAAACATTACACTTATATCGTTTAAACCACTGGCATTTAGACTTTTTTGCAAAACGAGTAATTGCAATCTTCTTAAACAGTTTTTTCACTATGGGCATATAATTTCTGCGAAGGTGAAGACTTTTCTTTCGTTGCTTTTTATTTTGGCTCCTATTTTCCTTTACCAGCCTCAAGTCATCTTTTTGAGGAGAAACATGTTCTTTCTGCTCTTTGTTATCAAACTCTAAATCTGGAAGCTCATCAAACGCATTTTCATCAATTGTTATATCTTCTGCAACAGGGGGATCCCATTCATCTTCGATTGGTATTTTTTTTTCCGGAATTCCGTGCTTTCTTATAAGGTGTGTTCTGAGGGAATCTGTTTTCTGGTAAGACTTTTTGCATAACTTGCATTGAACTGGCATGTTCTTCTAACTTAACACTTGGTGCAACCTTCTAAATATGTTCTTAAGCCTTATACAAATCTACCACTACGTAATGCATATTCGACCCTTTAAAGTCCACTTTTTTCAAATAGTAACAAATTTTAAACAGTAAATAATGCAATTGCGTCAAGAACAGCCATGGGGTAAAATTGTAATATTTCCCCTGAACTACCAGTTTTCGTTGACGGAAATGAAATGGCGATCAAAACAAAAACTTTAGAAACAGCTTTTAACCGATTATACATAGAGATCTAATTATTTTAAAAAGTTAAAATTATGAAAATGTCTTCGGAGGTGGATCAGTTAACGGATGATTTGAATCAAGGACTATCATCAGAGGATGCTGAGCTTTCACTTCAAGATGATACAGAACAACTTGCCAGCTCAATATCAGGAACATTGACTTTGTCATCAGCAGCCACTTCGAACAGTGTCTTATCAAATAGCCGAGGTGTACTAAAACTATTATAATTTGGTATAATTTTGTCTAACTTTTGCAAAATATTTTATAGAGAACAATTTAAGAATATTAGAAGAAGATTTCGATTCTATGGGATTAGATGAACCTTTCAATTTAAGATTTGATGTTATCGCAGCTAATATTGTAAGAGAAGGACCAAGTAAATTTGTCGTAAGTAATCTAAGCCCGACAGTAATATTCCTTTTCTTTCTGCTTATCCTATTTTCTTTCCAACAGGTATATAGTATCTGCTTATTTGAGTCAGCAAGAGAAAGACCTCAAAATATCACAATTGAACGGAGATATTCACAGATAGAGAGACTTAACCAATCATTAAGGAAGCGTTTCCCTCATGTAATGACACATATTGCATTTCCTGAGAAACATTTTATTGGAAATTTTCGAAATCAAGTTATAGCTAGTCGTAGTCGAGCATTCGAGCAATTTCTTACGCATGTATCAAGTATAGACAATCTGAGACAATCAGATGAATTTAATCGTTTCTTCTATGGATCGGATTTACGAAAGGCTTGTAAACTTATGAAAATAGAACATTATAAGGAAGCAATTCCTTTGCTTCAATCAGTAGCTGTATTGCAAAGAAAATTGATAGGCGGAACAAGTTTTCTTTTCCAAACAACTTTATCTGCAATTGTTGCTTGCTGCAGCGAAGCTGAAGAAAACGATTTAGGAGCTCACTATGCTAGGCTTGCTTTGAAGTCTATAAACAATAATTGTAATTGCCCTCTCTTGCCTCCTCTGTTGGAAACTACTATTAGAATTTACTGGAAATCTGGGGAGGAAAAGAGAGAACTGGAGGAAGAGCTAAAAAGTTTACAAGATCGGGGTGTAACATCAAAAATTCGAAAGCTTCATGAAATAAGTTTGGAGCATCTGATTTGTCAATTGGAAGAGAAAGTTGCTAATGTTGTCTAATACTGGTGTAGTACGAGATGAAAGTTAAAATTATCTAAAACTTTCCAATATAAAGAGAAAAGTTAAAAGTAAGAATGAAAAGAGAGGATTTTGTTTTAAAGTGTCCATAATAAATATCAATGTATAAGAGAAATGTTGAATAATTTAAGAAAACACAAAAGTTGCGGCTTCATATGCATAATTGAACACTGTACTCTACCAGTTTTCTCAAGGAAATACTTCACCAAAGTAGCAGACAACAATCACCAAACGTGTGCTTTGGGTGAAGGATAGAGGCAAAATCATTTAAAATGATGGCTCTGCGGAAATTTTGGCAGCGAAGCGTGCACATAATTCAAAATACCGCAATATACACACCGGCAGCTAATTTTCATACGTCAGAAGCTCTTTGCTCTGCCCCGATGAAGAAGAAGAGGAAACTGGACATCAATATAGTCATTCAGAAGGAGATAAAGAAGAAAAGAAAATTAGAGAAGCAGATTAGAAGATTGGAAGCCAAAGGAAGGATTCTTAAGCCTATTGATGAAATCGTTGGAGATCGCTCGATAATGAAAACAATAGAATCTAGAAAGAGACCCACTGACAATGAAAATTCGAAGAATGAGGAAGAAGTTAAGGCTTTACAAAGGCGATGGGCTAACTATAAGTTTGATCAACATGTTAAAGAAACTAAACAAATAAGTGACGCTATCGACTGTCAAAATGAAGCTCTAATCGAATTGCGAAAGATTTCGGAAGACCTGTATCAACTTGCAATACAGACTGATAATGACTTAGTTCCTTTCAAGAGAATCGGACCAGTATCAACTCCACCTATATCAAATTATAATCCTCCGGATGGTGAATATATTGACACAACAAGGAAATATGACAAGTAAATTGGGAAGGTCGACCGAAGGTCGGACTGTTCCTTTGGATTTATTCTTTAGTTTACATAAATGACATGTTTATTTCATAACTTTGAAAACTTAATAAAAGTTTCGGAGACAATATAATTAACAAATGAGTAGACTTTTTTTATGGCAGCATTATATTTTAAAACCCATATCTCTCATACACTGTTTGTGGGCTTCAATCTCTTTTGAGCAGTAACTTTCTCCTTTCTCCATAATGCTATATTTAAATAATTTAATCACTTTTAGAATAAGAAAAATAGAGGTAGTTCTTGTGAAATACTTGCCATGCGTCTCTAACTTTTTTTGTTTCAGGACACGCACAACACGGTTTTAAAGGTTTTTTCTCTCCTTGGGCTTTTTCTTTGCAGTCCGGCATTATTATTTTATTTTTTTCAGATCAAATAAAGAAATTTAACTTCAGAAAATACTTTGATTTATGTATTACAATTAATAATACAGGCGTGCTCGAATGCGCAATCAGAGAACGCAACGAAATGTGAAATGTTCGTGAGCTTTTCTGTAAAGTTCGTTTTCGTATTTTGATTTTGTCATAATGAAAAACAAATAAGATTTATATTTGCAAAAATTATATTTTGCAGGCTTAAAATATTTTCAGGAAAAATCTACAAAATTTAGTAATATTTTGCTCATTATCAATAACAAACATGGCGGAAGCAATAGATCCATCAGTAATAGATTTAATTTAAGTATAATATTTCCTTTATACCCTCCATTTTTTCTAGCAGTTCGAAGACGATGATGATTTAGATGATGGAGATCAACTATTAGAAAAGAAGAAAAAGATCTTTACAAAAGAATGTATGCAAAAATTAACAGATTTGTAAATTTTTAAAAATAAAATATTATTTATAATATCTAGTAAGGTGTATGCTTTACGGCTTCGGAGATGATAAAAATCCATATGCAGAGTCTGTTGACTTGATGGAAGATCTAGTGATAGATTTTATCACTGAGATGGTATGTTCTCAAAAAAATAAATATAAATTCCCATAATCGAAATCCTTTTATTTAGACTCAAAGAGCTTTAGAAGCTGGTAGGCAAGGTCGAATTAGTGTTGAGGACATAGTCTACGTGGTTCGAAAGGATGTTAAAAAGTATTCACGGGTCAAAGAACTAATGATGATGAGCGAGGAATTAAGAAAAGCTAGAAAGGCATTTGATGAAATTAAGTTTGCTGGTAAATGAGAGATACTGAGTACTGAAGAGGTAACCTTAATCTTTAAGCTCTTTCATTTTATACTTTTTTGTTTCTTCTACTAAATTGGCAAAGGCGATTTAAAAAACATGAATTAAGCTATACTTTTTATAAATTTTCTAATGTATATAAAAAAAACGTTGTTCCTATATCGTCGAAAAGACTGCATTTTACACAAATAAATATTGTTAAAATTAAAAAAAAAGACTGTAGTGTCACTTGAAGTGCAACTGAAAATTGGCAATTAAAACAGAGCATATTGAGGTCTTGATTCTACTCTGTTAACCTTAACCTTTTAATTAGCAGTTGAAGAAAGCCTCACATCTGTTAAATTTATCTTAAACTTTAGCATCATGCATAGTCAGTCCTAACTTTGAAAGTTTTCTCAAAACTATCTATGAACAAAGGCAACACTTCCTCAACTGGGATTTTCCTTCCAACCTCATTACTGAGAGACGTCACGCCTTTATCTTTTATCCCACAAGGTGTAATATGATTAAACCATTTCAAGTCTGTGGCACAATTTAATGCTAAGCCGTGAGAAGAGATATAACGCCTAACTTGTATACCTGTAATAATTATAAAAACGATAAGGATATTTTCCATTAAGAGACTACATAATGTTACAAAATATACCTAAAGCACATATCTTATTATCTCCTACCCATACACCTGTATGCTGAGATCGTTTACCGCAGATATTGTAATTTTTGCAGGTTTCAATAACAGTTTCTTCCAATAGTTCAGTATATTTTCGTACTCCAATTTTTAATGATTTTAAGTTTAGTATAGGATAAACAACAAGCTGTCCGGGTCCGTGGAATGTTATAAGTCCCCCTCTGCTGGTTTTATAAAATTCAGCCCCCAATGACTTTAGATAATCTTCTTCATATTGCGAAGAATAATCGCGAATTCCTATTGTATATACAGGTTTATGTTCTAAGAGAAGGATGTAATTAGCAGCTTTCTCGTTAAACACTAGCTTTTCATATTCTTTTTGCAACCGTAAACCTCTTCCATAACTAATTATTCCGAGGCGAACTACTTTCAATAAGTCCCTGAAATATAAAGATAATTTTAAGTTAAAATGGTCTATTACAGTTTTCTATTGAAAGCTTGTCGATGAAAATGAAGAAAATTGCAGTGCAGTCTAAGGTTAATGGAGCAAATATTATATATAAAAAAGAGAATAGGGAGGAATATAAAGAATTGAAAAAAAATAGAAAATTTCGCAACATGCAATACTATAAGAAAAATTATTTACTTCATTTTTTGATTGTTGTAGGGTTTTTTGGCAACATCGATGGGTAATTTGAAGTGACTGCTTCTATTAAGAGAAACGTGATTGTTGTAATCAGATTTTAGTTCTAGCGTTGATAAAAACCTGTCGTTTATATTTGGTTTTTACCGATGACAGTGTTTTTAATAAGATATTATATTTTCAATAACTTATTTAAAGGACAATTTATATAGTATATTGAATTAGTAGGGTGTCACGTTCCTGACACCAAGTTAACTTTTATGATTGCGAATTTTTCGTATTGTAATGAGAACCAGTCAGCACGAAAAATTCCGAATTTTTTTTGTTATTTACACTTCCGGGAATCATGGCAGACGAAAAAGATCCAAGCGTCATAAATTGTTTAGAAAAATTGGAAAAAATCAAGGAGATAAGGTATATTCAAGGATAATTTAGCTGTGAAAGTCTATAGAATGGAAAGATTCAACGTCGTACTGAAAGATTATATATAAATTTTTATAAATTTAGAGAAATAGAAAAGTTCTTTCAGATCGATATTTCGGCTTTATGTAGATTAGACAAGATAATCAAACGATGCATGTATTTACCCTTACTGCAGAGGTGCTACTCAACATGTGGAGAAGCTGAGGGCAAAACTAAAATCGGAATTGGAGAGTGCTCTAGATGAAGAGAAACACTTGTCAGAATACAAAACTGAATTAGAGTTGTTGCTCCAGGAAAAAATGGCTCATGTCGAAGAGCTTCGTCTGATTCATGCAGACATAAATCTTGTTAGTATTTCATTTTGGACAACGTTACGCTTCTGCTATTATAGAAATTTTGTTTCTAATTTAGATGGAATCAACGATAAAGTCGGCCGAAGAAGAAAAAAGTAGAACAGTACAAAATGCTCGCAATCTATTAGAAGAGTTTGTGCCTTTGAAACATCAAGTCGATTCAATGCGTCTAGTATTTGGGTTAGAAACATTACCTGATTTAGAGCACGACTTGGCTTCAGCTTTAGAAAGACATGGAAGCGTCGTTCCACAAAGTAACGAAGAAGTAACTCAAACGGCTCCCCCACCTCTTATCTTACCTGGTATGGGATCTAGGCCAGTAGCAGCGAAGGAAACAGCCCCAGCTGCAATATCGAGACCAGGCTTTAGACAACAGCCACCACCGATGAAATCGTGCCTATCGTGTCATCAACAAATTCACAGAAATGCTCCAATATGTCCGCTATGCAAAGCCAAAAGTCGTTCTCGTAATCCAAAGAAGCCAAAAAGGAAGAGCAATGACGACTAATTTTTTGTTTATTGTCAACAGCTTGCCGTTAGTTCTTTGTGTGTTTAGGATCTGCTATTGTTATATATATATATATATTTTTTTAAATATTAAACAAATTTAATAATCTCTTTTCTTCAGGTTAGTTTTTATTCTCGTTTTTTTGTACCTATTTATGCAGTTTTGTGGTATCCTATGAGATATTGGATTTTAATGATTTAGGAGCTACGTTCTCCTCTCATTTTTTTCTAGAATACAACAAGGGCTCTTTACTAGGCCAGTCTTTTCTTAAAAAAAATATAGCCGAAGAAATATCTTGGGAGCTCTATAGTTATATATAGTGAGAGTTTTATATAAAATGAGTGTCACTTACGGATTAAGCGAGTCAATGAAGCCAAAAGGGAAGGAATAATTTTAATAGTAAATAGGTGTTTAAATGTTAAGGAGGTTAAGAAAACCAAAGGTAATTTTTCCGAAAGAGAATTAGAGATTAATTCTGTTTTCTTTGCTCTATTTCTCTCAATTTAAGATTAAACAAAATACACTTGGCAAAAAAACTAAATTCCTTACTTTCATATCATTTAACTTCAAAAGAAAACTCTACACTATTAATGATATTGCTCATAAATGATTTATAATGAAAAATTTATAGGTATCCATGTGTATTTGGCACAACAAGTAATAACACCTTGTTTAATAGTACTTTTCTTTTATTTGGCCGCTATTTGACCGATAGTACTTAACCGCTTTCTGCCAACATCGGAAATTGGAGCGAGTGTCGTACTGAAACGTCCTTTAACACTTCCTTGAGCAACTGACGTAGTTCTACTATCCTCTTGATTTGTTGTCTCCTGTAAAAGAGAAAGAAAATCATAGACGTGAAAGACGAATAATCAATTAATCAGTCAAGTATAAAAAAATAGTTTGCAATTAGACGAGAACTGTAGAGAGTGGGAGGATTTGGAAATTAATGGAAATAATCATTTACACTAGAAGGAGTGGAGCAAGATGGAAGACAAAAAATGAAAAAAATAACAGTAAAAAGTATTTTTGTAGATGAAATAGTCAAAAATATTTTTTTAAAAAAAAAAAAATAGTTAAAAAATTACCCTCATATCCTCAGCCTTTATATACAGTATTTTCACGTGTAGAGATGTGTAATAAAAGGTCAAGGCAAAAAAAAAAAGGGAAAAAAAACAATCGATTAGAAAAGGTTAATTTTAAAAATAGATTACTATATAAAAAACACTTTACGTTTTTCTACAATATTTACAAAATATTTACAAATATCTAGAAACAGACGAAGCGATGAGGCGATGAAAAGACGGAGAGGGAGAGGGAGGAGAGAGAGAGAGAGAGAGAGAGAGAGAGACCGAGAGGAGTCAAGAACGATAAATACACTACATTAAATACTTTAAAAGACATATTTAATATCACCGATAAAGTGAATTTTTGACCCATATATACATATTTACCCTTGATTATTTAATAGTAGAATAAATAATTATTTTAATATACCATAGTATGTATATATGATAATCTTTTTTTGACATTATAAAACATGCAATAGTTTTCCCTACAGAGGTAGAACCATTTTTAGGGCGGGAAATATAATGAAAAGCTAAAAAAGAACTTTACAAAATGAAATTAACAACGTCTAAAGCGAAACATAAGTATACTATATTTTCTTTTTGAATAAGGTCCCTACCAATTTATTACTAAAGAATGAAGGCTCTGTTTCGGAACCTTCTCGCAAATTGAATTCCGATAAACGAACATCCCTAACGTCAGATGAAAAGGTCGAATTTCGGGATTCCATTTTTAGCTGCTCATTATACGAGTTAGATGTATTTTTTATGGTATATATTTACTGTTTATTAATATATTTTAAACTAGTTTTTCACCATATAAAGTAATTAGGACATTTCTTGTAAAAGAAACCATAGACTATACACAGAGTATTAAAAATTACAGTTAAAAATGAAAAGATGAAAAACTGTAAAAGATAAATAATTCTGAAAGATGAAAAGATTGTGTATTGGATATACAGTTGATAAATATATATCCAGATGAGAGAATATGAGAAAAGATGAGAAAATATGTAATTTTTAAAAAAAAATACTATAAATGCTAATTGGATTATTAATATAGAGTTTAGCGGTTGTTTTGTTTGAAAAAAAAAATTGAGTAGACCTATTTACGTTATGGTGTTTTTTTGCTAACGTAACGAGAAAAACAAGAAAAGAAACGCAAAATTAATTAGAAATAAACATATCTATTGATTTATATATACTTCTTCTATATGTAGTCATTTATATAAATATATATATCTATCTCTCTATATATTACATTATTATTAAATAAATAGAGCATACCGTATCAGTTTGTTCTTTATCCTGTTTATTTAAAAAAAAAATGTTGAACCAAAATGTAAAAATAAAAAATTTTTTCTTTAAAAAAAAAAATTAATTAAAAAATGATTTTTTTCTAGTTTTTTGTGTTGAGGTAACAATTTTTTTTGTTTTTTTTTGTTTTTTTTATAAAAAAAATTGAATAATTGAAGAAAAATATTAAATATATACAAAAGTATAGTATAGTTTTGCTATTAACATGCAATGGTTGATTTGTCTCTTTTAGTTTTTTTTTTGTTTAAAAAAGTGATCTCATAGTTTTTATTGTAAGTGTGAGGGTGTATACATCTCATATATATCTCTAATATATATATATATATACTTTGTATGCACAATGCCGTTATTTTAAATTAATGTTTGTGATAGGTGAATTAAAAAAAAGAGGATGATATTGAGTAATGAGAATGAGGGATGGGCGGGGACTGGGATGTAATGGGAAGAGGTTAAGGGACTATGGGTTGCAACTAAAGACTGACCAATTTGAGATTGTTTTGACCATATCTGTTAGAAAAGTAAATAAATCCAAAGGTTTCTTTTTTTTTTTAATCTCTTAGGTTACTATTGGTTTTTTTTTGTTTCTTCAACTTAGCTAGTGATTAGCTTATATAAATTATATAATGTGAGTTGTATAGATTTCATTAACCTTATTATTTCCCTGTTATCAAATATTAAAAAATATACTACTTACCTTCCACTTAACACCCTCTGTTAGTGTAAACGTAAACGTCACCATATTAGATCCTTTTGGTATTGCTGGAAGTGGATGAGCTTTGGCTGAGGGAGGCTTCCAACTTAAGAATGCTTGCAGTTTTGCTATTCTCTCCTGCTCTTCGGTTGAGAGAGGTCTTTCATCAATTAATGCTTCTGGTTTCCTTGAAAAGCCTGCCCAGTATGGCAACAGCTCTTTAAGACATTGAAATTGTATCTCGTCAAACATATCTTGTCTATTCTCTTTCCCAGTTAGATATCTTTGACAATGTCTAATGCTTTTCTGAGCTAATTCAGGAGAGCAGTCTACCTGAACCTCGGGAGGTGTTGAAGACTGCAAGTAACAATCAATAATCGATTGCAATTTACGCCTAATCGTCTCTTCGTCAGCGTGCTGATGATGACAATCCTTGAATTTAGTTGCTTCGAAATAAAAGAATAAATCCTTATCGATTTTAGGCATGCCATCCTTCAGGCCATGGTTTCGAAGATATTTGTAAAAAAGCAACATTTCTTTTTGCAAACGACCTTGAGAGGCAATTCTAAGAGCTTGCATGAATTGAACTTTATCATCCGCCGTTGGTTGAGCTCTACCATCAACCTTTGTTTAAAAAATAGTAGTTAATTTTCTATTAAACTTTTAAGTTAAAGTCTTTAACATTTTCTTTTTAAAAAAAGTGAAAAAAACACATAAAGGAGGTTAAAAAGTTTCGGATATTCTAAAAAATGCATTAGCCAAAGGAACACAAAACTAAAAGATGAAAATCACCGCAAAACATTATAATTTATAAATTATCTCTGGAAGAGTTTCTTCAGGAAAAAAGTCAAGAAGTTTATTAGGATTCTTACTTTCAAGAGATAAGAGATAGGACAAAAGCTATTATTTAAAGAGATATGATGAGAATGAGATATTTTCTTTCTATGATTATTAAATACTTTAAATACGAAACTTTCACATAAAATAGGGAAAGCTGAAGGATTTACTAAAGCTCTTTAGTTTTCTATATTTAATAGATTAAAAAAGTTCGCCCAAAAATAGAGATGTTGAGGAAAAAGATAGACGAACACATTAAAAAATTGGAAAGGAATAAAGTATTAATAGGTTGAAGAATGAGAGGATAAATTGTAAAGATTTGAAGGAATAGAGTCATATGAGTAAGGGCGTGGGAGAGAATGAATGAAAATTTTTTTTTAGAAAAAAAAAAGAAAAAAAGAGGTCTTTAAATGAAGCGTTCCTCTTCGCTGATAAGATGCTACCTTATAGTGAATTTTAGTGTTAGATCTCGACAATTTGTGCGATTCGTGACTAGCTTGTGAAGTGAACGTGCCTTCCTGCGTTGAGTTAAATCATGCACATAAACAATATTATATATTATACATATATATATATATATATACTGTATATTTTGGTACACAGTATAGATTGTTATACTATAATATATACAGTATACAGTATACTGTATATTGCTTTTAAATAACAATCACTGTGTTTTCTTCATTCATTTATATAATTTAAATTTAAATGTCTTTTAAAAAAGATTTGAAAATCAGCCAAAAATATATGTTCCGAAGAGAAAAGAGGATGACTTTAATGATAACAAGAAAAATCCTTTAAATGCACATGGGGATAAAACAGAATAAAGATTCTCCTTCATTTTATTTAATTGAATAAAAAAATGAAAGAAGTTGAAATCTGGTTTGGAAGAAGGAGTATGTGGTGAAGGAGGAGAAGTGGGTGGTAGATGAGGAGGAGGTTGAACTCTAGTGTTCTTAAATAAATAATTAAATGGGATCAAGGTCAATTCAAGTACCACGGGTTTGTTAGTTAGCTCGACGTTCTCTTTTCCACTAATAAATTTTACATGCGGTGAACTATACAGTGAATGGCGTTTTTTGTGTCGTTTCCTTACGGTTCTCACTACTTTTGTCTTCGTTTCTAGCGAATAATCCGAAATACTTTTGCATTTCTTAACGTCTAAACGACGTTTCTTCTTTCGCAATAACTTCGTGGACAATAGTGTGGCTTGTAGCATCGCTTTTAAATACTCTTGCTCCTCCGTCAAGTTGGTCTTATAAATTAGAGTTAGAACCATTACACAAGGTGTTAAGAATAAACATAATAAAGGGAATACTCTTTAAATCATATATACAAATACAAAGAATAACAACTTGTAAAATGAATGAATAAATAATATCAATCTCATTCTGATCTGACTATCTGTCTCTCTTCAGCTTTAAACTTAAAAAATTTCTTTCTCTCTCTCTGCCTCCTTCACTGGCTCTCTCCTTTCTCGCGTCTTTTAATCCTAAGCAAATATAGATTTATGCTCTATATTTCTTCTGACTGATTCCCTCTATCTTACTCTTCTACTCTGATCTGTTTTTTCACTCATTTGTTAACACATTTTTCTCATCCTTCTATCCCTCATACCAATATTCGCTGATTCTTTTATATTTACTTAAGTATCTATCCATACAATTACTCATTCTTATATATAACGATTTTTTAATCGCTTACCTTACTCTTCCCTCTTTTCCAATTTTTTATTAGCATTGGGTCGTTCTCTAAGGCTGAATCGAGTCTCGATCTCCGAGCCGTAAGCGATTTTTTATCGACCCCTAGCTCTGCTGTTTGGCTCTCCCAGAAACTGGAGAATAACTCGTTGATTTTTGGTAATATGTGATTTTGGGCTTCTTTCAAAGTGGCTGTTCTTGGCCTATCTTTTTCCGTTTTCAGTCTACTGTAGAATTTCTCATTCATTAATATTTTTTTTTTCGCTGTTTGATCAAAGTAAGATCTGATTTGGAGAAAAAAAAGACATTTATAAAATAGAATCCTTCCTCATTTAAATTGAAGCAACCTTTAGATTCTTACCTACTAATCATTACAGCTTGGGCATCCTTTCTAGGCTTTTGTGTACGATCCGAGCCAAGACGATGGTAAGAATCGATATCGAGGTATAGATCGACTAAGTTTCTACTCTCTTTTCCTTCTCTCTCATTAATAAACTTTTTAAATGTTCCAATCAAGCTATTTCGTGAAGGAGAAAGAAGAAAATTTAATTTTTATTTTATGCAACAAAGGAACCCGGTTCGAAATTAGCTACTAACGGTTTATCTAATATGATTTCCTTAAAGGTTGGAGGTTTATCGTCTTCTTCCTCATTTTCGATTTCATCGTCATCTTCTTCTTCACCTTCGTCATCTTCGTAGCTTTTTTTAGTGGTGGCTGCAGAATGGGATGATTTCTTTTCTTCGTCTTCATCTTTCTGTTTTTTGTTTAGGATAACGGAAATTGGATATTAATGATATCTTTTTAATCGATCTTCTTTCTGGCATTACTTTTGAAAACACTACGTAACATTGTAATACATTTATACAATACACAATACAAAAAGTAATACACTTTGTATTTAGGCTTACTTGAAATGACACGCCTTTTCTCATTTTCGCTTCTTTTTGTCTCTTTCTAGCTGCTCTAATAGCTTTCTTCCTCTCTTTTTCCATTTCCGCCCGCCTCTCTTTTGCTTTCCTCCTAATCTCAGCCTGACGAGCTTCGTCAATACTCTCAGCCAAAGACAAAGCTGTACGTAAACGTTCAGCTCTTTGTGTATTTGTCGAAGAAGGCTGACGTCCTATCCATGGTCTTTGATGTCTGATAACGATTTGATGATGGTCATCAAGAAATACTTCGATTTCTTCCGCTGTACTGGGAGGTGAAGTAATACGAATATGACAGCATTCAATGAAGTGTTTAGTATCCTCTTTCAAGTAACGTATCCATGATTTTTCCAATTTGATCATACAGTAATCTCTAGCGCAATCAAAGATTTCCTTTTCAACGAAATAATCAGATTTTTGTAGATTTCGATAAATCTTATCAATTTCATTACTATCTAAACCGATATACATGTAACTGTTGTATGCAATATATTTATTATATACGTTCCAGGCATGAAATAATCTAAGTAAACGGTCATTTCTACCCTCTTGAGTAGCCCATTCCTCAACTTCTTGCCAGAAGAGTAAGCCACAGAGTAATTCATCTTCCTTATTTCTAATAAAAGAATAACATTTTTCCATCAAGTATTTTAGACATAAAACGAAAGAAACATATTCCTATTAGTGCAGTTAAATATATCCTTAATGGGAGATATATATGCGAGTGCAGAATGCAATATATAGATATAGATTGAGAAAGTATTTATAGATTTTTGTACTATATATATACATAAACATATATATATTAATATATATATATAAATTTATATATATATACTAATATAACACAACTAAATAGTTCTTCCTAGGGAAGATACTTTAGAGTGATTCTGTACTGTAATATGTATACCCGACAATAGAACCAAAGAAATTGACTTGTTGAAGTATGAGATAAACGGAATATAGTCATATTTACTTTTCATATAAAAATTCATACAAGGTCATATACCTGTTTAGAAATCTAAGAAAAGGTCCCCCAGCATCCTTATCCATTTTCATTGCGTTTAGTTGCTTTTCATACATTGGAGACCATGGTGTTTTAACTTCAAGCATATCGGATATAGATTTGGTAGATTTCTCAACAGATAAACTCCTTCCGGGTTTCTCTATCATCTCCCACTTATCAGTGGCTGCCATTTGTTCTAATACGTTTGGTTTGACAGGCATTGAATTAACAACAGACAGCTTAGGGCAATAGAAAGGAGTGCTGGATTGCCTCTTGATATTGTTAAGGGCACTACCATTTCTGCATAGAATATATATGTATAGATTAATATATGCATTATATACAGTATGTGCACTATAAGATAAGATATACTATTTTAATAGATATACACTATATACTGTATACTGTATATACAGTATATACTAGTATTAAGAAAAGCGAATTTATATACAAAGAGTATTAGCTAAATTTAATAAAAGAATTTATAAACAAGACACCAACCCCAGTAACTCTGTTCGTTCTTTATGGATTAAAAATCTAGGTAACCAATAAACCCTCAATCTCCTCAATACATCATATTGCGTTCGTATAAATACAGTATGAGATAGATTAGCATTTCTGGAGGCAGCGTTTATTTGTTTTTGAGCATCTTCAGTCAATTTCATTCTATATTTGTCTTGAATATCACGAAACAATTGATTCCTGACGGCTGTATTTTCAATTTCATTATATTCCTCCATTGTATCTGCAAAATATTCGCAATCCAACCAAAAGTTAATCAAATGTATGCCACTGGTATCGGAGAGGAATTCTTTGAACATTTGCATTCCGTGAGCCTGTAATAATTAATAATATAACTTTTTCTTTCATTACTCAATTAGATTACTTTAATTATTCTACGTTAGTTTCTGAGGGATACTAATGACATTACAAGGAAAAATAAATTGCAATTCTGTTATCTAACTTGGTTAAAGACATAAAAATATCACTTATTGCCGAGAAAAGACCCCCCGAGTGTTGAATTAATGCTATGAGACTTTTAAAAGTTTCAAGAATGTTTTTTATAACTGCTTTTGAAGTATATTTGATACTCACTGATCCTATAAATTGCTCCTTCAATTCACGTATGGACAAGTTATGCCTTCCAATTATTGATTTAAGATCAGATTCCGTTTGTCTTTCGTCAATATCATTTGTTTCAAATTCAACAACTGCTTCTTCATCTGCCCATTCTTCTTGACCGAGATTTTCGTAGTAATCGTGCTTAACGGGTGATGTACCCAGCTCAACTTCGCTTGGTGATTTTACTCTGACAGACCTTGAACTCTTTCTTTCGCTTTTGGCACTTTTAAGAGCGCTTTTCCTAGATTTTATGGATTCTAAAAGACCTTCTTCAGTTTCCGTGTTAGACACGGAATAAATCGGCTTATCTTTCATAGCAAAAGTTGTTTGCCTAACAGCTGGACCAGGCGTCGAACCGGCATTTGCATGACGTCTTTCGACTACATCTTCATCGTCGTCTGTTACGTCCGTTGTCTTTTTACTAGTTGTCGTAACAGGCCTGTGGGATTGTTTGGTATCAGATTCCGTTGTAGTTTCCGTTTTTGTCCCGAACGAATCTATTTAAAATATCAGATTATACCCAATTATTTGGCGATTAATGTAACCGACTTAACAATCCCAATCTAGGGGGTAGACTATAGGCTCGACTACCGGGTCTTTTGTATTTGTAGAGGTTGGCTCTATCAATTTCAGTCCATCGATCGGTATCGTCTAGGTCATGTCCTCCACTATTGTCAGCTGAATTGCTTAAACTCGAAACATAGCTTTCGGTTTGTCTACTATAACCTCGAAGGAGACGGGACGAAGCCCTAGATGGAACTTCTTCCAGGTCTCTAAGTAACAGTTTACATAATTTCATCTGACGAAACAGAGGAGACCTGTTGTTGGTAATTACATTTACAAACTCGAACTAGTTTTATTTATTCTCATATGATGTTTAATCTCTATTGACCGCCTTAGAGATGACGTGAAATGTCAAGACCACTTTGAACTTACTGTCGGAAAAGCTGTAATCTCTCTTCCCGGCACCATTCTAGCATTCTATCTCTTTCTTCGTCAGTTGCTCCATAGGGTGGAGTTTCAGGTCTTTCCACTAAAGATACGCTCCCCGATGATGACAAAGTATTTGGCAGTTCAAGAAACGTTCCCGTTAATCGATTATAGTACAAAGGCTTCGGGAAAGCCTATTAGATTATTAATTAATTATACTAGATGGATAATATTTCTAATATACTCACAGGAAGAGCTAGGAAGGCGTTAAAAAAATCTAAGAATAGGTCATCGAATGTTAATAAATCTTCTAAATTCTCATCGTTTACTTCAAACGCTGGAAAAAATATGTTTTTATTTTCTCTTAAAAATATTATTTTAATTTTTTTTTAAAAAAAAAAACTCAAGGGTAGAGAATTACAACAAAGAGGAAGAAAAGAAAATCGAAGAGAAAGAGAAGAAAGATACATGAATAGAATATTTATTAGAGAAATAATTAGAAATATTATAGATATAATAGTAGTTTTAAGTTCGGAAGAAAAACAGTAAGAGCAGAAAACACATAGGGTAAATTAATATTGAGGTAAAAGGGATTACTAACTATCACATAAAAAATCATCCTCTTGATCCATTGTTTTCGCTCTCTACTTGTTTTTTTATTTACACCTTTTATCATACCTTTATGTTGTATCATATATATATATATATATATATATATATATATATATAATTCAATATATACAGTATTTATACATATAGTTATATAGATGCTAAATTTATATATGTATATATACTAATATATATATATATATATGTATATGTATTGAAAATATTGAATACCTCAACGCATAGTAGATTGAAATTTTGAAGGAAAAAATAATACACTTAACATTCAAACGAGAACAAGCTCAATAAACTTAAAAATGTAAACTCAATGTGAATTGAAGAATAAACTAACCCTTCATTACTGATTTATCCAAGTTGGGTATATAGACTTAATATTAAAAAAAAATAATAATTAAAGTGTTTAACTCCGACAACCCGAAAACCATGTTTTTCTAGTTGCTACGAAGCGTTCATATCGCTCTATAGTTACTGGCCTGAACGCGATCAATCTCTCTCTCTCTTCTGGTAAAGAAAAATCTTTATGTTCTCTGTTCTATGTTTTTTTTTTTATATATATATATATATATAGATATACAGTATATACAAATGCTGTAGTTTTATGCTATCAATAGGCCTACGATTACAACTTAATCTTTGACTGCTGTTGACTTTACGTAATATTTATTGTATTTATTGGTTATCCTGCGTATCACAGTTATATACTGTATGTACACATATTAGATTGTAAAATACTAAAAGTTGTATAAGTCTATTGACTTTTTGTGCATTATTAATTCATATTAATTTGTTACACGAATACCTCTTACTCTTTGAATAATTTTCACACTCATGAATAATTCATTAGGGAATTATTTTTTTTTATACAAAGATTTTATTGAAAGCAATAGATGGCATTAGCAACGGAAAGGATTTAGATAGGATGTAATGAAACAAACTAATAACTCCTCAAGAAAGATCATTAGTTTGTAACAATAGCGAGCATTGATGACTAGAGAGTTACTATTACTTTTTAATCAAAAATATATTTAATTCACTAACATAGAGTGTTTATTTCCTGACAAACCTCCAGTTCGAAATGATCAGCATATAAGTTAAAGAGATGTGTACAGGAAAATTATTCAAATCAATGTTTTCTGTTTTCTCTACCAATGAAATATAGACGAGCAAATAAGTAACGAATCAGATAATATAACATGAAAAAGGAAAATCCCTTCTCCGCCAGACCTTTAAACTTTATCAACCATGAAAAGCCTAACTTGCTAACAAATCATTTGTAGTTTTCCTTTGTCTAATACCTGTCTAAATAACAATTCCGCCTTCACTTTCTCGTTTCTCTATCGTTCTATCGATCTATTTTCCCCTGTATATCTTGTATACCGCTCTCTTTAGCATGAATACTTATGTCTAGTATCCATTTCCAACGCATAAATATTTCTCTCTATCAATTAGTGTGAAAAAATTTTTGCTGATACTTAATTAATGTAAAAATTTATGCTTTCAATCAATGAAGAAAGGAGCTTGAGAATAGTATAAAGAAAAAATATGGAAAGAGAAAGAAAGAGAGAAAGAGAGAGAGGGAGAAAGAGAGAGAAAGAGAGAGAGACAGAGAAAGTGAGAGAGAGAGAGGGAGGGAGGGAGGGAGGGAGAGCAAATGAGACAAACAAACATATAGACAAACAGAGCAGGAGGGTAAAGGAGGAGAAAGAAGAACCAAAGAAGAAGATAGAGAAAGAAGGATTGTATAAAATACTTATGAATATTACTCTCTTTATTTTTGTCAAACATCATTTAGGTGAAAAGTTTAAGATTAAAGAATTTCTGAAAATTACCTAATCTAATTAAGTCCTATGATGACGTTCCACTATGAGATCTCTCGATGCACTCACCTCTTTTCTCTCACTCTCTTTCACCCATTCTTTATTACTCTACTTGCTTCCCCCCTCCCACCTTCTTTTTCTTATTCTCTATTTTTAATATAGTAACACATTTTTTCCTCTTCCGCCTTTCCTCTCAAGAAGGGTGAGAAGGGAACATAAAAATAAATATATGGTATCGGTTCTAGGCCTAGACATAACAGTTTTCAAATTATATGGCCCCTTAAGGCGCATAGATGAAATAGGCGATTTATACTTTATAGAAGCTACGTAGCTGAAAGTATACTCAAACAAAATTGCAGTTTCTATTATATAGTTGGTATAAAATAACAGTAAGACCATTCTACCAGCGAATAGAAACCAGTAAACTTCGGAAAAGTAAGATCGATTGTAAAAAACGACGTCTTTTTCCGAAGTAGCCACGTAACAGTCATAAATATATATAAACTGTGTCTAATACGTATTCGAGCCACTTATAAGAGACTTAACTATAAGAAGAGTTTATAAAGAAAGAATATTCGCGTGAAAAAAGAAAAGAAAAAGATTGTGAAAGTTAAAAGAAGATTTTTTTTATATATTAATATATATATACCGTATATATACTGTATCTATATAAGAATATAGGTCATATACTTAAATACTCAAAATCTTAGTATACTATTTTTTTTATAGTATATCATCAATAGGAGTTTTATTAAGATATCTAAAATATTGAATTCTTTACAAGTAGTATTATTTTATACAGTTATAGATACAAAGTAGCATTCTAATGTGTAAATATACTTGTAATATACGTGTATACATGATACGATGTTTGGTGGACTTGCATACTTTTACACGCTTATAAATACGAATGTAATACATTTATGGATTATGTTATTTTTTTTTTATTAATACTCTCTATGCCTTTCATCTATCACTCATTTTATCATTCGATCGGGGTCGTTTCTTTTATGGCACGCATCGTTGCATAGTTTCGAAAATCAATTTGATATTTTACACGCATGTACTTGAATCAAGGCTTTCTGATTTCATAAAAATGAAATATAATCTTTTAATGCAATATTTTCGTCGCTAAGAAGGAAAAGGATAACAAAAACATAGGAAAGAGATGATGAGCGGCTAAAGCGCTTTTACTGTGGTTGAATGAGAAAAATAAAAAAAAAAGAGAGAAAGGAACCTTTCTGTTTTTTAAAACAGAAAAAACCCTTTTAAACTTTCCCTAGCTCTAGGTTTTTTTTTTGCTGCTCTTTACACCGGTAATAATAATGACAATCATTATTTAGGAACCTATAAGAATAGGCTACTTAAATGTGAATTATAAACATTCTATAAGTCATTAAAAGCTATAATTAAAGTTTCAGTACTGAAGTAGGAAAATAGAGAAAATGAGTCTTTATTAAACTTACATAATATGTTATAATGTTTATCATGTACACGGACTTATAAATTTGTTAAGCGATTATGAACTAGTTTTATTTGTCTCTTCCAATTGTTCGCTAATAGGTCCAAGATAAACGGTAACGTTTTGATCGAGCGCTATTGTTGATTGTACTGCAACTGGCTGACTTTGTGCAGGTGTCATCCTTCGACATTCTGCTGTGACGGACGTTTTCGCTCGTTTTTTCAAGATGGCTGGACAGAAATCAAGCATAGCCGTTCGGATTTCCGTTGACATTGCACCATAAACTAGGGGTGAAGAGCACGTAGCTACGCCATAGAAGACACTTACTATGACATATATTTCCGCCGAGAGAGTATTAGCCTTATCGAGATTCCTGACTATTGAATAGGGTATAAAGCCACCCAGAATGACAAGAAAAATGACTCCGAACATCTTGGTTATCTGCAATTCACGTTGTTGAAGAGCATTTGGTGATGACATGCGCTTTGAGACCTTCACTACCGAAATAAAAATTGCTATGTAACAGCAGACGACAACGATGCAGGGAATAAGAACTTGAACAACTGTTACCGAAACAATTCTCCCGAAAGATGTAGGCTTAAGAATGCAGCGCAATAATTTAGCCACGTAGACAGACGATTTAAGATCAATTCCAGGTAAAGCGGCAGCGAATGGTATCAATCTAGCAGCGATTAAAACGAAGGCAACATAAGATTTCTTTGACATCCTTTTATAAACCGTATTGTGGACGACAACTATATATCGGTGTATACCAATTAAAGCTGTATGCCATAGGCTACATCCAACAAAAGCAATGGTAAATTCCGGATTTAATTTACATAAAACATCCCCTGCAACCCAGGATCTCATCACGTAAGATTGGACAATCAGTACAACAACCAAACAAAGAGTTAATAAATCGTTTAAAGCCAATGAAGCGATAAACAAGTTGATAATGTTTCGATATTGCCTTTGAGAAACAACGGCCGCTATTAACCATACATTACCTAAAATACCTTCAATTAGAAATACGGTCATTACACTAGCTCCGATAGTCGTTCCGATTGCTGTCGGCCTCTCGTCATTTGCCTCAGTTGAGTTATTATAATACGACATCTTTCAATTCAATCTTCACCGCCTACTCCTCCTCCAAAGAATTTTCTTTTCGATCCAATATTTTCCTTCCACTCTAACAGGTTCCAATTAGAGTTTCCTTAAATTAATTTGTTTTCTTCCTTTTCCCAACAGGAAGAGTAAGAGAGAAATGCAAATGAAAATTTGAAGAGAAAGAAAAGAAAAAATATCTAAATAGAGATTTTTTCAAAGATTTATATCTTATAGAAGAGAAAGCAGCAGAATATATAAAAAAAAATTCTGAAGAGCTAAAGCGTTTCTTCCTTCTTTTTTCCTTTTCCAAAAATTGAGAGAAAAAAAAGACGACAGCAAATTTTTTCTCTAGTTTATTCTCTTGCTCCAATGTTCTATACGCTGCTTGCGAGAGCAGTTCGCATTCGACTGCAAAGTGCGTTTAGTTCATACCACACGCGCGCCATCGACCGACGAATGAGTACTGCAAATAATTCGTATTTTTAACAGTTTCTCTCGCTCAATTACTTAATTACCATCCCTTTAAAAACAGTATTTTTTAACGATTTATTTATGGTAATCATAGTTTATTCCAAAAGCAAAAATTATACTTTATGGCATTAATGGAGAAGATACAGAAAGAGAGAGAGAGAGAGAGAAATAGGTAAAGTTGATTTATCCAGTAAAAATATACAGTACACAAATAGTACTCCAAGAATATTTGTAAACAACCTTACATTCATTAGTCACAAGGGGAAACGGTTGGGTGGAGTAAAAGGAATGTTTATTAGAATTGATAAAACGCTTTGAAAAATGACAAAATTTCGAATTCATTTGAGTAGAGTAGAGATAGACTGTGATGGATAGAGAAAACAAGTATTGGCTTACGAATAAAAAAGGCCTATACAAATATATATATATATATGTTATAAGACTTTTTAAAACCAAACTGACAAGGAGAAGTCTTAAAAAATACGTAGAAGCTTACGATAAAGTTTATAAATGTCATTAGTATCTTTGCATTTTCTGTTATTAATAAAAAATTATTTAATAAGTTTGAACTTTATTTTAATTTATATTTAGTAATTTTCATCATCAATAATAAATTACCATCTAATCGCTAATTGAATACTCGAAGAAAGATGATGTTTATAGGGAAGTAGGAATTTGCGTTGATGACTTACTAAGGGAATTATATACATACTATTATATAGATATGTATTTATTCTTATCCCATACGTGTCCAGGTGAAAAGTTATAAAGTTTTCAATTTTTACAATAATTAGCAATCTTTCTTTCTAGGTCACAGATATTCATATTAATAAAGTTAATAATAGAATGTTAACAAGAAGAGGCTGGTATTAATAGAGAAAGATGTAAAGAAGATTTGAGTATAGGAAACCATGAGAAAAAGGAAATTAAGGAACACTACAAAAAAAATCAATATATTCAATGAACGTAAGACATTTCGTTTTTATGCCATATTATCCGTTATACATGAATTCTGTACATATATAATATATATATATATATATATATATATATATAGATAGATAGATTTGTCTCTCTCGCTCTTCCTCTCATTCTCACTCCCGATTACCAATCAACGATAAACATGCCATTTAATTTAATTTTCAACTCTTTTCAACTTTATAAATTTATATTCAATACTAAATTTCCATGAAATGATTTATAAAAGAAATAATTATTTTAAAAAAAATGGTAATAACGATGATAATGAAAAAGAAACCGTATTTTTCTATTTTCTTTCATATTGATATTTATATACACAATTACTTGTTCAATATCAAATTACTCCTCTAATTACAGGATACACTTTAAAAAATATGCTAATGTAAAATTTTATGTGGAAAATATACCCTAACAATATACTGTATATATATATATATATATATATATATATATATATATATATATATATATATATATATATATATATAGATATACTGCTGTATAGTTTGCCTATCAACTGAGAAACAAAGTGATGTATGTTCATAAATAAAATCATTTAAATCTGTTTTTTATTTCCTTTTCCATAAACACGTTTATTCTATTAAAATTCTCATTAAAGTTACATCAATATCTTACTTCAATTCTTCTTTTTCTGTTTACAAAATAGTTTTATACTTGATATATGTAGTTTTGCTGTAGGTCTAAATAATTGCATTCATTTTAACGATTTCTTTGTTATTCTTTAGACTTTAGTTCGATGATTTAGTGCCTTTATACGTCATTTCGATAAAGTTTAAACATTTTTTTAAGATCTTATCCTTATCGGTGAAAAAATGTGATACAGATATAAAATTTTAGTTCTTTTAAAAAATCCAACAAATTACCACAATAGACTAGTATTAAGGGTAAATTTGAGTGATAGGGTAACTATGAAGAAGGTGAACTAAAAAACAGAATGAAAAAGAGAATATTTTCTATCGTTTCCTCGTTTCTGTTAACAACGTTTTAATAAATTGTCAACTTTTGTATATTTATGGAAATTTAGAGAGCAATGAATCTATTATTATGTTAATAGAATCTTACTTAATAGAACAATTTTTTTGTCAATTCTTTGCAGCGATTTCCTGGAGAGAATAAGTGGAAGAGAAGGCTAATCTATTCTAGTCACCAATGTCATTCGCTTTCTATTAATTAATTGACTGTTACCAGTTGCGTCTGATCCCTTTATTCGCTTAGTAGTATATACAATATGTATATATAACTTTGTAATAAAATTACTAAAATATATGCTTAATTTTAAAAGTACTGGTACATGACAAAACCTGTAAAAGTACCGGAAACAATGATACTTATTGGCATTATTTGGTCTCTTTTTTTGTTTTTTATCAATCTATTAATTTCTAATTTACCTTTGTTAACATCATTCCAATATCCCCACTCCCCCTCCTCCCCCTCGACTTTCCACAGCTTACAGAGTAAGCTTTTTATAACAAACTATACCAAAGTCATATTTACGTCACAGGTTTACTGTTTACAGGGTATTACTATATGTCAAACGCCTTCAACCCATGCCTCAAAAGACAATTACAGGAACTTTACGTGTTATATCTCTATTATAGAAATATATCGACTAAAAAACAACTGCAGACTCAACCTTTTTCTATTATTATTATTATTATTATTATTACTTTCCCTTTTCTTGCTATTTTCCATTTCATCTTTCTTTGAAGTTATTCCTTTTCTTGCTTCTCACTATTCTCGCTATCCTTCCATCTATCATCTCACTTGTATTTTTACTCTACTTTAATAGTTGGTATTTAAAAAGATTTTCATTTGTCTTCCTATAGGCTGAAAGTCTGGTAGTACTTTCGCTAATAAACGATACCTAGATACTTCTCTGCGTAAAGATTTCATTAGGGAGTAATTATATTGTCAATTTAATAATATCAGTTCAATATGTTATTATATGATACTGACTTCTATCGTTCATGTATACTATAATAAATATATATTGTATGTATATTGTATACTATTGCGAAACCTACCCAACTGTATTTGCTTTATAAAGTGTATTACTATACAGACAACAGCCGTAAATAATAAAAAACAGTAACGGTAATGATTCTCTTTCTTGTCTTTGTTTATCTTTGGTTTTAAAAACTATGTACCAGAATGCTAAAGCAGTACACTAAGACCTGGGTATGGCATATTTACACAAAAGAACATAGTACCTATACATTTATAAACTATCTACATTATACTTAAAAAGAAACAAGATAAAAAGCTTGTACATGTATTAGTAATTTTTTTATATGTAGTATGTACTAAAAAAAAGCTCTATTGAAGATGCTTTCTCCCTTTTTTAGTAACATCTGACCTAATCACGCAAATATTTCTCGTATATTTCTCAGTAAGAAATCAAGAAGAGGGGTGGAGTACGCGGTGGGGAGGATATTCAACCATTTTCATCGGCTCTAGAGGAGCGTTAAAGAAGATAAAAAAGGAGATTCAGGAGGTGGGGGCTTATTTATTTACGGAAATCGAAATCAAACCTTTGTTTAATTAGGGAGTGTAATATTATATGCTTCGACTAGAGTAATTATAAGAAATGGTTCCGATGTTAGAACGAAACTCAATACGACACTTTATCACGTAGTTTCTTCTCTAAATTCGTTAGCAACACGCAATAATTAAACCTAATTTAACCTGAGAATGGATGCTTCGTTAATGAATTAATATTTATTATAAAATACTGCCTTTGTATAATCTGTTAACAATTTATAATACAAATATTGCCGTTAATTTCTTTCCCTTTCTGTTTCATTTTCCTTTCCTATTAAAATAATAGACGACACGATAATAGGTAGAGTGGCGCGAGGTTTCGAGAGCAAGGGTCAACGTACAAATTAAAGCCTAGAATCTGGTAATCATCCGATCAAACTATAACATAACCTACCACTGTATGGTGTTTATGAACGAATATATGTTTTTCTAACATAAAAAACGTATATTTTTTTATCCAAGCGCCAAAATATTACAGTGGTTTCAAAGTATTTTCACTTTATCAATATATATATATATATTATACTAATATACTGAATTGAAAAGTATAAATCTATACATATACAGTATATATATACACTATATATATATATATATATATATATATGTAAAATACTTTATCTATACTACAAAAACATCCAGTTATATACTTACAAAATTAAAAATATGATATGGTCTACAGAGGATTTTCTATCATTGCCAATTTTCTTTCACTACATTTTCTTAACCAGCATTCAACCTCGATCTATAATAGGCGATCATAGAGGCATCAACCGTAGATTAACGCCTAAAAAGGCGTCTACTAAACGAAAATGGCTTACAAATTGGACAAAGAAATTCCTTAAAAGAAATGAACAAGATGACGATGAGCATGGTTCGGTTTTAAAGAAATATAAAGCTCGTGTAAGTATATTTGATATAAAATAGAAATTGTACTAATATTCGTCTTATAGTCTTTATTTAAACCTTTTATCTAATTTTTTTTACTGATTCTTTTCCTTATCTCTTTCTATCTTACCTATCTATTTGTCTAGCTACATTTTTTTTTGCACTTTGCGTGTACATACCCTTCTTATTTATTCTACCTTCCTTCTCTCCTTCTCTCTCTCTCTTTCCTAATACTCTTTTTTTTTTCATGCACCCTATCAATTCCTTTTTATTTTTTCTAAGCGAAAACAATCCGCTTTTAAATAATTGCAGTACGCTCTTTACAAAAGACTGCCTTTGAAAACGCTCTCCAGATGGTGGGGAGCTTTTCACAGTTTGGAATTACCGGTATGGTTAAGAACTCCCGCCTTTAAACTATACATATGGATGTTCGGCTGCAAGTTAGACGAAGCAAAAGTACAAGATTTAAGGCGATACAGAAATTTATGTGAATTCTTTCGGAGAAGTTTAAAGCCAGGCATTCGACCAGTCGATGGAGCCTTTCACTTAGTAAGAAAATATATAACTTTTTTTATTTAAACTATATGTTTTCGTCTATTTAAACTGTTTCTTTCTCTCTGTCTATCTGTCTGTCTATCTGTCTCTCTCTCTCTCCCTCTCTCTCTCTCTCTTTCTCTCTCTCTCTCGCTTCCGTAAGCATAACAACAACCGCCCTTTCCTGTTTTTTTTCCTTTTTTCCCTGATTATAATTTACTATATTTACTAATATTTCTAGACTAGCCCTTGTGATGGAAAAATCCTTAGCGTTGGCCGGGTTAATGAAGACGGATTGTTGGAGCAAGTGAAGGGAGTGACGTATTCCTTAAAGCAATTCATAGGCACCGAAATATGTGCAAAGAATAAACATTTTCTGTACCACTGTATTATCTATCTAGCCCCAGGAGATTACCACCGTTTTCATTCTCCAACCGATTGGACTGTGAAAGAACGACGCCATTTTCCTGGTATGATTAACGCCTATTTTCTCTTTCTCTCTATTCTATTCCCTTATATCTAATTTCTTTGCTACAACGCACATACACATACATACTCATTCTCTAGCTTAGTCAATCATTCATTTATTCATTCTTTCGTCCACCCCGCTCTCTCTCTCTCTCTCTCTCTGCGTCCCTTTATTTCTTTCTCCCCTACGTTTTACCTTATTTTTTCTCATGCAACTATTTATTTCTATATACAGAACAGTATAGCACTCTTATACATATTGTAGAGAGCGTCTCTCTCTTAACTTTTTTCCCATTAAACTAACATAAAAAAGTTCTTGGTGTATAATTTTTAACAGCTATTAAATGATGTGCAAATAATTTTTAGGACAGTTATTCAGCGTTAATCCCGAAGTGGCAAAGTGGCTTCAGGGAATATTTAACTTCAATGAACGAGTGGTTTACGACGGTAGATGGCGTTATGGCCGTTTCATTATGATTCCTGTTGGAGCAACAAATGTAGGGTCGATAAATGTCTATATAGATCCGGTAGGAGAAATGACTTTAATTAATCTTATTCATTTAATCAGTTTCTTAGTCGGATAAAATATGAATTAAACAGATGCTACAAACAAATGTTAAATCGGTAACTGAACCATCGAGCAAGACATTCTATAACCGAAAAGGAAAAGGTATCGATGTTAAAAAAGGCGAATTGTTTGGTGATTTTAACCTTGGTTCAACAATTGTTTTGGTTTTCGAGGCACCAGAAAAATTTCGATTTAAGATATCGGCTGATCAAAAGGTCAAGTACGGTCAACCTCTGGGAAAACTATGCAAGATTTGACAAAAATTATGCAACAAAGTTTAAAAAAAAAAAAGTCCAACAGATGGCAGATTAATCGAAAAAAAGACAAAATAAAAGAAATTTAGTATCCTTGGCAAGCAAAATATTTAATTAAGATGATATGACAATAGATAGTAGTTATGAATTAACTATATTCAGTATATCGTATATCTTTCATTGTTTGAATATGCTCATTAAGTCTTCTTCGCTAGCATATACGTCTCGTTAAATGGGTTAATTAGCTTTCTGATTGGATAAAGGTACTCTTTATCTTTTATGAATTTCACATAAAACTCAACGAATTATACTCATAAAGTAATAATGGCAGTATAAATATACAAATAAAAAATTAATAAATTAGTTTGACAGAGAGAGAGAGAGAGAGAGAGAGAGAGAGAGTGGGCGTGTTTGTGCATCTGTATGTGTATGTGTGCATGTACGTTTTAGTGAGTGTGTGAGAGATCATAAGATATAAAGAATTTCTGTCTATATTTCCTGTACCTACTTTAATCTCCTAAGAAGGGAATTACATACACGTGTCAATTTAATAAGTTTCATTCTAAAGAAAGAAAAAAAAGTGCGTCTATCCGACAGCGTAATTACTGAATAAGCCGATAGATTTACTAACAATGAAAGGAGTTGGAAAGATTTCTATAATCCTTCGTCCATTAACACCCTCCGTCTACTCGCTAGTTGATATAATCTATGATAATGTATATATATATTTTATGCGAATAGACGCCACAAAAAATATCCCTAAAAACAAATACGCATACATACATTCAGAACGGTTTGGAAGCTAGCTAGAAATACAAACAAAAAAAATCAAAGACATGAAAATCGTCTTTCCGATATCGATTGCACTTTTGGCAATTATTTCCTTAAGTATGGCCAATGAATCATCAATGGAGGATAATGAAGAACTTTACGATAGTGGACTCGCCAAGAGAATTCCACCACTTCATCTACTTGGTAAAAAGGACAACAGTATCGACGGTTTAATATATGATAAAAGAGCTCCACCCCTCTATCTCTTGGTAAAGAAAATTCCACCTGTTCACCTTCTGAATGGTTATAGAAATAAAAAATAAGGTAAAAATTTAGTTACCTGTAACAATACGTTGTTTTGTCACTGTATCATTTATTTTCATAGTACTAATAAATATTATTTGTCATATAGAACTTTTATCTATATAATAAAAATATAACTAAAAGTTCAAAAGACAGAGTAGGAAGAAGATATAACTCGAAAGATAGAGAGGGAGAGAGAAAGTAAAAGAATGGATGGGAATGGATGAAGGGGAAAAAAAAACAGTCAAAGTTAGCGTAGGGATAAGATAGAAGTAGTTAAAAAAAGGAAAGGAAAGAGAAAGGTTAAGGGAAGAGGAAGTCTTTTAATTAAAAGAATAAAATATTACCTACGTTTTAGTTTCTTATTCGAATATTTTCTTAATGAAAAAAGAAAGAGACTATAAAAATAAATAAAATAACTATTCTTCTACTCCTTCCGAATACTTCTATGAATAATAAATAAAACGGAAAGTATACGGGATCTTTTAACCGTAATATACTAATAAGGGCAACTAGAACACAAGCCCCTTACAGACAGTTTTTTCTATTAACGTCTTATTAGATATTATAGTATTTCGTATTAGACGCTTTAAAAAGTCTAGAGTATATTGTAAATGATTGATAATTCTTCGTCATATTACCCTTAGCCTTTCATTAAGTAGAATTAGATGGAGAAAATATTAACTTTCTTATTATTATTATTATCTGTGATAAATACTAATTTATGCAATTTTTTTGACTGAGCCTAAAGGGAGAAGCGCATGCTGTTTATTTATTCAATGATCACATGTTCATTGGAAGATAAAATAATACAGAAAAAAAGGGTCGAAATTAAATTACGAAGTAGATTACAGGATTAATAATAGACTTTTGAACGAGTTATAAATTTAAAAAAGAGATTTATTACCTTTGTTTTTCATTTAAAAAAATGTATAAGATAAATACTTTATATTTCCCATTTTTAATAGGGCGAAAATAAGGAGATATGAATTAAGCGATTTCGGGAAAATATGTATTCGAAAATGAGGACACTATTACGAAAGATGACGCAATATTCAATGTATTGCTAATCTTCACAACCTTTTTGTTTATCCTTCCCTCACTCCCACCTTTTATTCACTCTATTTAAAAGTTCAATAAAATTCAACCAAAATAAAAATTCAATATAACCACTGATTGCTTTCTAGAGCCATCTTTTGGCTATTACTTTAATATAATTTTCTATAATCTATTCAAGTATGTATCTAGAAAAAAAATCTTATCCTCTAAAGATAAGATTGCCCTTAATTTGACATTTCATAATCTAAAAGACATTCGTAAAGACGGCAAGAATTTTTTGCGGAGGTGATTTTTCGGCTCATTTCAATATATTGCCTAATTAGATAATTAATTATAGACAATAGAAGATAAAAATGGCAGAAAGCTCGGAACAAACTACCGTTATCATTGCGATTGATAAGAGTAAAATTGCCGAAAAGATGTTCGACTGTAAGTTGTCTAGCATTCTACTATTTAATTGTTATACTATATTATCGCTTCTATGCTATTTAAACATGGAATATCATATCAATTAAAGAATGTAAATAGTCCTATTTAATGTTAATGGATTTGTTTAGGGTATGTTGATCGACTTCATAAGGCCAAGTCAGACATTTATCTTGTCTATTGTGTTGAAGGAGCTTCCTTGGCAACTTCCGGTGAATTATAAACAAAATTAAACAAATATGTTTCAAAGTAAATAGTGTTTAAACTTGTACAACAGAGGGAATGCGTCTATCCGAAGGGGAATGGCAAAAAATGTATAGAAAAGAGATGGAAGAGAAAAAGTTTATCGAGGAAAAGTATGAAAAGATAGCAAAGGAGAAAAACATAGCAATAAAATTTGATATTCGCTATGGAAAACCAGGGGAAGCTATCGTATCGGCCGCCAAGGACTTAAGAGCATCTTTCGTAATGATGGGAACTAGAGGAATGGGTACGATAAGACGTACTATCCTAGGTTCTGTTTCTGATTATGTTGTTCATCATTGTCACTGTCCAGTTATAGTACATAGAGTATAGATTAACGTTTGAATAAAGGAACGAAAGTATAGAATGGATTATAAAACAGTATATATTGCATATATATATATATATGTATTTAGTTAATCCCTTCAGAATTAACATACAATTTACATAACACATTCTTGAATTAAGATATAATTTTGTTTATAATATTCATCATAAAAATATAAGCCTTTAAGCTTTTGGAAGAAAATCTCCAAGCACCAAATACCGTTTTATGACGATGGAGTTAGGTTTCATTAACAATACTTATATACCCTTCTCCTCAAAAATCCTACAATAATTATACATTAGGACAAATGAATACTAGGTGATCGGTGATCTTTAAACAGCAGAGATCATAAGGAAAACCGAAAAATGGACGTAAAAATATAAAGTTTGTGTTTTTATCTTCCTCTTTCCCCTCTTCTGATATCTTGTCATTTTTGGAAGCAAATATGATTTTCATATGCTGCCCTTAATTGAGCTAAGGAGGCTTTTAGATCTCTGTTTTCTTTGGCCAATTTTTCATTTTTGATCAGCTCATTTTTCAGTTGCTGAATAAAAGAAGAGAAATTAGCTTAACAGTTTTATCGTAAAGTTTTATAAAAGTATAAATATAAGTTACTTACTTCTTCAATTTGTTTAGTTTCATCCTTTTTCTTGTTACGAAACTTTTTCGCCGCTTTTCTATTTGAAGCCTTTCTTCTCTCAAGTCTCTCTTGTTCAGACAACTTCCTCGTTCCTGTTTGAGGTGTATCAATAATGCTCTGTTCCTTTTTATTCTGTTGTGGCTGTTCTATTCTTTGAAGGTTATATTCTGGTGTTTCTTCCATTTCTAGCTTTTCTTGTTTCAACTGAAGCAGAGTGTTATTCCGTTCTTTCGGAGGAAGTTGATCACTATCCCAAGTTTCGTATTGAATTTGATCAAGGTTATTTGGAGTTCGTTGTTCATCTTGTGGAAGTGGTGTAAAAGTATTCGAGTTAGGATCGTTGATATAGTTCATAATAAAATCCAAATCAGCATTGAATATGACATTATCATCATTTAAATTTTCCGGATAGCTCGTGCTCATGTTCTCGCTGTCTCTTATTCCAGTAGTTGTCTGGAGAGGACTTAATACACCTTCGAGAAAATCAGTGTCAGAACAATTGTTTTTATTCTCTAATTGCCCATTAGGGCAGTGGGAAAATAATGTTGTGTCCATGTTAATATGGACACACCTCATTGTATGATGACTTCGATCAATATTTAGCGAATCTGTACAGGAAAAAATAATGATAGTGATAATAAGTAAAATGAGAAATAGGAACATCACATTTATATATTGTAATTTGACAATAAAAAGTAGACTGATAGCAGATTAGAGATAAGAGAAGAATAACCATATAAATAACGGGTTATGTTTTTCATTTTAACGATAATAAGAATAATATAACATATTATATTCTTATATATATATTTATATATAATAGAATATAGTATAAAATTAATATTTTATCTATTAATTAGAAAGTTAAGTAGACTTTAAAAAACAAAAAAACTTTGATTTTGCAGAAAGATAGATACTATATTATAAAATAACCACGTGTCTATTTACGGTATTTTTAGGAAACCGGCTTTCACAATAAAACGCAATAATCGAAGAGATAGTTGCTGTAAAAATATATACATGTACTAATGTAATAATAAAATACCTTATTAATACAAAAATATGTAGAACAATATATTACGATTTCTCGATATAAGCAAACTGTAAGAGTTCTGTTAGCTGGTTAAATTTTTCTAGCTAGTCTAATCGCTACGAGCTATTGCCGTAAAATGAAACGGAAATGTGTAGTAGAAATTTTCGTTATGAATAGATGAATATTCATTTGACATATGGTTTTATTAGAAGGCCAATATATAGGCAAGTTTAAGCGTGCCCGTTAAGGAATGTACAAGAATAAGTCATAAGAGTTCTTTAAAAAATTAACCTAATCAATTAAATGTAAAAGATTGAATAAATAAATAAGAAACTGTTGTTGATATAATATGATATATATATAATATATATAACACTTTACAATCTCTTATGTCCTATCTTAATGTATATGTATAAAAGTATAAAGCGTGTCTTCATATACATTTATAATTATAACTAAGAAAAATTTGGAAGCGTTCCAAACAGGCTTTAAAGTTTATCTATAGTTTTCATTCTAATTACCGATTCGTATCTGTCAATTTTTTTTACTCTTTATATATATATATATATATATATATATATATACTGTATATAATTTTTTTTTACATACCAGGTTAGCTTTTATTCAAGCATTTAGGCCTATGTCTATTTAGCAATAAAGCAGTTAATATCTGTTTGATTGTACTTCCCTTCTTTGTTTTATTTTCTTAATCTGTTCCTTACGTCTAAGTTACCTGGTTATTTTTTTAATACGATTATTGCACAAATTAGAAATGAACTATTTTAAGAAATAGGTATACATGAGTTTGAAGAAAAAAAACTGATATTGATTTCTGTTTCGTTTATATATATATATAAATAGCTTTTAAGTATGATTAATTATCTCTCTATTTCAGGCATTTTTTAAGAGGGAAACCCTTTTTTTTATGCATTTTAAGAGAATTAATGAATCATTCAATCCATTTGAGTATTTCTTTCTTGAAAAATATCATGTAAAATTCAGAATATATATATATTAGTATATATACTAAATTTAAAAAGATAAGAAAAAGAACAGTCCCAGTTCTGAAAGCTTGAGTCATTACTTTTTTTTTTATCATTGCCACACCTATTCAAAAATACCTTACTTTTAGTTTGTCACGATTTAATGCATTATAGTAAATCTGTTTGTACTTTTTTTGATAATTAATAAACAAGTTACTTTTATTTGTTTGTACTAGATTTTTAAATGATAAAAGATTTGCGTTACTATTCCGACAAACTGTTTGTTTAATAGTTGTTTACCGATCTATTAAAAATTAACTACAACGTAAGAATTGTTGAGGTCAAGGTTATTCTCATTTTAATATGCGCAATTAATAAGCATCGTGAAAGTAGCTTGTTTGAAGAAATATGTACAAGATATAATTTCGGCACGCGTCTCCTTAGGCTTAACTAATCTATATAATACAATCACTCAATACGCTTTCTTAGCCATTTAGCATTGAAATTTTCTCTACACACCCTTAACTTTTTGTTCGTATGGAAATGAATAACAATATAACAAGATAGAGTACCTTTTGATACAGTTGCTCCTATCAAGTCTTGAAGGAATTCTTCTGATATTCTCTTCAAAGTGTTTTCTTCCAGAATCACTTAACGCCTATAAGTTTATCTTCCTTTAGCAAACTTGAATAACTCTTTTATTATCTTTTTTGTCCGACCCGTTAAACAAATGCAGAGCTAAATAAGAAAAATATTCATATTTCAATATATTTGTAAACTCTTTGTAATCGTCACAAGAATACGTTTTCAAGCTCATTTGCATATCGCAATATAAAATTAAATGCCTGGATTAGTATCGCTGATGTAATATAAACATTGTTTTTCTTAATATTTTTTAATAAATGTAAATATTATTATCATAAAATATATAAAAACCTTATATTTACTTATAGTATTTAATTAGTAATTAATTAATTTAATTATAATATTTTTTTTTAATTCTATCAATATTCATATTAAATATTAAATATATTCAATCAATACTTTCTAACTAATTGCGTAATATCTATATAATTATTTTGAAATAGATCAATATTTACGTTGTATATTAATATTTTATTTATTCTTTTAGTTTTGTTTAAAAAAAAAAAAACAAATGTTTCTACTTTCAATTAAAACTTTATCCTATTCTATTTTTATTATAGAACGTTACTGTTGCAACATTACGAAGAGAAATTGTTATTATTTTCTAGAATGTTCTACCTTTCCCGCCTATTGGTATATTGCTTCCTATGATTCATTTAGATTGGAAATTCCAGTAAAAAGTTTCGTTAATAATGAATTTAATACTTTCAATAGTATAGATAAATATGGTTGATTTTTTAAAGTAAATATACATATATTTACATATACACATATATATATATACTGTATAAATATATAAACACACATATACATATATATTTAATATTTAGTAAGTTTATTAACATTTAAGAATAATTAAAATACAATATTTACTATTACCTTTGAAATTTAAAGGGAAAAAAGTCATAAAAAAGTTACAATAACACATACGTATACACATTTAGTTTGAAGACGCCATTTTTTATTTTCACTAGGCCAATTTTTTTTTGTTTTCCTGATTTCTTTAAAAAGAGAGAATATATGGAATTTATGTATATTAATTAATAAAAATATAGCTGTAACAATCATCTTTTTAATTAAAAAATCTATTTTTAATAGTAAAAAAAATGATTTAACGTAAAAAAATTACGAAAACTACTAATTAATTAATTATCTATTAGAAATTTCAATGAAGGTCAAAATATTGTTTAAGTGAGAAGAAACAATTGTAAGAAAGTTGAATTTTTCTTTAGTTTCTCTTTCATTTTAATGTTTATGATAGTGTATTAATTATTTTTAATTCTTTTAATAAATATGAGAATTTGTGAAATTTTTAATGAATATTGCATTTATTCTTTTGTATTGCATCAGAAATGGTTATTTGAAGTGTGACATTACTTTCGTCCCTCAAATTTATAGACTAGTTTTTTATTGCAAAGTTTATGTACTGTGTTTATTTCTTCAAAATCAGATAAAAAACAAGTCTTTAGCTTAGTGCATGATCTGTTTATTCTGTCAAGTGAAGATAGATAAAGAAAATAGAGCAGAGAGATAGGAAGATCAAGATGATAGAGAATGAAGCAAATGATGAATTTTTAAGTAGTTTCTCAGAAATAATATGCTATCATAAAAAGTTATGTGCTAATTATAGAATACTTTCTTGAATTACCCTTGAATAGATTATCAATATTTCAGAAAGTCATATTTATGGCAAGGACACGTCACACAAACAGTTAACCCCGAATCTAGTTCAAAAATAAAATTTCTAATATCATGTTACAATGAATATTCATAAGCAAGAATATATAGAATATATATATATTAATATATTTGTCTTCTTACTATAAAGCATATATTGGAGCGCAGTTGAAATATTAAATCGTAATCTATATATAGATCTAGCATAATAGCACACATACGTTGTTTTCCCTGTTAATTAGTCATTTATTTACATAAAATATGTTACCAACATACGTAGAAATGCGTTGCATATATAAAAATTTATCAGAAATTGAACTTTTCTTTTTGTTATTGGAGAGAGAGAGGGGTCAAGGGTACGCTTCCCTATCCTTTTCACGGAAATCAACGCGTTGTTGTTTTTTACTTTATATATCATTTTTCTTTGTATCTTTATACTGTATATATATATTTAAACAATTTACACTTATTCCCCCCCTTTTTTTAGGGGATTGTTGTTATATGTTATAAAGTTAATTCTTGGCTTTCATTAACAGATTAACTCCTAGCTATTCAAAGAATTTATATTATATTGTCTTTATAAGATATATATACAGTATGTTTATATTTACTATCTACTATAAAAACACTTATATTGTATAATTAAAAGTAAATTCCCTTTATTCTTATAGATATTTTAAATGATGTTAATCATAAATAAAGCATAGCGTAATTAATGATTATCTTTAAAGAATCGAAATATGAAGGCTTCTGTTATTAAATAGGACAATAATAATCTCTAGAACAAAAGTCTTTGTTAGTATGATTAAGCTAATTAAACTGAATGATAAACACTTATATAAATGTAGACTATAAGTTTCTTTTTATGAATTTTAAGTATCAAACAAAAAATCTAAGTAACTTTATTATACTAACAAGTTTTAGAATACGTGTGGAATTGAATGAAGGAGTGTAAAAATTGGAACAAAAGGAACATTAATGTCATACGACGAATAAAGAAAAATAAACCACTCCTACCAAAATAATTCGATATCTCCTTCTTTCGCTCTCCGTTCCGTTCGCTCTATTTCACTTTCCGTGCTAACAGGTGTTTCATTGTTTTCCTACTCGGTGATCGATTTTTAAAGATTTTTTTTATGTATGTAAATAAATGCGTAAAAATAAATGCTACATTTTTATATACTGTATATAATATGTGAATATATGGTGTATGAATTTTCTTTCCCCTCTTAATGGTCTACGCAAAATCACGAAAACACATAATTACTAACTAAAGAAAAGTCGTAAACTGACTTTATTTTACAATATATCTAAATATTTATATCCATTAAATCTTATTTAATTAATATTAGATGTTATAATATAACTGATTGACGCGGTAATTATATAGATTATTAATATCAACAGTTATTTAGTATCAATTGGTCGCAATCGATTATATCTTATCAATTTCATTGAAATATATATGGAGATATAGGATTTGTATATACGTATATCATATTAATACTAATATGTAAAGTCAAAGCAAAGCAACACTATAATAAATTATACGTAAAAACTTTTGCACAAAAAGCGTCATAGTAATCCGTGCAACTCAGAATTTCCTTTTATTATTCATCCTATGCTATATTTCCTTTATTGTGAATAGTCACCAGTAAAACATGAATATACCTTAGCATGAAAAAGAGAAAAGAGAATACTAGTATTTGTTGTATTCTTATGTAAATAAAAGATATAATTTGGTCACTTTTAGCACGTATGGCAAATTAAGTATATTAACCTTTTTATAAAACATATATCTTTACGATTTTGTTTTTGTCCCTTATAAAGAGGATTTAATTGGAAAATCAATGTAGTCTCTCTTTATCTTGATAGAATGAATGAGGAAAAGAAATTAGTAATAATTAACGTAATCAATATGGCATTGTAATAATTGGAAATTGCTACAGATTGTTGTGGCGGTTGTTCCTTGCTTTCGTACTCCCATTCTTCTCCATTACAATGACCGTTCAATATAGGTTGGGCAGGTATTCCACGTCTAAGAGATTAACCATACATTAATCGACGTACACATGTTATGTAAAGTGCACATATGCTTAGTTCTTTCTTATTATTAAAGTTCTATTAAGCGGAATTAATTTAATTGTGTCGATGTAGAAACATTAATAATTAATAAATATTATTTATAGTGCAAAATCTTTAGGTATATACCTTATCATTCTGCAACGATGCTCGTCTAATCTAAATTTAGCATCTTCAATATTATCAGCATTTTTAGCACTCCAAAGACGTTCTGCTATTGCCGATGCTCTTGGCCTATAGTATATATAAACTGTATATTAATATGTTTTGTGTGAAATCTAAACTTTTAAGATAAAATGAATGGGACATAAATTAATAAACAGTATTGAAATTAATATAAAATAATATAACGTATCACCATATTCTTGAGTGTATATTGGTACCATCAACATACTCTGCCCACATACATGCTTCTCCTCCTTTTACCAGTTTCTTTTCGTTTTCATTAGCTAAAGACAAATATATATGATCGAAATGATTCACTCAAGTTTTTTATATTCACTACTTGTTGATATTTTAGATTGATTGTTTGTTTGGTTGTTTGAGCTATTATAACGTTTATACAAATATATATATATTTACATGTAAAATCTGTTGGCTCAATTTCATAGTAGTTCCTCCAATCCTGTCCATAGCTTATCATATTTAAATACCATGGAGAAGAGAGAATAAAATTGTAACCCAATTTAGCAACTTCTTGAGCGTATTCTTCCCAATTTTTAACTGAAGGATTATTAACATCGTTCTTCTTATCTTTCCATACTTGTATAATCGTCTCTTTATTAAACTGGAAATTATTATTTTTTTAATAATTTAATAGATTTATATAAAATAAGCGTTTTATATCATTTTTTTTTATTATCATTAATTTTTTAATGTCTAAGAGATTCTACTTACTGTTACGTTATTCTCAAGGGGATCTTGCCATACTATTGACTTTAGGCCTATTTTGTCAACTATTTTAATTAGTCTCTCTGAATAATACTGTTCTATTTGATTGTACGTCGACATGTTTCTTTTTGACATCCAATCTGAGACGTTTGGACTCGATTGCCTGTGAATAATGGGAAAGAGGGCACAAAGTAAGCAGACGAGACACTTCTGATATATAACAATAACCAGCATGCGTAATAAGCTTCGTCCATTCCTAAATGAACGTACTCATCCGGAAAATCGTCTCTTATTTCCATATAAAGATCTCTCATAAAATCAAATGTACTTTCCAAGGTTGGGTTTATTATTTCTCGAGGCCCATGATGGGGATAATTTGGCGTATCAGGACGACCTTGGCCCCAGCAAGGGGTCAATAGCTCTGGGAAAGACTTACCCCAAGAAAAAGTATGACCGGGTGTATCAAATTCGGGAATTACTCGAATTCCTCTTAATCTAGCTTCCCTCTTTATCCTTTCAATATCATCCCTAGTATAAACAAGTTTCGGGTGATAAGCGCCCTTTTCAGCCATTTCCGGAAACTTTCTCAGTGTATAGGGAAAGGATTGATCGTCAACTACATGCCAATGGAACACATTGAACTTGTTATATGACATAGCATCCTTAAAAGGAAAAGAATACTTAGATACTTTGGTTATAAAAATTTATCACAATTCATAATCCATTAAAAATTTAATATCAATATACTTACGAGAATTTTAGTAATGGTTTTCATAGGCATAAAATGTCGAGCAGTATCAAGCATTACGCCCCTATGGGCATATCTAGGGTAATCTTCAATATTCGTTACATTGATCAGGTTCTGCATGCAGAAAGGGGAGTGGGAGGTTAAGAAGAAAAAGGACGTAATAAATAATTATAGTATGTTATTTATATAAAAATTAGACGCTTACCCCAGCGTCTTTGTTGCGCTTATAGACTAGTTGGCTGAAAGTTTCTAAACCTAGATAGACAAATTAAGAGGGTAGAATTGAAATGATGTATACTTAAGGAAACTCAAATAATTAGAATTTGATGATATAACCTCTCAACATTCCCCAAATCGTTACCGAACGGATGACACTCTCATCTTCAACGATATGTATGGAATCTTAAGAGAGAGAGAGAGAGAGAGAGAATTGTTGATTTACTTATAAACTTTATTTTATTTAGAATTGATAATTTCTTGGCTTACAAGCTTCGTTAGATTGTATATTGGGATAAGAATTTTGGCAAGTTCTATTTTCGATTTGTAATCGAACTGTTCCCAACCTTTTTATCCCATCAACTGGTTTTCCGCCTTCTAGTTGCCTATTTATTAGATTAGCGTATCTCTTCTTTGCCTCGTCGATGACATCACACGAAAACGTGCTTGTGAACGTTATTGGGAGAGAAAAGGTTAGGAGCGACGTTGAATTCATCCACTTTTGAGGCAGAGGCCAAGGGGAACCCGGCGGCGAAGGATTACCCTATAATAAAAAAAAACACACACACAAACCCATATAATCAAAATTCTATTTTTTTTCATTTATAACGTCATCTAATTTTCTTTGTACTTTTTGATTAAATTTGTTTATATTATATAATAACTTTTAAGGGTAATCTTGTAGCGATCCATGTTATATAAGTTTCCGTTGGATTAATAGCTATCCAATGGAGGATTAACGTTAATATCCAATATATGTTATGCCTTTCCATCTATCTGTATTTAACGGCTCAAAAGTCTATAACAGTATATGTTAAGTATACGTCAAACAATTTAACAAAAATGTCTAATCATTATTTATTAACGTCGATAAATCTATGCTAAAGGATTTTTTAGATAAATATCGATAATAGTATAAATTTGTTTTATCGTCAAATTGACTGAACAAAATGCGACAGATGGCGTACCGTAAAAGAAGATGTCGCGAACGTCAGTAGCTCTTTTGTTGTGTAAATAGAACGGCGTCTGGAGATCTATTGAGGCGTGTAAAATAGCAAATTGCTACACAATTTACGCCCCGTTCTCCTCTTCATCATTCCCTAAACAATCTGCTGTCAAGCGTCTTTATTCTTTCATATTAACTATACGAGCTAGTCATATCTATTATAGATATAGCTTTTACTTATTCGTTATCACACTCTTCTTCCTTTCCATATTCGTTTTCTTTTCCTTTTTCTTTTATAACAGAATCAATTTGTTTTCCTTCTCATTTTGGGAAAATTTTTCTGCTAATTTTCACATACCGTTAAAGAGTCAAAGGTCAAAGTTGGACCAATCATCTCGGTCCTATTCGCGAACGTCATCGTTGGAATTGCATATATGGCGTGATATCACGCAAATTACTCGATCTCTTTGATGACGTCACGCTTCGAGTGTAATTCGCATTATTTTTGTATTATTATTGTTTATTCACTGGGCGCGTGTCTTTCTTTATAATTGTCCTTTTCCGCTCATTATACTCAGTGTGTGTGCCATTTTTCCCCTTTGCCGAGCTTATAGTTAATTTATTACAATTTGACAGCTGCCGATGAACAAGAAGATAACAGAATGATTATCGGTAGTAATAGAAATCTGCAGTGTTTTTTAATAATAAACACCTACCACTATAAAATATAAAAAGCGAAAAGAGGATGGGAGGGGGGCTGATTTAGAAAAAAAGAATTTGAAGAATAGGGGGCGAAAAGAAGAAGGGGGGCGGTTGGCATAGAGAGAGATGCAGGATGCGTATACTCTATACTTATGTTATAAGTATATTATATCATATTCGAAAGGCGGTAAGGGAAAAAAGGAAGTTCTTTGACGCTTTTGCAGCTAAACATACACTTGAAGTGTTACAAGAATTGTTCGGCTAACATGACACAACCGTCTCTGAACGCTTTTTTCTTTTCACTTAGCGGCGTCTTCAAAAGTAGCTTTTCACACCTCTTAGACCACCTGCTCGACGTCCGTAAGCCGACGTTCTGTTTATATTTCATTTTTTCCCACAAAATATGACTGATCAAATTTGAGGAACAGTAAAAATAGATATAAACCGAAAACTAACAGTTATCTGTAATATTGTCCGATTGAGTGAATTGCAATTAGACACTAATAATTAGCAAGTAGTTAACCACCCGACTAATTATACAGTCGACTGAGTGAAAGACTAATGATTGGTGTCCATCTGCTTCGAACGTCACTGTTCTTTTTTCGCAATGGGGCGTCTCTCTCTCTCTCTCTCTCTCTCTCTCTTTTTTTCCCCTCTCTGCATCCACCCCCCCCCCGCTTCTCTCTCTCTCGATCTAGGCGGGCGTCGGATCAATCTCGTTACACGGGCAATCGAATGAAAAGTAACGCGAGAGATGAGGCTTATGCAATTTACATGATTCGCGCTGGAGGTAATCACTTGTGTCAATCGACCGACTACGGGTTTTTCTTTCGCGTTCGCCTACTGCATTCGATTCACAGTCTATACAATACGAGCCGTTTCGGGCTGTCATTTAGGAGAACGGACGCTGCAACTCACATTTCAATTAGGCGAATAACTCAACTGGAAAGATTTTACTTCTATTTAAAGATAGAGAAAGGGGAAGAGGAGAGATGGATAGAAAGGAGAGGAAGGCACTACGAGAGATAAAAAAAAAAAGTATAAAAAAAATAAAAAGAAATATTTCACTATAGATCTCTCTTTAAAAACAAAAAAAACTGCTCCTAAATATAAAACACTGCAGTATAGTGCAGTATTGAACGCCAACGCTTATTTGCGGTAAAATGGATAAATAGAATAGAGAGAGTATATGCAATGTATATTTATTTATGTGTATATTTCGGAAGTAATTAAATCGATAATAACGGCGCTTAACGTTTCGAAATCAATATTCCTATCGGGCAATTCATCATTCCCTAAAGAAAGAATATGTCAAGTCACCGAGCGGAAAGATAAAGTGATGATTTTGGTATGTTGAAAGCGTCTTAGGTAACGGCGTTAAATGGAACGTGCGAAAATTTGAAAGGGTCTAAATATGCAAAGGTATGGAGAAATTTCGTTATTTAGACTGAATTTATAAAAACATCTTTATATATACAGCATATAAAGTATATATATATATATATATGTTTTTACTATTTAAATAATATTTATTATATTAAATATACGTGTTTGTATTTCGATAGATTTTATACTATGTAACGGTCATGGCCTTAAAAACTCTAGATAGCCTGGTGTGAATTTGTTATTTTATAGTAGGGCGCTTCAATCAATAATGACTATATGACTGACAGTTGCAAGACATCATTATAGACTTACTGAGGCATTGTGGAGATTTGAATACTGCCATTGTACTTTAGTGTCTTGTCAGACACGCCTCTTTTTCGAACGATATACTGGGCAGATTTACTTTCAAGTTAAAAGGTCAAATGTGCGCGAGTATTAAGGAAGCTGATCGAATCCGATAATGCTGTTTGCTTCCCCGTGTTGCATCTTTCATCTTATCTATTGACGCATGCAGATTCTTATCGTATTCTCAGTGATTTCTCCTGCTTAATTAGACCATTAAATCGCCGGTTCGTCGCCAGATGCCGTTTCCGGCGTTTATCAACCAATCATCTTCCAAGTTGCCACAAACTAGGTCGTCTTGAATTACGAAACAATTTCTGTTTATCTGACCCATCTCTCCTCTTGCAAACAGATGCGTCTTTTTATTCCTTTTCTTTTTTTGGATAAGGCGATTATTCCATAATTAAATACGCGCGGATGCATGTTCCCAAGCATCGTTTATTTTTATCGCTATTTCAGCTCTTAAATACATAATGATCAATCGATTATGCTTATTCATATACATAGTCTGGTTTTTATCAAATAGGCTTTACTTCTTTTCTCTTTTCTTTTATTTGCTATTATTTTTTTAAACCTCTTTCTCAGGCATATCTTAGCATGCAGGGGCAGCGGGGATTCGAAGAGCGATTCGCCGTATGTGGTAAGGTAAATGGCGAAGAAATTCCATTAGTGTTGCTCGTTGAACGGTCAAAAGTGCGGTGTGTGAACAGGCTTTCGAGTGAGTTATAATAGCACGCCTCGTCGAACGCCTCCATTCTAAAAGACTTTTACTCCTCAAATCAACTTAGGCACGCTCGTTTCACCGACTAAACAAACCAGATGGCGTGGGGAGGAACGTTCAAGTCCCCGTAAATAGCATTCTGTATAATGAAATTTATTTTCGGGGAACAGATCCGTTTTATTTACAAAAAAACAGAAATGAAAATCAAGAAGATGTTTAAGGGTTTCGAATGAATACGAAACAATGTCTAAAAAAGCATTTAAATCTCTACTCCTTTGTGTAAATAAGAAGAACGTCTAGTGTTCGAAAATGGCTTCGGGGAACGTCATGAAAATGTTCTTTTTTTCAATATACCACACGTAAAAATGGAAGAATATATGTATTTATGTTTATAAATCACAACAAAAACTAGACTTATACACGAAATCGACTATAAATAGAAATATAAAAAGAATGCGTTTCACCTGAATTCACAATAACGCGTCTATCATCTTGCAAAATCGAAGTTTTGACGAAAGAATGCAGCCTAATTTAAGGTGCCACTGAATCGTATCAGCAAATCGGTGGCCGACTCGACGAAAGAAGGGGGAATTTCGATCGGCGCTCGTTATATGCTATGATATTGCGCACCGATGTAACGCAATATTTAAATTGCGGGCTTGGAATGCCGAAAGGTGAACGATTGAATTTCATCTTTTATTTAGATTGCTCAGGTAGTATAATCTCGAATAAGTTCCGACACGTCGACATTCTCCTTAGTCCATTACTCTATCCAATTACCCTCGTTTTGCTTTTTCCTACAGATACTATCCACTAAGTATACTCATACCAAATGTTCTATATACTACAGCTACACATATAAAAACCCAAAATTTACAGTACACGCAATATATTCGTATAAATAAGTATATAACTACGTTTTTATACATACTGCATAAACAATACTTGTGCTATATTTATCAACAGAAAGGAAAAAACAATTTATAGACTAATTTAACACCTTTGCTAACTTTTGAGTATATACACCTGCTCTGTCTACTGCAAAAGCTGCAAGCTGTTACGCTTATATGTACATCTTGTATTCAATTTCCTCCGTTCTGCCGCCCCTATGAAAGAGTCGACATAACGACCGAATACACTCGAATGTGCGAAACCGCTTTCAATTACCATCTAACAACGATGTCCTATTGTCCCGCTGTCATGTTTATAAGCTATATATATATATACGTTATGCATCAAATTCATATGCACCATATATACAGTATATAAGTATGAATGTATAAATAGACAAACTATTTTTAATATATTAATAGATACTTGTAAATATATAAATTAGAATCTTATGATTGTTTAAAAACACGTTCAATAAGGTTTAACAGTTTTATCATGCATCTGTAATATTTATTAATATTTTATTCGATTATAATCATTAAAACAAAATGACTCTCATAGGGGATGTATACTGCATACGAATGTACACTTATTTATAGGATAAGGAGGACTAAAAAGGGAAAATGTGGGAGAAAAGGCGGGCTATATTGGTGGCGGCGCTACTGTTGAAAGTAGAGGTGATCCATCATTGTTGGTTAGACGTATTTAGGTCATTATCGTCCAATGACGATTTCAGGGCGGATACGTTAGCAAAGGAAAAGGTTATAGAAAATTATGTGGCGCTGATGGTGCACCATCTGACACCGGCGGTCACTTCAAAGTAAA